TCAGCTGGATACTCCAATAACTAGTCATCAATCAAGTCATATCATAACAGACTTTATAAAATAGACAGACAGGTTTCTTTTGCATTTGTTCCTGCTTGATGATGAAGGAGCATGCTGAAAGGAATGTCTCAATATTAAGTTTTAGTATTATTATTTGTAAGAAGAAACATTTTTTATGATATTTCATGATTATTGACAAACTTTATTAAATCAAAATTAGATTAGATTTTATTATCATTGTACCAAATGCGATGAAACTTCAATGGAGCAAAACATTAGCTGTTGATAAAAAATAGTAAAACTATTAAATATAAAACATTCTCGCAGCCATATCAAACTTTCTGAATAAAAAATTGTTACAGCCCCGGCTCAAAAGACTGCAACAACTGAGGGAGGACACGACAACGGCAATGTTTTTAACCTGCATAAGGGCATTTATTATAAAAAAGGGAACAAAGATGGTCCTGGTGACATGGTGGCATGGTGGTTTGGTGGCATGGCAGGCCACAGTGTACCTCAAGGCTCAGGTGGCCCCAGGACAAGGGCTCCTCCCCCATGCCATCCCGGTTGAGCAGAGCATAGTGGTTTTCGCAGCAGCCGGACTTCTGGCAACACCTCACCAGAGCTAGGTGGCACCACCTCCCGATTCTGTTCTGGCACGGCTGTAAAATAGCATAGCAAGAAAGACAAAGCTGCCTAAGAGCTACAAAACGGGTGCACAGGATGGTGCATCTGTGACTACATTCTCTTTTCCTTGTATATGTTCATTTGACAAACATTAACATTCAAATGTACTTTACATTTAGGTTTACCTCGTTGGAATATAGATTGAACTGACTTAGTCCCTTGATGAAGACTTGTCCCTGAGTCGAAACACGTTGGTGTTTAATAAATGAAGACTCCTGGATACTCCTCAGAGTGCTACGAAGAGCACTGATTTCTCCTCATTTATGATTCAGCAAATATCTAAATAACTGATTAACAGACTTTGTGATTCCAAATTGTTATAATTAAAAGTTTTCTTCATTATACTGTGACCTAAATAATCACTTTTATCTATTAAATCAATTAAAGATCCTATATTACATAATATTGACTCTTGTGAGCTTCAAGCCATGTTAGAATGTTACCTCGTCAAAAACATACCTGCAGTTGTGTTTTGTTTCACAGTGGAGCAATTCCTGTATTAACTCATGACATCACCAGGTGGAAGAGAGCGTTTTCAGTTTGAGAGAGGAACTCAGTCTAAATATGCAGGGTCTGTGTGCTAAACATGTGTGAATGAAACAAAACACAACTCCAGGTATGTTTGTGATGAGGAATCGACATTATAACATAGATCATAAAAGAGCATGAATATCCCTCCTTTCTATTGTCAGCAAACCGACCACTGTGTTTACTCCTTTGTGACTGTGTGTCCTTTAACATTAAGTACCACATCAGTAGCAATAGACTGACTGTTGCGCATGGCTTTATCAGCTCCTCCGCCTGTCACCGCTCCACACACAGAGCATCAGTGATCACCGACTTGCGCTCTGACAGCTGCTCACTCACACTATATGATTTACCCCTGTCCCATCTGTCAGCATCTGCAGATTTAGCCCAAATCTCCACTTTCTGCGCTGTACTCTAAATTACTGGAATGCCTGTGTAAAAGATATCGGACAATAGTGCATTCCAGTAATAACAAGTTGCTGTATTATCAGTGGGAGATTGGTTTACAGTACATTACAGGGCTTAGTGTTACAATAAGAACAACCTCTGGCCGTATTGTGTTTCATTATTGACATTGCCATTCAAGTAGGATCTTCAAAGCGGCGCGAGGAGGATTAAATGACAATAAGTAAGCAGTGATCCCCAAGGTCAGTAATCTGGCTGCAACTGCAAGAGAGTACAGTGTTTAAGAGAACTACCCCCATTATGGTCTTATTACAGTGAGAATTTAATAATAATGTAATTGTGATTTTTTTTATTGCAAATGTGGTGAGTAATAATAATAATAACAACAACAACAACAGATAATAATTAAAAAGCAGCTCATTGTCTGTAGGATTTCAGTGCAATCCAGCCACAATCCAGCCAGATGCTTTGACCCAGTTGTTGCAAATCAGATTGTTGTTGCCAGATTATAACACTCAAGGATAGCCTACTTATCAAAACAAATCATTCAGATATATTGTGAATTGTGCAGTGCAGGAATTCATTCATTTTAAAGGGCCCATATTATGCTGTTTTCTGATCTATGTCATAAAGTTGTTTCCTTATCACAAACATAGTGTACCTGGAGTTGTGTTTTGCTACATTCACAAGTGTTTAACACACATCCTGCATATTTCATCATAAAAATGCACAAAATGTGTTTTTAAATGACTAGAATCAATTGGATAATTTCACCCATGGACTTGCCGATCTCTACTAAACTAAAGGTAAAAGGCTAACTTGAAAACTACACATGCCATCACAAGGTGGAACAGAGCATTTTGAGACTGGGAGATTAGACTAATAATCCAGTTTTACTCAAACATGTAAGAAAAAAAAAAACTCCAGATGTTTGCATTTGAGGAGGTAACAATATTATAACAATGCGTAGATCTCACATCAGTTCTGGGTAATATAAGACCTTTAATGATTTAGACCAATAGACAAATGCAGTGTGTACTAATATATAAGCCACTTCAAGTATTGCTGAAAGCGTTGCTGAGCTAGTGTACTTTGTATGTACTTTGCATGTTGTCATTTTCTCATCCAGAGGATGGCAGTGTCAGCCACCTCACTAAGATGGAATTATTTGACTAGTAATATATTTCAAATTTATATAAAGCAGTTAATAATTTTTTCATGTACTAAGCTATTTGTGAAAATATATTAATATTAATGTATGTGGTGTCATCAAGCTATAGGTCAAATAATACATCTTCAAGGTCCTATATTATGTGAATTTGCCCATTGCACTTAAAGCCATGTTATAATGCTGCTACCTTATCAATAACAGATTTGTGTTTTGTTTCATTCACACATGTTTAAGTAATTCTTTATTATTAGTCTGTTTACAACTGCAAAGCTCAACATGCTATGTTCCATCTTGTGATGTCAAGAAGCAGTATAGTTTTCAAGTTAACAGTTACTTTTACCTTTTCAATTCAATAGAGATTGGAAATTTCAGGTCCGAAATTATCCAAATGATTCTAGTGAAGGTGTATGGAGTTTAAAAAGACAGTGGAGCACTTCCTGTATTACTTCATGACATCACAAGGTGGTACAGAGTGTTTCAGTTTGAGAAGACCTCAGATTTGTATAAATATGGAGGGTTTGTGATGAGGAAACAGCATTATAACATAGATTATAAAATAGTGTTATATGGGCCCTTTAAAGACTCACACCACTACAGCCCCCACATCCTATAGGCCCATATTGCATTCTTCTCATACAAAAGATTGAACAGAAAGCTGGCTCTGGGCTGTGCAGTTTGTGCTGCTGACTTCTTCTGGAACTGCCCCAGTAAGAGTCAGCACTTCCCACTGCAGCCCTGCTCAGCTCACAGCCACATTAGTCTAATGAAAAGTTATTCATCTAATCCTACGTTTTAGCTCTTGATAACTGAAGGAGTGTGGGCATCGCTTCTGTCTCATAGTGACTGATGGGAGTTAATACTGGACCTGAATTTCAATGGCCTCCTTTTACTTTTGCAGTCCCCTCTACATCATACTGTGTGGACTATGCTAAATCAAATCAATGTATTTTGCACTCTTGGCAGTACTTCATAATAAATATTATATGAATATACTTGCGTCATAGTGGCTTAAAGATGACTGCTATTCCATTCCATAATTGCATTTGTCAAAGCGTTCATTAACAACCACAGAAGATCCACTTTGTTTTAGATAAGTGCACGTGCCCTTTCTCACTCTCCCCCTTCTCTGTATACTGTTGTTTCAATTCTTGGCCCTGCAGTTTTTCATATTTTATCATATTATGGACTCCTCTAAGATGCTGCGTGGGACACATAAAGTATTCAAAAGCCTCTGCGCTGGGACTGAAGTCATCTCTGATTAAGTTTGACATTTAGAAGATCCCGGTAAAGTCTGCAAATGTCGCAGAAGAGCACAGTATAAAAAGGCCAACATCTCTGAAATAGCATGTTTCCTTATGTGATAGGGATTAGAGCTGAACAGTATTCAGAAAATATCAAATTGTAATTTTCTTGTAGTTTTAATAATAGAATTTTATTTTTGATATATGAACTACCAAACACATTTCATTATTCAACAAATCAGGACATGTGTATACAGATAAACTCCAGGGTTACCAGTTTTTATGCAGAATAAGACAGGATATTTTGTTGTTTGTGGAGGAAATTATAGTATTGCAATGTGTCCATTCAAATTTTTGTTCGATTGTGATTAATCTTGCAGCTGTAATAAGGATATAGCTACAAGTCTAAAACTGGTTTGAGCAGTTTAAGAGCCTGGTCAAGAGGGGGCAGTGCCTCCTAAATGATGACAGACTGCACTGAATGAACTGAATGACATGTGGACAACTCCTTTTTTGTCCTTTTTTGTCATAGCCATTGCTTTTAGTAGCATAAAAAATGTAACTATATCATGAAATATACTTTATTTCTGAAGCTTTTCCCCATTGTTTATTCAGTAAATGTTTCAAACTACTGTGCCTCATTCAGACGCTCTCTAAATTGCATGTGTGATTTCAGTAATGCCGTTTGTTTGAACATTGGGGCGTTCTCATTGGATCAGTGCAGCTGGCGTTGGTGAAGAGGACACTCCTGGTTAAGTGGAGATAAAAATAGCTCAGCCACACAAGAGCCTCAAGCTTTCTGGTGGATGCTGAACAACAGTCCTATAACCATTCTTCACAAATAGATCTTACCCCAACTAATCCTTCAAATATCCTCACATTATCTCTCCACCACTGTAATTGCTTTATATTGTCTTTTGCACAATCCTAGCCACCGTGTACATTGTGTGTCTGTGTTTGTTTTGCAGATGATTCCCTCTTGAGACAGGATGACATTTGGATGCTGGATGAGCCACAGGAGCCAATCAGACGAGTTCAGCGGCCCGATCACCTGGACTTCTTACGTATCACGCCACCGGAGGATGACATCATCGGGGAAACTCCCTATTATCCTAAACTGGAATGCACGGTGAGGGACTAGACGACAAGCACAACAGAAAAAGCAGGGCTGTTAGGTCTGGTGAAGTCCGCAGGGGCGCTCATTTGTTCTTCTCTGGGATAATAAGGATTTCTCTGCTCATGCATACTACTAGTAGAATCACCTGATCAGAAGTTCTCATAAATGGATTAAGAGGGATTTTAATCTGGAGACAGGGTTACAGAGCTCTCATTCCTGAACATCGGCAAAAAAGTTTGAAAATGTATAAAAACAACAATAAACGTCCAGTTATAATAGCAGGTAATATCTGAAATATTGTTAGAATTCTTTACATAATCATTCACAATAATATTTCACAATAATTTTCAAAGAATGCGGTCTGACATACACCCTGGATCGTGTGTTTTGTGTGTGTGTGGCAGATGAGGTAGATTATATGGGTGTGGTTCTAGGTGTGAGAGCAAAGTTCTTATTGTTTTTCAAAAATACAAAAGGGCCGGTCTGTAAACTTAATCGCTCCACATACCTGTACAAGCCAGACCGCAGCCGGCTGCAGAATGAGGTAGCGAATATTGGTATGAAAGTGACAGTCATTTAATATACCCACCCATTGCTGTAATGTTTTTATTATGGCTTGTTGCTACGGTTTGAATGCAATAAATGTATGATTAGGCAGAACTGTTGACATATGAAAGTCACCATGTTATAATTATTTTGATTAATAGCTCATCTGTGTGAAAAGCTATTGGCCTACACATGATACACCCTGAATGTGTAGTCTGGAAGATTTAAGATCAATTCTTGCAAAATGTATTATACATCAAGATTAACTGCCATAAGGTGTCTTTTCCTCTTATTATAAATATTTTATATGTAGATTCCCAGTTCTCTTGCCGTGCCATGAAGTCCTTTTATAAGAGTGCTTAGACATTCCCTCAGGAGGATTTACAGTATATGGATAATCCCACTGTGTTGTTACATAACTCAATTGTTCCATCAAACCCTGCTTTGAGGAAAGTAGCCAGGAATAGCTTTTGGATTTTTAAGTATGCAAAAACAGTTATTTTATTACTTTAGAATTAGACAAACATATTCCTTCCTCTCTATTATATTTGTATTGTATTGTGCATTCCTTTTTATAGTGGTCTAATTATTAGCACATGCACAGAATAATGATGTAGCTCGGTTATTAAAATCTAGCACGGCAATCAATTAACTTAAGACTAACCTAATACTCTACAGGGTGTGTGAGTTTTAGTTTCTTAAATGAGTCAGTTTCAGTGAACTTTGTTGTCTGTTATGGCAGCCATTTTGAGGAAGTGCGTAATGAGACACCTGTGGTTTGCTGGGAGCTCTCCTCGTCCAGGAAGAGAAGGGAGGAGCCTTGGGGAGAAGGAGGAGGCCACCGCAGACTGGGCCAACCAGTGCTGCACATTTTTTCCACCTGAGGCTTTTCTCATAGCACACAAGACTTCCCTGTAACTCTAACTCAAACATGCTACAGAAGGGAAACTTTTGCTACAACTCTGGATCTACTTTGGGGATTGCAGATTAGCTAACACTGGATATACAGCTGTTGGATTCCTATCATAACTCAGCGGTTTGTTCTGATTTGCTTTGAGAGCAGGTGAACTCTGTCTCTTCGTGGCAGATTACAGCAAGATATGAAACGAAGACCGGTGTTGGAACAGCTTAACTCGCAAGATAATGGGAATTTCTTTAATGGCAGTGCACTAGGCTAAAGTGTAAACATGATTTTGTTAAGTGTGAAGCTAGCTATACCTCTAAATACTCTGATAATATTGTTGTCCATGCACTCATCTGGAAAAGGTAAGAAGAGATTTTCCACATACAAAAGCCTTTTGTTCCAATAGTGAAATAGGGGCATCTTGGATGACTGCAAGTGGAGTGAGGAACCTTTTGTGACATTTTAATGGACTTTTTTTTACTGAAATGACTTTGGGTTGCTGCCGCCTGGGAGTGTAAACATGGAGAATGATCCAAGTTCTTTACGCAATGTTTTCAGCAGTTTGTTCAAAGACAGAGCTTCGTCTTCGGGTACAAATTCTGCTGTTCTGACATCTTTTAAGGAACTGAAAGACAAATCCCCTGCTTCATCTGAAGGAACCCAAACAACTCCTACTAATAACAATAAAGACGAGACGCCCCAGGAAGATACACCTGCCTCTTCACAACCACAACAAAAGCCTGTTACTGACAATACAAAGAAGGATGGAGTTTCGACTGAACCAGATTTGGTCCAAGTCACTAGAGTAGATACATATAGTGATAATGAGGATGAGGAGACGTCATTTAGCAGCAATGGCGTTACCGAAAAAGAGAACGAAACACCAGACAATGTAGCAGAGGAAACAACCATTCCTGTATTCAAAACACACATGTTTAAGGAAAGATCTCGCATTGAGGCTATTTTATTCTCAAGCAAATCTTTTGGCAAGACTAATTCAACATCGCTTTCTATGTCAAAAACGAAAGATGGCGGAAGTCCCAAAGAGAAGACTAGAAATGTAAACAAAGATACAGAGAATGACAAGAAAAGTAGTTCTAATGTTAATTTAGAAGAGGATGAGTATGATAGTATTGACTGTACAACACCTGACCCGACTGTCAAAGCAGCAGGGCCCACTCTGACTAAAGAACCTAAATCCGGCCTGCTGCCTGCTAATAGCCTTTTAAAGCTACCGCCATCTAAATCACAGGCTCAAAAAGACAATACAAGAACTGATTCAACTTCACCAAATACTACAACAACATTGTCCACTCCTGACACATCTCCATCCAAAATTGCTGCATTCTTCTCCTCTAGCCCTTCTTTTCAAAAAGACTCTACAAGAACTGATTCTAAAAAAGACACAGCAACAGCTGATTCAAAATCTGTAACTTCACCAACTACTACTACTACTACTACTACAACACTGTCCACTCCTGATACATCATCATCCAAAATTGCTGCATTTTTTTCCTCTAGCCCTTCTTTTCAAAAAGACTCTACAAGAACTGATTCTCTAAAAGACTCTACAAGAACTGATTCTCTAAAAGACCCTACAAGAACTGATTCTCTAAAAGACTCTACAAGAACTGATTCTCTAAAAGACTCTACAAGAACTGATTCTCTAAAAGACTCTACAAGAACTGATTCTCTAAAAGACTCTACAAGAACTGATCTAAAAGACTCTAAAAGAACTGATTCTCTAAAAGACTCTACAAGAACTGATTCTCTAAAAGACTCTACAAGAACTGATTCTCAAAAAGACACTACAAAAACTGATTCTAAAAAAGATACTACAAAAACTGATTCTAAAAAAGACACTACAACAGCTGATTCAACATCTGTAACTTCATCAACTACTACAACAACAACTTTGTCCACTCCCAATATATCTCCATCTAAAATTGCAACATTCTTCTCCTCTAGCCCTTCTTTTCAAAAAGACTCTACAAGAAATGATTCTCAAAAAGACTCTACAAGAACTGATTCAACATCTGTAACTTCACCAAATACTACAACATTGTCCACTCCCAACACATCCCCATCCAAAAGTGCAGCATTCTCCTCCTCTAGCCCTTCTTTCCCAAAAGACATGACAAGAACTGATTCTCAAAAAGACAGTACAAAAACTGATTCAATATCTATAACTTCACCAACTACAACAACAACATCATTGTCCACTCCCAATACATCTCCATCCAAAAGTGCAGCATTCTCCTCCGCGAGCCCTTCTTTTCAAATGCCTGCTCTGTTCAGTGGGTTGAGGGTCCTAAAAAAGGGTGCACAAGGTGAAGACAGGGAAACGGTTTCAGAGATCAAACAGAGTGAGAAAGATACAGACCTGGCGCTGCTTAGCCTGAAAAAGACCGTCAACAAAACCAAGTTATTCCCTGAACAGAAAGTAACAGCTACTCCAGTTAAAAAGCAAGTTGAACCAAAGCCAGTGTCTGATACTAAAAGCTCAGTAATGGGACAGCTAAGTCATCTACTGAACTCTGATAGCCCAAGTAACAAGCCAGAGGAAAGCCAAATGGTGGAAAAGAAAACTAAAGGAGGTGAGGAGAGCAAAGAGCCTGGAAGCCACACGCCATCCACAGAAAAAAAGACTACTACAGACTTGGCCTATGAAACTTTTAAGAATGTATTTGGGCCCAAATCGATAACTAAGGACAAGACAGAAGCTGTGGACCTGGAGGCAATAAAAAAGAAAATGAAAAGTGATAAGGAAAATCTGAGGCAGATTTTTGAGAGGACATCCAAATCTCCAGTGAAAGATGTCAAAAGTCCCGTAGAGATGAATGTGGTAACTTACTACTTTATCATACTATACTACAGAAAAACAAATATATGCATTAAGTAGCTTATGCGCGGTATGGCAATAAAGTTATGTATCTCCATGGAGACAAGCAGGTGACACCAAAAGCCCAGGTCAGATCTGTGGAGAGATGAACCCGATCAGTGTAAGAATGCATATATGCATATACACATATATTTCATTCAATTTTTGGAATGAATACACCTTTGTACACGATCAATGGCATACTGTGGAGCATTCCAGGCAAAGCAAAAACGTCTCCATGGAGACAAGCAGGTGACAGACAGTCCACCAGAAAAAGTTGTATTATATAAGAAATTCATCCAGTTATGTATGTGGAGAAGCAGATGTGGATTTATTTGTAATTCATTCACTGTAATGAATAACTTAATATTTAAGAATATTTTCAAACTACTGTTACTGTTCTGTTACACAAAAACAAACATACACAGCACTTACAATACAGAGCATTTAGAATAAGCAGATAAAGCATAGTCCATTTATACTAGTACACCACAGATTGTAACTAATATCTTTCTGTTCCATAGGCCGAGGTGACATCTCCTACCGACAGTGAGGATCGAACACCAGGGCGTCTCCAGGCCGTGTGGCCCCCTCCCAAACCTAAAGATGAAGAGGAGAAGGTGGGGCTCAAATACACTGAAGCAGGTGAGGATACATATACTTATACTCCTATTATCTACAGACTAACAGAAGACCCATTCAGTCAGTCCTTTCAGACTTGATTCAGACAATATATGACTCAAGTATTAGCAGTAAGTCTTAAAGAAAATACTGCCATTGTCTGGAATGGTACAGATCACTGAGTCAGCTGAGGCTCAAAAGCAATGTAAATTCAAATACATTTAAATCATTTTGGGGCCTGAAACATCCAATAGTATGTTACAGTAGTACATATTTACCCATTCTATTCCATATATGTTTGTATAGCATTGCACATTGTTTAACAACAGTTGCCTTGCAGGCTTTAAAAAAGCCAACTGTAGTCTGGGCTTGGAGCCATGTTTGCTGGGCTCATTGACAGCAGGTGTAATGTCACACAAAAAGGTTAAAGCTCTGTTAGACCGCATGATTAGATTACACAAGAGGAGTCTTTTCTTTGTTGTTTTGAGTGCAGTTCTGAGTGCTGTGAAACTGCTGACTAAATGTTGATGGAACACAGAGTGCAGTGCTGTACAGAAGATAAAATAAAACTAGAATAGAGCTTTGTGGGTATCACTGTGTGTAGCTGAGCCTAGAAAGTCATTGATATTAACATACCTGGGTGTCAGGGTTTACATTATGTCATAATCGATTCACTTGTATCAAGGCACTCTTCTATCTTGTTAGTCTTCAGAAAGTCTGAAATTATTTGGATTAGTTAAATGTTGCAATATATTTATTGTGTCTTTTCAGAGTACCAGTCTGCCATCATGCAGCTCAAGAGGCAGTGCAAGGAAGACTTGGAGAAGATGCATGTAAGTTATTTTGTCAGAGTTATTTCTAAATGCCTCATTAATGGATGATTATACAAATAATGTATCATCATGAGTGGACTAGAAACTCCCAAGTTCAAGAGGTGAGTTTAGGATTGCAGCTACATATGTTGGCCTCAAGAGGGCGATGTTGATTTATAAATGGGGCACTGTATTTGTAAAATTTGTTTTTTGAACCCTAACCTGGGCCAAGTTTATCCATGTAGCTCTTGTAAAGGTATTTCAAGGTTTTAAATTTATTTTGTTTTTGGATTCAGGTGTATGCCTTTGGTGCCTCTCACAGAGTAGAGCTCCACTCCACACAGTACCTGCCACCAGACCCTCTTGCATTTGCTTGTGCAAGTGTATTTTAAATGTTCTTATTTTTCTTTTACTTTGGTGCAGGGCTTTGTATCTGGCAGATTGGCAGCAGTATTTCCTGCATCACCATAGCGATCCACTAAGAGTGGATTGTTGTTTTGCTAAATAAGTAGTAGATGTCTTCTACTATAAGGACATTTCTGTTCTTGTTGCAGGCAGAGTATGAGATGAAGATCTTTGAGTTACGAGGAGAACATGCAGTGTCCATCACCCAGCTGGAGAGCCAGATCAGCCAGCTGCAGAGTGACAAGCCTTATGTGGCAGGTCAGGTCCGCTGTGCTGTTCGTGACGTCGGAGTGTCCACTACGGAGGACTCCATTATAAAGACCTGTCGCACTGTGGCCATCCAGACAGACAGGGAGTATTTTGTCAAGAGCCCTGATGGAGAGGGTGGGACTAACCCTCTGAGCCCCAGTCAGAACATACCTAAGAAACTAAACATGGACTCCATTGGCCTCAATTTGGAAGGACAGGCTGATAAAGGCTCTGCACCTCCTCCCCCTCCTCCTCCACCACCACCTCTACCTGGGAACATGGGTGCTCCTCCCCCTCCACCACCACCTCCTCCTCCTCCACTTCCACCTGGTATGTCTGGTGCAGTGCCCCCTCCTCCCCCTCCGCTCCCACCAGGCTTCTCTGGTGCAGGACCCCCTCCTCCACCTCCTCCCCCTCCTCCACCTGGTCTACCTGGTGCACCACCGCCTCCCCCTCCTCCTCCTGGGTCAGGCCCGCCACCTCCTCCACCACCTCCGGGTGGGGGCCCTCCTCCGCCACCCATGGGTGGCTTCCTCCAGAAAGTTCAACAAGCCCCAAGGAAGCCTGCCATCGAGCCAGCATGTCCCATGAAGCCACTATACTGGAGCAGGATTCAGATACAAGATAACAAGTAAGTCCGAAAGTAAATAATATTTCTCCCCATCAGACAATGTAGTCAAACTTAGAATTACACCTAGAGTATGTACTTGCCTGCTACTGATAGCATAATAAAGTGGCTTGACTTCACTGGGGAGTCCCAAGTTCAACTGAGGCAGATTACACATTTCATGTTTAAACACTAGAGGTCACTGTCTCATTGTTTTGGAATTGTAGCAGGCTCTGTGAAACCAGAGGTGGACTTTTTGCGAATCTGTGGAGGAATAATATCTGTTTTGTCTTGACTTTTCTCACTGTTGTGTCTAAGTAGTTATAAAGTGGCCGTTTCACTTTGTTCCCTCTAAATCCATGTACATGTGATCATTCTGTGAGTTCTTCTGCTGTCCAGAATACAGAGCGTGTCCAGCCTGAGACTGGTGAAGCAGTTTGTATAAAATGAATCTAAAGTCTCAAATAGCTGAGGTTCAGTGTTGTTTTCTGCACTTGTCGACCCACACTCGCTCACTTGAGGCTCTTATGAGATACTGTAATTGTAAGCGGATTATCCGGCCCATTTACAGTGGTTGTGGTTTTTGCCTCTTAGTGCCAGACTTCCAGCTTTATGGCCTTGTATTCTCATGGATGGATTAGTGGAGAAGGCTGGGCTTTGGTTCACACTCACATAGACTGAAGGTCTGACTGACTACAGCACTTTCACGTCAGCTATAAATGTGAGTGTAAAAGAGCCAGTTAAGAGGCATTAAATGGGTCAGATGTTGAAGTTAAGGCGGATGAGCTTTGTCATCTGTGTTAATGGTGTGAAGTTTGGACGTATAAAGGGGGAATGATATATGCACTTGAAATGATGCCAGGTGTTTAAACTTGAGCTGGAACACTACTTACCACTGGACGAGTACAGCGGCAGAGTTTGGAGAGCAGCTGAAGGACTTTCAGATTCAATACAACCCAGTCAGGATGAAGGTAGAAATTACATGGTGCGGTAGTTGGTCTCAGCTTCTGCAAAATCACTGACTGTTCCATTTTACTCAGCTTTTTGGTCAGGCATGTTGTATTGAGGAAAGAATTCTGCCCCAAAATTATCTCCTGAGTCGAACACTTCTAGTTTACTACTTCTTATGAGGAGGTTTTCTGACTTTTGTTTGCTGTGCCTCTGTTGGCTTATTAATCTAAATAATTAGCACAACATTTCAGGAATGCAAATTTTATTGTGTTAAAAATGCCCACTTGTTGCTGTACTTGTACTTTCACCAAACTATGTTGCTTATATTATGTATTAAAAATGTTAATTGACAAATAATGACTGTAGATTAAAAAAAAAAAAAATCATATTCTGATAATTATAAAAAATATCTGGACTATACAGAGTCAAACACATATGAAAATACTTTTTTAAATATAAATCTTTTAAATCAAAATGCCATGAAATAAACAATTTCAGATTTTCATCAATAATAACCAAATAACAATTTGGTTGATAATAAACATGCACTGATCCAATACTGGATTGAACATCAGTGTCCAAATACTGGTTCAGCTGATACCTAATTGGACATATAAATTGATGTCAAGGCTATTTAGAGGTCATAGTTGGTCCAGGAAGTCTCTGAATATTTGAACTTTATTTATACAAAGTTGTTTTGGAGATTAATAACAACTACATAACCGACTTGGATTCGTTTTGCCATGTGTTAATTTTGTGTAAAGGAAACAAATGCTGTTTTCAGCCTCTGCATCAGGTTTCGGCAGATACTTAAAGCTTAAATAGTTTCAAAAATGATATCGGAACAGAAAAAGTAAGGATTCAGCTCTGCACTGATTCAGCTTTTTCTGTTCCAATACCACTGTTGATACCTTGCCTTTAAGTATCTGCCGATACCAGTAAACAAACTGAAAATATGATTTATTTATTTAACATACAGTAAAACATTTATCCAAAAGTGTTTGGTAATTACAGAAAGGTTTTGTAAAAATACAAGATTAAAATTTTGAGACGTTTGGGCCAGCAAATCGTTTTATCACACCAGTTTATAAACTAAAATAGAAGATTTCCATATCTGCACAGATATCCAACACCAGTATCGTATTGGTGCTTCTCTATGAAAAAGCTGGTGCATCCCTCGCTGATAATATATTCAAAATATCTCAAAAGAAATATAAATTCATCAAAGACTAAGTGACTACTAAAATTTGATTTTTTTTTCTTACAGCAATAACACATTATGGGGTTCCCTGGAGGAGCCAGATATAAGTGACCCCAAAGAATTTGAGGACCTGTTCTCTAAAGCCACTGTACAACCGAAGAAAAAGCCACTGGCTGAGACCTTTGAGAAGAAGGCCAAAACTAAGAAGGTACCTCCAATTATCTCACATTAGCATTTTTTATTGAATGTATTCATAGATTAGATTTGCTGCAAGAAATCTGCTTCTCAGTCCATGGGCTGTAGTCAGTATTACTGTTGAAAAACCTCTTCAGACAATCTGCAAACTGTTCATGGTATTACTTCATGATTTTTGGTAGGTTCTGTGCCAATTCAGACAGTGCAAAACAGTCACTCTCAAGACATTGATTGCTCCTCTCCTTGGCTCCTCATCCAGGCTTATTCTCCAGAGTGACTGGTTTTCCTCACTGTGCCAACACCAGATCAATCTGAGTTTTCCCTTACGACTTATTTTCTAATTTTGGACAATCCACTAGACTAGAATGATGTTGTCTTTCCATCTGTGCTAGCTTTAAAGTTATAGTTAAAACAAATAGTGATGAGGAAAATATGAAAAAACAGAATACTTGTGCCAGATTGATCTACCATCCCCTCACCCAGTAAAGACCTGATGCTGCACTCTGCACTTGAGCCAGCACTGTCAGCATTCTGGCTGCCTTGTGGTCTTCAGTGTGGCGTCTAAGCAGTTAAAAAGTGTCCAGTGCCCCAGACCGTCACCTCCAAATCTATACACATCTGATCAATCTGTGAAGACTCCACTGCTCCAGAGGGCAAGAGCCTGTCCAGCCTGAGAAGTGTCCGATAAGTCTGGTCACTCTGAAACATTTGATCCAAGGGAGACAGCCACATCCAGACAGTAATCCCGCTCACTCTCTCCTTTTAAAGCTTATGTCAGCCCCAAGAAAGACTGACCACGCTCATGGAAATGTGGAGTCCTTAAAGTCTTTTGTATCAGTCAACACAACCAGTGTTTCTATGGTCACCAGTAATAATGTAGGTAACATGTTTATAATGAACCACTGTGATTGCTTACAACTACAAGAAAAATAATTTTCTAGCTATGTCCAATTGATTGAACAGGGCTGTGAATTAAAACAAACTTGTTTATGTAATCATTTGTTGTATCGTTGAAGAATGCCCTGGAGGAAAAACGATCAGAATCACAAATTGGTTTCTGAGAATTACAGCTCTCAGAGGCCAGACAAATAAATGCAGGGACACTTAAACTGTATATTTCTTGAGTCAGTGAAATATACTACCAGATTGTTTATCCCTCAAACACACAGTGACAAATTTATTCATACTACTCCCACTGGAATTCCCTCATTGTGGGACAAATAAAGATTCTCCTATTTTACTAATTCCCCTATAACCTCTCATAATTTCAATTAATTCCTGTAGAAGATTTTTGAAGAAATTCCTAGAATTCTGCAAACCTAAAGGTACCTGAGCCTATTCCATCCACTTATCCCAATGAGTGGATTTAAAAAAAAAAAAAAAAAAAAAAAACTTTCTAGGACTTTGAAGCTCAGTAGGGTCTGATACATTAAAGGAAGACCTGCAGCAAAACCACATGCTTATTAGAGTCAAATAAAATACACTTAACGCAAAACATTGTTTCACCGTGGGAACATGAGATGAAATATGGAGGGGAACTCAGTGCTGTAGATTCAGTAGAAGTGAAACCTCTTGTGTCCTGTGCTTGAAGCAGACTTGAAGTGGTCTGTCCCTCAGACATGTCTGTCTTTGATATGATGATGAACCTATGTCTGAATGCTCATGTGTGTCTGCGTGTGATGACAGCACGTCCTCACACTCATTACACACTTGCTGTGAAAGTGTTGCCAGATCATGCTAAGCCCGGGCCTGGGGCTGTACATGAGATGAAGTGGGAGGAGGTGGAATGTGTGTGTACATTATGCATATGAGCCACTTCCCCAACATTTTTCTCCTCAACAACTCCAGCAATTCAGAAAGTTGAAAACTCATTGTGAAAAAGCTGATGCCTCCACGGGTGAGTTAATCTTTGTCATGTGTGCCATAGAGAAATCAAAGCTCTTGTTTACTCTTGAGTCTGTCTCTCTGCCTGGATTAGCATATCAAAGCTGAAGAGATGACATTGAAGAAAGCTCTCCCGTCCACGCAGACCAGAGCACACTTGACCTGAGCTATAATTGCAGTCATGTGGCTACAAGACCCTGCATCTAGACTGGGCACCTATAGGACTCACTCCACAGCTAGGTGAAGAACAGTCTTAAAAGGAGATTGCTCAGAGTATTTTATGCCACATTTTGTAATCAACTGGTGAATTGTAATTCCCTGTAACAACTATATGCAATTCAAAATGATCAGATTGAATAAATCTTAAAAGCTCTCTTTCCCAGTTCATGCAGTGTATAACTTGCGTGTTGAATGGTCTATTTGAATTTAATTAAACAGTAAAAATCTTGGCCTGGTATTCTCAAACCATTAAAAAGAGCTTGATTTTGCACAGTTTGGCCCTTGTAAATATGGCTGGCTTGTCCATAATGGTTTTTTTTCCCAATCTTGTATTAGCTTAATAGCTTAATTAGCTCATAACGTTTAAAAGTCAAAATTATTGTCCTCACATTTTTAACAGCATCTCATTCCAGGTGTTCTATTTTGTTACCAAATGCCATGACAAAGCGCATTATTAATCCCCTGCATTATTACACATCCCCTCTTAAACTGTGTATACTTTATGGGAAAAGCAGGTTATTGAAAACATATTTGAATCCTGTGATGTGGACGAGTGGGCGTCAGATAATAGCCACTTGGTCATATTGAGCTCTGTGCTTGTTATTGTAACATCTGCCGGGCTAATTCGCACACATTTCCAGACGGACACTCAGCGCTCTTGTGTAAACTGTGGCTCTGAGACTGCATGGGCCTGTCCTCTCCTCCGCTAACATCCCCCACCTGCCACAGACACCTACCACTTTATCTTCATCACTGTATTTATTTTCATTGAGTGCTCTCTTGACTCTCTCCAAGATCCAAGAGCTTCGAATAGTCTGCCTGCATCCGCTAGAGGGAGCTGTTCTGCCTCAACCTGTCACCACTTCACCCTCACATCAGTTGTCTGTTCTCATTAACCTAACCGTCGAGGCTAATTGGCGGCTTCTGCAAACCACAACGACTTGGGTATAGGGGTCCTGGGCAGCTTTTAGTGTGGCCCGTCCAAAGTGGTTAATTAAAGGTGTTGGGGAAAGGGCTGGCTGTGGAGTGGCCAGAGTGGGAGATCCTTAGTGATCCAGGTAATAGAGGCTAGAAGCAGCATGGCACCTACTAACACTCCTGTAATGCAATACCTACTTCTAAGGCAGGCTCTTTCGGACAGCCCAGTAGCCCACAAATGCCATAATAGCTAATGAAGAAGCCTGACACATTAACTTTTAGAGCAGGGCTTTACCTTGCCAAAACTCTCCCTGTCTTTACGGCTAATTCGGTCATAAGTAATTGTGTCCATGTGTAGGGACAAATAAAAATCCTGTGAATTTATAGTTTGTTCTAAAAAGGCCCTTGCTCTTCTAGACTGTCCTTTAATGGTGCCACTTCTGCCTTTGTACTTTCACTGGCACCTGATATTTTTCATAATCTGCTGCATGTGTTTGTGGGCAAATGAAGGTGGGAGGGGTTAGTGGGGTTATTTTTTTGGATGGGAAAGCTTAGCAGAGTTGTCCGTAGAGCTAATGTATTCGTATATGGCGCGTGAATGAGCCAATAAGATTAATATGTAGTTACTTAGAGATAACGTCCCACTATTCCTTTGATCAGATCTGATGTGTCCTCATAGCCCTCATGTTAGGATAACGTAATAATAATAGCTATAACATGTGCAATGATATATGCTAAGAGTACACATCATATTATAGATAGCTCTTTAGAGGAGGGCTCTGAGATTAATCGCAATTGAATCAAATCCAATTTCCATGAACACAAATCGCAAAGGCTGCAATTTTTGCGGTACCATAATTTCTTACCCTATAGTTTAATCTGTATAAACATCTTGTGAAATGTGATTGTTTTATTGTGTTTATCAGTTTATAATTTTGCTAATTCTTTTTGATGTGTTTAAGATGTTAACTTTGAATAGAATCCTATTATCAAAACATAATTGCTCAGCTCTAGTTTGTTGTTTATTGTTGCAAACTGGCTTAGTCGTAGAATCTGACAATACTGTGAGGATCTGCTTTCTAATTGGCTAATGCGCTTGAGAACCAAATACAAAAGAGACATTTTAAAATACAAATGTTAAACACATAAAAGCCAACATATTCTTGTAGAAATCTCTTGAAGACAAATCTTTGGCTAATCAAATGATTTTGGCAGGATTTCCTTGGCCACTCAGTTGACAAGTGGCCTTAAGTCTTTCAAGCGGTCTATAATAACTATAGATAAACCGGATGAATCTAACTTGTATATTTTTCTTCCCTAGATTGTGAAGTTGTTGGATGGGAAACGCTCACAAGCTGTTGGCATCCTCATCTCGAGTCTGCATCTGGACATGAAAGACATTCAACAAGGTAAAAGTCATGTCTTTTTAATTGTATTTACCGGAACTAGGAGATGCACACATAGATCATGATGTACAGGGATAGTTAAGATTCCACAGTAATGGACTCAATTTACAGCAGTGTTGAACAGTAAAGTGAGGACGACTCCTGATGAAATGCAGACCAAGATATTTATAGAGACAGCAGCACTATCATTTCCTAGTTCTTGGACAGCTACCATTTCACGATACAGACTACAGACACTACAGTTTTGTTTTGTGCTTCAAGTGGATAGCTTTTCCAGACATGGCCAGTGCAAAAGAGACATTAATCAGTTTTTAGATATGAGATAAGTTGGTGAAATGGAAGCAATATTTTGTAATGTTTTGTTGAGTTGTTTATTGAGTTGGAAGATATGAGATAAAATGAAATATTTTAAAATAAATGGGAATCTGCAAAGCAAAGCAGGTTCTGGTAACTGATACGTAAATAACATTATCTTAAATCGCAGCACTTTTTAGAGCACTCCAACCTCACTTAAAGGTGTACTATGTAACTTTTTAATTGGGGCTCTGTCACCTGCTTGTTTCTATGGATATGTCATTGCTCATCTTGGAATGTTCCACAGTATGACATTAAACAAATCTATCTTACAGTTATTCAATTACTGGTGGTTTTTTATCACAAAAATAACTACACAAACAGGCATTCTGACTGAGCGGGGTTGCCTCTCCACAGATCTGACTTGTAACTTGATATGATTTGGTCTCCATAAAGATAGAAAGGTTTAATACCATACTGTGCAACATTCCAGACAAAGCAATAACATCTCTACAGAGAAAGGAAAATGACAGACCCTCCACCAGAAAAGTTACACAACGCACCTATAGCATTGACATTCAAAATGATTAAACTTGGATTATACTAAAGGTAAATTGGACTAGTGTTCATGTGAGACTTTGTGCTTGCCGCCTGTTAGTCTGAGCACGCGGCCAGTGGATCTGTTTATTGTAGCCAGTGACGGTTTCCACAAGCATAATGGGGCTGACACCCTGCTAATGATCTAAGCATGTACAAAGTCACCTTCTACAATGCACTACCACATAAAACTACTCGAAACGCATGTACCAGCCCCTCTAACCTTTTTACCTATTGTCTGTTTGAAGAAGTACGTTCCCTTAACGAAAAAAGCCTGCACACAGTATGAGCCTCCTTGTTGTGTCCTAATAGGAAGTGTAAATCTTGATGATAAAGGACAGCATCTTAATAAGTACTTCTAAGGCTCCTAGTCCAGCTCGGGTGCTCTTTGTTGCCATATTAAAAGGACATGGGACGTGTAATGTAATTAGAGCTACATTGAGGAGGAAGGTGGCACTCCGGCTGGGGGACCTGGAGGGCCACCATGGTTCAAGGGCAGAGAAAGGACCAGCCACACACACACATGTTCCCCTTACACGCTGGTGCGACTGGCCAGGGCGGGAGTGGAGGGAGAGTGCCTGGGAGACTTTGATCTGCGGCCGTGGAGAGAGATCCGGCTCCCCCTGGATCAGAGCGCTCCCGTGCCCAACACCCCTTTGGTTTCAATGTGTGTGTGCTTATATATGTGTGTGTGTGTGTGATTGACATCTACACGGTTCAGAGAGCGAATAATCCACTCTAATAAGATGTAGGAAATGGACCTCCAGCGTTCCCTGTGATCCAGACATAGGAAGCACATTGACAGCTTGGAGAAGGGAGCAATGGGAGTCAGGATGCACAGAGTTAGTTTATTACTCTGTGGTTAGTGTGCATAAACCCTGCAACCCAAATCAAACCACAGATCTATTTAAATCTGCACTAACTATGCACGTAATCTGTAAAGCATTCCAAACAAATAAAGTATAAATACAATGATGCAAACTGACATAAATATAAAACACATCTCTGGTATAGCGAGAGGGAGAATGAATATTGATTCCATAAACATAAATGAGACACACAAACTGTCGGTTCAGAGAGAGCAGCAGACAATATGGTGCACGTCTAGTCCCTGTGTGACAGTGACTAGACGTCCCCCCCTTTCACCCCTCTCTCCCCCTCCCACTCCTCCTTCCCCTGCTCTCTCAGCAGACACACTTTTGTCCCACACAGGGCCATAAACCTGTGACACCTCGCAGACACAGCAGCTCCTGACTTTCACTTTTATCACTGTGGAGCCCAGGATAAGCACAGCTCAAGCAAGTTGTCTGACCGTTGAATATCATAAGCAATGCTCTTGTAAACTTTTTTTTATTGGCATTTGCCTGTTTGAAATCATCTCCAATCTCCACCGTGCCATACATTAGTATATAGGAACTTATGAAGGAGTTGGCAACATTTAAATTCTACAGTTCTGAGTGAAATTACATGGCTGAAGTGTGTTTACATCTCCAGATTGTGTTTGTGGGACTGGCAACAGTTAAAAGGCTGAATGCTTTGGCTGAGATCTGGTTCATTTATATGAGCGGAGCATGCTTTTAATGAAGATGTGTGTTGTTCCAGCTCTTCTGAACATGGACAACACTGTGGTGGACCTGGAGACCATTGAGGCACTGTATGAAAATGTAAGTCACACAAATGATATTTGGTATATGTTCTAACTAATTAGGAAATATGAATGCATAAATGCATAAACCAATAGAAGCTCAGTGTTGGGCTCTGTGTTTTAATGTGTTTGAGAGTTTTTCTCAATCTTTATGAACCTCTGCATCTGTTTATTTGTAGTTTTTGGGTCACCATAACATTGGAACTCAGTATTAATCAAGGATGTAGAGCAAACCAATTGTACATTTGTGCTGTAATTTTCAGAGGGGCACCAGTGATGAGTTGGAGACAATAAAAAATCATTATGAGACTTCCAAGGATGACGAGAACAAAGTGCTGGACAAACCTGAACAGTAAGGTCCTTTTTAATATTGTGAAACTTAAATCTTGTCCCCTATGTTAACGAGGCCCTGGCGTACAGCCTGCTGCTCTTTGTTGAGCAGAGCTGTCAGTGGCTGCCTGAGTCATCCTGACTGTAGCTCTACCAGCGGGGGCTAATCACAGGATGTCCTCCTGACACCTCTGTGTTTACACAAGTCATCCCACATCAGGCCGGAGCAGGCTTTGATCAGCGCCCGTTAGCCGCTGCCACCTTTCCCTCCAGTCGACCTTGTGGGCCTTTTCAGATGCAGCCAAGCAGCACCACTCATGACCGCTCGCCACACTGACTCAGCCGACCTGCGCGGGAAAGAGCAAAAATAGTTCTTCCTGTTGGACACTTTGTTTAATTCTGTCATAACACATCACACCCCCATGTCCTCCTCTCCTCCCTTGCTTTTCCAGATTCCTCTATGAGCTCTCCCAGATTCCCGACTTCATAGGCCGCGCTCACTGCCTCATCTTCCAGTCCACCTTCTTTGACACCATCTCCTCCATCCATCGCAAGGTGGAGGTTGTTGTCAATGTCTGCAACGTAAGAACAAAACATTGTAACCACAACAGAATCCAAGTCCAGTCTCTACATTTAGGACTAAATAGAATGCTCCAACATATTATTAAAATTGTGGCTCTGTGACAGGAGCTTCTGGAGGGCCCCAGTTTACGGGATGTCCTGGGTCTTGTTTTGGCCTTTGGGAACTACATGAACGGAGGCAACAGGACAAGAGGCCAAGCTGATGGCTTTGGACTGGAGATCCTCCCTAAACTCAAAGATGTCAAGAGCAGGGTACATCCACATTATTCTACATTGCCCTAGATCAATAGAATAATAATGAATAAATATTTCTTATTTATTTGTATAGGACAATCAAATGAACCTTGTTGATTATGTGGCTTTGTACTACCTGCGTAACTTTGACAAGGTAAGATCAAGCATCTATCTGGCAGTATGATTAACTCAAACCCTGACCGTATCTGTGGTGTCTCTGTGCAGCATGCAGGCACGGACAAGAGTGTGTTCCCTCTCCCGGAGCCTCAGGACTTCTTCCAGGCTGCTCAGGTGAAGTTTGATGACCTCACCAAAGATGTCAAGAAGCTCAAGAAGGACCTGACAGGTGAGCAGGCTAATACTATGTATTGTAATGTACATACACTTTCAGCTACATTCGGTTTTGCAGTCTGCTCAACAAACTCCAGATATTGAATGTTATGATGAAGCATGTCCCATATCCAACCACAAACTCTCTTGTTTCACTATCAATAAGAAACCATTATAAATCCTACTCTTATAACGTGCTTTTGTTTTTTAAACCAGAGCTACTTTTAACAAGGATCTGCCCCTTGAAATACTGTGTCTCTAAGTAGCTTGAATTGATGGCTCAATAGGATTCTGCTGAAAGAGAACATATTTTGTGCTTGTAACATGTTGGGCGCCAATCGAGTGAGTAACCCAGCCATGCAGCCAGTCAGTCTTGGCCCAGGCCAGGCTGAGGTTAAAGGCGATGGCCCGCAGTGGCCCTGGTGTCTGTGGTTATTTAAATCAACCAATAATATGGCATGTGAAAGCAATTAGATAAGCGGCGCACTCTCGTCTCCATGTTTCATATCGCTGTTAAAGCCCGCTCCTCTCTGACCTGAGGCCAAAATACAAAGAGTCGACTAAAGCTGCCAGACCCACCTCAAGCTGTCACTCATTTATTAGGAAAAATGGAAGACTTGAGGACAATAAATGCAACATAATGGCCAATGTATTTGATGTTTTGTTGCGGCGCAGTCTGGCACAGTAGTCCTGAGGCTAATAGCATCACAGGGAACGCACTCACTGTGGGTGTTTGCTGAGTTCCACCTATGACTCGAACCATTTTATCCTCTTCTGCTTCTGGGAATAATATTTATACAAAGCTATTATAAACCAGCCTAAAGAAAGCAACTGGTCCTAATTATGACCTGTATCTAAGTGTTGAGGGACAAAACCCGAGTCACACTTTCATTTAGCAACACCACAGTGAGGAGGGGTTTATCTGAGGTGGAGCGGTCAGTGCCCTGCAGCTGAGGTCAAAGAGCAGGCGCTTTGGTGAGAACTGAAACAAATCTTTGTGCTAATCTCTCCCTAATCAGTGTTTAACCTCAGCAACAATTGTTTCTAATTATTTTAATAGACTTGTCCAGTTTTTTTTTTTACCTTTCTTTTCTACAGACTTATGGAAGCACAGCAGCATAATTTACCTAAATATAATATTATTCTTATATCCTTTTGTTTTTAATTTAATGTTTAATGCTCTGAACACAAGCAAAAATAAACACACAATAAAGAGGCACAATAAACTGTATTTGTTAAAGTTCAGATATGGGTTAAATAGGTAAGTTTAGGGATTAGGTTGAGGTTAGACATCTAGTAATGATGGTTAGGAAAAAAATGTAAGTCAATGGGATGTCCGCAAAAAGTATGTAAACCCAGCATTGTGTGTGTGTGTGGAGGGGTGTGTGTGTGTGTGTGTGCGTGTGTGTGTGCGTGTGTGTGGAGTAGTGTGGAGCCGCAGGTCGTCCTCTTGGCCCCCTATGCCCTCTCTCTCACTGGCCTGTGCAGAAACACGATCCTCTTTTGATGGGGCTTCCTGTTTGGGGAGAGGGTCATGACCTCTGTGTGAGCTGCTCTCAGGCTGGGGCAGACGGACCTCCACCTCTACTGTAGACCACCACAACACATACTACATGCAAGCTCAACCATGTGCTCATCTTCTTATCTTACTACCTATTAGGATCTCATTATGACCATATCATTTTGCGTACGCAGGTGTTGATTTGGATAGAACAGAAAGAGAGCTTGTTTGCTGCCGACTGGAGTTTATTCTTGCATGAGTCCCGGGTGAGGCATCCATCACTGTGGCAAATCAGACTGTACTGATTTTAACAGGCTTTTAATGTCAGCTCCAGACACAGCCTTTAGCCTGAGCCCCGTTTTACAACAGAACAGCTCTTATCCCAGCAACATATGTGATGGGCTCTGACATTAAGACAGAGTGAAAGAAAGATGGTGTGGCAAAGGTATGGATATTACAAAAACATGGACTAAGCAATACAGTAACTATACTTTTTAATATTTACTTTATGTTTTAATGTTACTGCTTTACTGGTTGAACAGAAAGACTAGATTTTAAATACAGGAGTGAATTTGTGCTGAATCATTTGACATTTACACTGTTGACATAGGAATTGTAGCTGCTGGTATGGTGTTATGATTTATGCAGTAGTTTGTGTGTGTGGTTTGTCTTTAGACAACTTTAGATTCCTAGTGTCAGCAAAGGCGTCTCTGACACATTTATCAGACAGAAATATCCATGAGGAACCTTGTTCATGAAACCATGGCACCCACAGCCTGCTTAAACACTAATCCCAGACTACCACTCTCCTGTATGCATGTCTGATAAGGGTAATTACACTATAGTGCCATTTTATAATGTCTTGACTATGTGAGGACATCAAAGTTGACATTTTACAAACCAGAATACCAGAATATAATTCTGTTTTTGTTGATTACAGCCAACACAATTATGGTTATGATATCAGAGCACATTATAAACTTGTTATGTGTGGATAAAACCTCAAATAGGTATTAATAATGAATCAGACAGTCATAGTACATAATGAATAATAAAAAAAAAAAGAAAACTGTAAAGTATGGACCAAAAGATAGTGATGCTACAGTCAGATTCAGAACCAGTTATCATATGTGTATGACTTATTTATTTTATTTATTTATTTATTTATTTATAAATATAATAGTGCCTGCCTTAATAGATTTAAAGCAGTCCTCCTGTGTACAGTTTTGTAACCACAGAAACGTCACATCTCCATGATCACATGATTCCTGTTTTCACCAGTGCCTTTTGAATAATCCAGAGTTCTTGGATGCATATTGTAGTTTCATGTTTTGTATATCTTCGTGCATTTAGTCCAAAAGTCCATAAAAAGCTGTAGCTGAGCTGCAGGTGCAGTGGGCCTGTGAGAGCGTGAGAAGCCCGCTCACCCCTCACCGCGGTGACGCAGCACACCGAGGCGGCTCCGCGGACCTGTTAATGCTCTTGTTGTGTTGCTCCACTATTTAGCTATGCACTCATAAGAAAGTGAAGGTATTTATGACTGCCAATAATGACTTGCAGCTTGTTTGTGCGGGGGCTTACAGTGGGAAGGGAGCAGGCCTGTCGCGGCTTCCTCTGAGCGTGAGTCGGACGCTTTGGCACCGTAAAGACAGACAGATCATCAGCCATGTGCGCTACACTCTAAATGAGCTTTTGGCTTGACTTTTGCATAATACAAGTTAATTACATGGAAGCAATAACAACATGCACAGTCACATAAAACGTGAAGTGATACGCAGCTAATGAAATCAGGACCATAAAAAGCAGCTGATGTCAATGGAAGTATGGCAACATGTGCTTCATAATGTTCTATATTTTATGTATGGCGTCATGTCAATACACCAACAAGGTGTGAGATATGGAAATACCTGATTGTTTATGTCAAAGTAAATTTCCACTTCACATTTTTATTTAGAGGGTGTTTATGACTTTTTATGGGCTGTGTATACATGTATATAGTGCATATGGAATTTTAATAGAGGATCCTACAGTAAAAGTGTAGCTCTTTGCCGTAAATATTTTACCACTACATTGATAAAAGGTTGGAAAATCTGTTTGTGTTTATAGTTGAACATAATGAAACACGACATTCAAAACCAAGCTCTTAATAGTAATAAATTGTATTAAACAGGGAAAAACATGTCAATTTAGGGCTACAATAAATTCCATATTGTTGCTATATATCACTGAGGCCCAAATAAACCCAAATTCATAATGATTTTCTCAAGACACATGAGTTCAATAAAAAAGACATTGTGATCTTCATGTCCTATTTTCTGTGTCCAACAGACTGTGAGAAGAATGTGGAAAAAGTTTGTCGCAACTCTTCAGAGGAACATATCGAGCCCTTTAAAACCAAGATGGAGGGCTTCATTAGTGCTGGTAAGTGTCCTTTTATTGAATTATTTTGGTAACCTGTAAATTAATTTTAATAATTTACATGTATAGATAAAAATATAATTTTTATTGCTAGTTTTTTAATTGAAAATTACTTTTGCACAAATTTACAACCAATGTCCAAAGCCCATTTTCCCTTAGACATTGAACGTAGATGTTTTAAAAAGCACAGCAATTATGATGTTTTTGCCGTGTCAGACAGTCTGCTGAGTGTGTTTGTGTGTGTGTGTTTGGCCACGCTGGGAGAGGGCGTCTGGGTGTGCTGTAAGACAGCATGAGGACACCAGAGGACAGGCCTGTAGAAGGGATCACATTGCCCCTAACATGTCTCCATGTACTCCGGACTGCCATAAAGCCTGCAGGACTCCTCTAGTGCAGGCCTTGTAAAGAGGGACCAGCCTCAGTGGATCAGACCTAAGACCACCAGGACAGGGACTAGACACAAACTAGACCCAAACCAGACAATCCAACTTCTGTCTGGACACTGTAATGACAGCTTCTCACTGGGTATAATATTTCAGTTGAAGTGCAAGTTACTCCTAAATAAATAGTCTGTTATTCTGAGAGTTACAAGGTACTGCAGAACCAAGTATGCAGTTTACTAAGATGTGAAAGTCAAACTCCCCTTGTGTTTGGAGTTAACACCATCTCACTTTCTGCTCCACTGATAATGACCTTTTAAACATGGGTGTTTTTCTTAGGCAGTTTAATACACTATTATGTATTATCAAGACCACTATTACTACTTGTTAGGCTGGGAAAGGCACCACCATCAAATACAACTCCCCTCCATTCGTCATTCAACATTTTAAATAAAGTCTACGAATTACATTGTGTGTTAGAAGCTCACAGTCGAGCCACTGCTCCTCCAGACAGTGTGGAAGTGACTGAGGATGCAACCACATGCCTTTCTTCACTTTTTGTCTTTTTTTTTCATACTGTTCTTTTTCTAAAGATCTTATCTTCCAAAGTTTTAGTCTCCAAATGACATTGTGCGTTCAGTGCCTACATAAATTTAATGTGTAAGAAACAGTTTGAGACTGAACTGGACTACTTTTTCTTGAAATGAGGTGCCCTGCCTAAAGTCACTCTTCACTTGGATAAGTATCTGAAGACAGACAGCGGGCAGGACTGTGGGCCTTTCTTATACAGACATTCACAACTGTCAAAAGCCCATTATGCTACTTCACTTTGACAAAGTGGATTTTCGTTTCTGTCACATCACACAGTACAGTGGAGAATGTATTTGTTGTAATGTAATTTGTGATGGAAATATATAAACCCTAATTCAGTGTTAATTGATTTCAAAAGATCTTTTTGACAGGGTTTCTTTTCTTGTGTGAATCTGCCCAAGTTTGTCGAGGCAGACGTGGCAATACCTCAAGGCACACTGGTTGAAAATCATTGCTCTGTGTTCTGTGCAGTGGTGGCTATGATATTTCATTCTTAATTCGTCTCTCTAAATAATAGTGCAAGTTTTGAGTTTCACCTTGAGACAATAGTAAAAGCTAAGTTTTTATATGAGCTTAGTCCAAAAATGGCATCCACATGTCTTTTGGCTGTTTTGTGCTTGATTCCTGACTAGTTGTTTGTTTGTGCACACCAGGCCTGTTTTTGGATCATTTATTCTTGGAGGGGCAATGTGCCATGTTATTGTCCATTCATCCTCTTTAATCCCCATAACAGTCATGGCAAGTATCACAGGATTTAAAACCCAGTCTACGGTCTCCACAGGCTACAGAGTGACTGTTGTGTGCAGAGCCACATCTTGAGCATAAACTGTCCGGGGGAATACTTGTAAAGAAGTACTTCATAAATGGAATTCCTTGGTGCTGTGCCGCTGGTGAACGGAGAGGTGCGTAATCATTGTTCGTGATGATTCCATGACTTCAAAAGGCAAAACAAAGCAACAGTTCTCACTTCAAAGCATGGCCAGGCAGCTCTTAAAGTCTGACTCATCTGAGACTTAGCCCCTCTCAGGTAAATGACCACAGATACATATGCTACACACATTGAACAGTTATTATTAATGGGGAACTTTTGTAATGATTTGTTTAGTTTGCCTTTGCTGCGATGGGTTGTGAACTCAAAGACCCTGCCACAAAGAATAACGTTTTCCAGTTTTCTTACTCGTCTAATATATACAAGCGGATATCATGTTACAAAGTGAAGTGATCCAGATTCAAAGTGGACTTCAGTGTGGTGTTAAAGCCAAGGATTGTTAGGTGATTCATCTCCGGACGGTCCTTCTATTCTTTTACTAATTATGTCAGAGAAGTAATTGGTGTAGTTATATGATTTATGTGATCAGAGGCAGAGAGACAAATATTGGATCAATATGTTCAAGTCTAACTGTGTAACACCATGTCTGGATCGTGGACAGCAATCTCACTGTGGAGTCAAAGGTGCCATCCAACACCTCTCTTACCCTCAGAACAGAACAATGTCAACTTGGATGTTACTAACAAGAAATAAATCAGTATTTTTTGGAGTACAACAATAAGTCTCTTCCAAAAATTTAATACCACCTAAACTTGTATGGATTTGATTTTATCATGTCAAAATAGTAACTTTTGTTTAAACTATTATTTTATTGAATTAATTAATAATTGCATTTATGTAGTGGCTTTTAAGACACCCAAAGTGCTTTATAGTGCATCGTTCATTTGCATTTGGTGGTAGTAAGATATTATTGTAGCCACAGCTGCCCTGGAGCAGACTGCCAGAGGTGAGGCTGCCAATCTGCACCATTAGCCCCTTCGACCACCACCATCACTCACATACACCACTATTATTAGTCTTAGTAGTTTTAGCAGTCGTTTATTCCATCATTTTGCAGCACTACAAAACAAAACATAGACTACAATCCCATAGATCATGACTGAAATACTCTTTTTTTTTTTTTTAAGGCTTCTACAGTGTTAGACTTTTTAAAATCATCATTCAGGTTATTCCATATAATAACCCCTCCAACAGAAATTCAGTCACTTTTTTTTCTTACTTCTTATCTTCATTTTTTTTAAAGATACCTGTTCCTTTAAGGTTATACTGACTCTTTCTGTACTCAAATAACTCCTGTAAACAAGGAGGAAGCAGATGATTATAGGCCTTGTACATCATTATAGCTGTACTCAGGTCAAAAAATGTAAGTACTTTTACCTTAACAAAAAGAGGATTTGTTAAGTTAAAAGTATGCACAAGTTCACGGTTTAAAATGATAAATTTTAAATTCACGGTTTAAAATGATAAATTTTAAGTTCACGGTTTAAAATGATAAATTTTAAGTTCACGGATTAAAATGATAAATTTTAAGTTCATGGTTTTAAATGATAAATTTTAAGTTCACGGTTTAAAATGATAAATTTTAAGTTCACGGTTTAAAATGATACATTTTAAACCATGAACTTGTGTATACTTTTTCTTTCTTACTTGTTTTTAGGCATCATAATAATGCTGCAATATTGCTCATCAAATTAATATTGCAAATTTAATGGTCACATTTTCATAATCACATAGGCTCCAACGGTTTTCATAATATGCCATTTGCTAACACAACTAATTTTATTAACCTGACAAATAAATCCTGTGATAAAGACATCTATACTGTGATTAGTTAGTTAGTTCACATTTCAGTCCAAGTGTTGCTCAATGTTCCTGGAAGTGTTTGACTGTTGTTGATTATAATACCTAAATTCTAAATCTAAAAGCAAAAAAAAAAAAAAAGAGAGAATTTTTATTTTTTTTTTTCAAAATCATATAGCTCTACTCTCCTTTACAATTGTTACTTGAGTCAATGAGCTTTAACCTTGTACCATACATCAGTTTGTCCATTGAATGTACAAAGCCATGTGCGTTTCCAAATAGTGCTGACCCATATCTGTCCTGTGGAGTGTCTCACAGCGGGGACCACAGGTGAACCTAAACGACTCTGCCCCCTCAACAAAGTCTGACCCCTCCGCCCCCTTCACCCATGTCCAACCACTCAAATCCACTCATCCATAATGTTGTATGTTGAGTCTTTTGGCTTTTGTTCCGTTTTGAACCTGGAGAACTTTCCCAGATTATTCTTAGACTGTTTCCATTTTTAATCAGATTATGTTTGAACGGATTGTCAGAATGTATTTTTGTCCTTCTATTTTTATCCCACAAGACAAAGACTCTGGCGTGGTACAATGTTTAATCAACTATCTTTCTTCCCATTCTCTTTTATTGTTAGCCTTTTGAGACTGCTGGGGATGTACTGGCAGACACATTTCTCTTTGTCCGGAGCATATCATGGCTAATTGAAAACAAATACTGGCTTCTAATCTTAGCAAAGTGTAATTTTTTGGACTTTTTTTGGAATTTTGCGTGCGCACACTTCCGAGCTGTCGGTGACTCAGACTATAATAGACTGGCCCTCTTTCAGATGGAGGCCAGTGACGTAGAGCCGTGAGATTAACACAATAGTAATCGGATGTTGTTAATGATGGTTTCCTGTTAAAGGTGAGACCAGATTCACAAAGACTGCCCCAGGCTTGGATCCAGTGAAGTTTTGTTTTAAGAATTCTGGCAGGGATAGACGAGTTAAGAGCTTACATACATGTGGATATAATCTTGGACAACCAGCATCATCTGTGTAACTATTTCTTGTTTGACAATAATGAATCAAATACTTAAACTAGCTTTACATAATGTTTTCAGAATATTGTAATTATTGTCAGAATCTTGGTATATGGCATGACAGATAAGTCCATGTATCATTCTTTCATTCATTTTTCAAAATAAAACCAAAAATAAGAAAACAAAATACCAACTATTTTCTTCATTATTTGTCTCTAAAACCGAAATTAAAAAACAAATAATGATTAATTTTTTCAGTTTTCGATATTGTTTAATAATAGAAAAAACAAATAACGTCCGTTTACCGTTTCTGTGACATAAACTGCGATGTCGAACTTTGCGCCGCATACAGACTGAACCAGGACTTAACCAGGACTAAACCAAGACTGAGTGTTGGGACGGGCCCGGAGGTGCGCCCGCATAGACTGTTGGGTGATCAGGACTGAGATCAGGACCAGACCAGACTGAGACCAAGACCGAGACCGGGACTGAGATCAGACCAGGACCAGAGCTGGACTGAGACCGGGACCAGATCAGAACTGGGACCAAGACTGAGACCGGGACTGAGACCAGGACCAGATCAGGACCAGAGACACAGCAATGGGAAATGGCCATTATTCGTTTTTTTTCCATTATTCATTTAAACACAAAATCAAAAACTGAAAAAACAAATCATTATCTTATATATTTTTTCATTTTGGTTTTGGAGACAAATAAGGAAGAAAATAGTTGCTGTTTTTTTTTTTTTCGTTTTTTTTAATTTTGGTTTTGTTTTGAAAAAATGAATGAAAGAATGATACGCAGATTCAGGTGGTGTGTTTGTGTTGACATCGTCAATGACTTTTATTCACAACTGAACTTAAGCTACAACTATGATTTATCTTATTCAACTCAATGTTTTTTTTTCTAAAAGTGGACACATTCGCGTCTCTTTGGAAAACTCCAAAAGGTGGAGGGACGGAGGACCACTATAGCTAACTATTTTTTAAAAAATCCCTACATTTGGACTTGTATTTAGCAGCAGTGGCTCAGTTAGTGGAGCTGTCACATCCACTGACCCTCATATTAGTGGTTAGATCCCAGCTCCCACATATGAAAACTGGCATTGTGCCCTTGGGCAAGACACTTTAGCTGCCTCATTCCCTGTGTCTACGTACACTGATATATGAATGTGTGTGTGAATGGATGACTAGTCCTTTGATGTAAAGCTCTTTGAGTGCCCATTGTAAAGAGCTGCATAGTTATGACTGTTAAGTATTTATCATTTATTTCTGTATTGTGCAATGACTACCCTTTGCATGTTTGACAATGACTCTTAAAACCAGACACAGTTCTGGAGAATAGACTGCATCACTTTGTTATCTGGCTGCTAGGTACAAGCCGCCGTTTGGAAAAGTGTGTCAGAGTTTTAAAGCCCTAATTTATTGTCCCGCTCAGCATGCACGTCTCATAACTTTCTAGTTAGCGACTACTGGTTTCATGTTTACACGGTGCGCCCGAGCGGGGGAGAGAAACTTCACACATCCTCAGCCCCTCCGTGGAGCTGTGCGCCGCTGTCCCACCTCTGCTCAGTCCCACCAGAGGGGACCCCAGGCGCCAGGCCCACCCCCGCTGGGACCAACGCCACTGGCCACAGCCCCTCCCTCTCACTGGCCAGACATCATTACCTCACATGTAAAAAGTGTCCAAGACGCTCAGTGGCTTAAGCTCACCTTCTCCCAATAGACCCCCAAAATCTGCCTTTGAACCATTTTTTGGAGACTTCCACCTCTTAAATCTTAAAGCAGAAAAAGGTCCCCCATCATTGTAAAAAGGATGAATCTGGAAAAATGCAATAAATCTGAGATCACAGGCTCACTCTGGCCCTAGATAAATTCTTGCACCTCAGTCTGGCCCACCGCTCACATCTGCCTTGCATTTGGACACTTTTACATGGCAGCAGCCCACAGAAGCCTTCACAAACCCTCTGATTCGTACATGTATGTAGACACATCCACTCACTCCATGTGTCAATGCATTCACTAAGGGCCAGCTTTTACTGAGGCCTTACTGTCTCTGTGCTACTGCCTCTGAAGCCCTCAGCCCACCTCAGCAGGTGGATCCTGGAGACAGCGCCCCTACATGGACAACACTAAATAGGATTTATGTTTGTGGTTCATCTTGTTCTTAACTATCCTGTTGTCCTATCTAAACTGATGTGTTTCTCTGCTCACAGCCCAGAAGGAACATTTAACTGAGGAGGAGCGACTCAGTGCTGCACAGAAAAGGTAAGGCTGTGTACACAAAATATGACTTCATATATTTAGAGTTCAATTTCATCAATGATGAAAAAAGAGCGTAATGAAATAAAGTTGACTCATATCTTTTTGGAACTCACCAACCAACTGGAAACCACATCATTACAAGTACACAATGACAGCAAAAATATTAAATGCTAAAGATGAAAAACGGTGATGCCAAAATTGTGAACTGGACTTCTTGTGGGAATTGTGACTTGTCCCATCCCTACTCACAAGTATTCCCACAATCTTTGCAACATTATGAGACTGTAAACTCATCATTCTGACTTATGACTTACCACCAGAGGCACTGTCTTAAGTTGAATTCCCTCCTCTCTTTATGATGACAACTCAGCTCAAATTGTAGTTAGAGTTTCTTTGATTGTAAGTGAAATCTTCTCGTGTAGTGCTTAAGCGTAAAGATGAATTGCCACTCTCTGTGCGCGCCCACCACATGCAGTGCGGTGCGTTTATGGCCGGACACCCTGTGCTTCCTCCCCACTCATCCGATCCCTCTTATCTGCCATGTTTTATGCTCGGGCCTCTCCAGAGTCCTCCAGCGCGCCTGATTTATGGGTGCGAGACACACTGGCAGCCGCTGCGCTTGTGTTCAAACCAAATCATATCTGGAACATTTCATATTGGAAAAAGATGGTGTAACGCACAAACAAAGCCAGCCGATTATTTTTTTCGCCTTGTTTGGACAGGGAGCGGAATTGTTTGCTTTAAATTGTAGCTCACCCGCTTCCAAAATAAATCACCAAAAGCACATAAAGGAGAAGGCGAACAAGGCCGGACACAAGAAAATGGGAACTATAAACAATTTGGAAGATGATTATTCTGGACAATACCATAATTCAGAGAAGGTTCCAGACTGTTTTGTTTCATGGTGGTGTTTTTAGGCCAAAAGAGTCACTTAGGGACAACTCTCACCACTTTCTGATTGATATGGTCATATGCTGCGAAGGGGAAATGATTCATTAGTGCATTGATTGTGTTTATAGATGTCTTACCTGTAACTTATATTGGCTTATACTGAAGTAACACCTTGATATGTGATGTCTGTTAGTACTATACTATACTATACTATATTCTACCTCTGCTGACTATAACTGTCACCTGTAGTTTATGATGCCAGCGCCTCAATATAAAACCATAGCCTAATGTATTTTTAATGCATTGCTTCAGTTATAATAATATAATTGTAAATCATTTACTAGGAAATGGTTATTACATTTATTCAGACTTGGTACTGGTACAAAGTGTGCAGGAAATCAAAAACAATGACACAATGATGCCTTTGGTCTTTTGGAGGTGTCATCTTCATTTGGTTCCAGTTTTTAAACAGTAATTATTAAAATTAGTGTCTTAATTCTCTTTTTTACATGTCAAATTGTACAGTGAAGCCATCATTGATGTATGAAGATTCTTCAAGTCATTTTAACACGTTTGAGTGACACCACTTTAACAAAAGGGCATAGAGCTTGGATCAAAAGCAGGCCGTGGCCCAGTGCACCTTTGCTTTAATGAACTTTTGCTTTAATTTTAAATAAAGAGAGAACTTCCCGACTGGCGCTGGCTGGAGAGGACCGAGCAGGAGGGCGGGGGCAGTTCCCACAGAGCCACCTCATAAAAGTGACACGCCGTTGATGAATATGGGCGTCAGCGGGCTCTCGGGCCCTGGGTGGGCTTTCACATCTGTGCAGATGACAAATCAGCTGCAGCAGGCCCAGTGGCAGCAGCGGCTCCGGCCACAGTGTCCAGTGTTAATGAGGACATAGACAACATGTACTTAGTGCTACTGAATCTGTCCACTTTAGCCTCAGGAGGATGCACTGGCTTTATGGGGCTCTAAGTCACAGTCAAGTCGTAGTGAGACAGGAGTGAGGGAGGAGGGAGCCTTTTGTATAACACCGACTCACACAGACCAACAACTATGTTGTTCCTATTTCAACAAAAAGAAAAGGTCTATTCAAGCAGTTCATTATTGTGAGCTGTCTCTTTTTAATTGCTGCTATTAGTAAATGCAACAGTTTGTTGGTTATATATCATATTTATTTAATTCACATGTTGTTGCCTTTGTAAACACTTAGCTACAGAGTTTAAATGATGGTACACTGTATTTCAGTTTAATTTCAAATTAATGATCATCAGAAATCACAACATTACAAAATTTTACAATTAAGTTTACAGTGCAAACCAATAGCTCCATTTGAATATGATTAAATAGAAACTCCTAATATTTACTACTGGTGTACTGACTTATTGTTGAATAAATGACAGATGGAACAAGGTCTTCTGGAGGCTAATGTAATGGTATTTGCAACAGTGAGGACCTTTTCATGGTGCATGAACAATGGAGTTATAGAGGGTTGATAAACTACTATCCATCACTCCATATAAACCAAACTAGTTATTTGTTCATAATATGGTTCTTTTTGAAAAGGGTTCACTGGAACTTTCAATATCCGTGACTTTTTCCGTAGCAAAACTCCATACTTCAAAATCACTTATCTTGACGTGCCATCCTTCAGCTATTTTCCTTTTACCTTTTTGATTGCCGTGAGGTCACTTTTGGCTCATCAAATTTGACTGACAGCATCTCTCTCGCTCTGCACGCTCCCCTGATTTGCCGACCCCACATTTGGTTTTCTCCACTCTTCCATCTCTGTCTTTCTACCTCCACCCTCCTCACCCCGTATGTGCCCATGTATCATCCAGCCAGTCCTCTCTGTATGCTTTTGACTGAGGAAGCGAAGGAATGCCGCGTTGCCTGCCCAGAGATTTGCCTCATTCTCACGGCCGCTCATGCTTTTGTAATGGGTCTTTTTTATAGCTGTCAGCGAGGAATGCCGACTGCACTAAACCCTCTCACGCCAATGGCATCAGAAGGCGAATACTGAAGTGTGCAGGCCTTAATTGTCCACGACCAGCTCACAAATGAACTGATTTCCTCCTGATTTTGTTTAGCTTTCGTGCGCATCTGTTTCGCGTGAATAGTGCTCTCAAGAATTGGCTTGATTTGTGTAAGTTTTGACCCGGTGACCCAGGGTTGAGAGGAGAGCTGATAGAGAGGAGTTGGTCGTGTCATAGCGCTGGAGACAGATCTGGACCTGCTCTGTCCGAAACATCCAAATGCCTTTGTTCCTCCAGCCTCTTTTTCTGTAGGAATGATCTACTGCGCTGCACTCTCCGAGCATCCAGCAAAGTGACGGCATCTCCAGGAAATGGGAAGCAGGCTATGGTCCGAGCGTCTGGCCAGCATATTGTTCATTTTGCGTGTCCTCTATAAAACAAATTCTATTCTCAATTAGCTGGTCTACATAAAATGTAAATAAGAGACAATGCAAAGTATTACACTATAATACAATTTAATATTTTAGTCTTCGTGATAAATTTTGGATATAAAGGATGTCGGTACTTCACTACGAGAGTCACTATTGCTCGCTTTTTTCTATTGCAAAATTTAAATTTGGTTTCATGCTTTACAAACTGCATATTTCTTTACATTTCTTATTACAATTTATTTTTCCATTTTATGTATCGTCCCAATTAAGTGCAGATTTTGATATGTGGTTGGATATATACTGTAGCGACCTTGTATGACCGCGAATACGGTTATTTCCTTTTGGTATTTAAAAACTGAGCAAATAATCAAAGAGTGTGACATCATTGCATTCTCGTCAAACGTCTTCAGAAATTGGATTATACAATATTTGCGTCACCGTTGTCTCCCCAGTGGGACGGGGAGGCTTTTATCACAGCTGTGACAGGCCAAGTGACTCTCATGTTTGGGCTGAAGGAGGGAGCAGTCTCTATGTGTACTTCCAAAGGTTTTAGATATGGTTACGAAGAATTAAAATGACCAAACAGCAGTGCAATAAAACAGATCTGTAGGTGTTCACATCTGTCTCTCTGAGCACATTTCAGATCATACTCGTGTTGTCGTGAGCCAGAGACTGAAGAAGCTTTGTTATCTATATGTTTGCATTTGGAGTCTTGGTGCTACTGACTTTACTTCACTACTCAGTAGAGGGATGTTAACCTCCTCTTCAGCGCCACATGTATTAAATAGTACTGCATGGTGTTATGTCATGTCATGTATGTGTTATGTTAATGTCCCTCTTTGCCTGTGCCGTGTGTTTACTTATAGGTTCCAGGACATGGTGAAGTATTTTGGGTTGAAAGCCAAAACAGGAGAGAAGGAAGTGACCCCCAGCTATGTCTTCATGCTGTGGTTTGAATTCTGCAATGACTTTAAGAACACATGGAAGAAACAAAGCAAGAACGTCTCCAAGGAGAAGTGAGCTTTTATTTATTTTTATCTTAATAAATATATTTATATTTTTTGTGAAAAGTGTTTTTTGTTTTTTTTATAAAGTTATTCAGCTGCTGAACTGAAATAATTGTTCTATTTGTAAGCATGAGGACACTGAGTACACTGCAGTGGTCAGTGTAATTGCTGAGTGCTGATATGCAGAAGTTGAGCAGGAGGCCATGAGCCCACAAGATCTGAGGCCTCGGCCCTGGGCCTGGATTTATGGTGTTGCCGTTGACCCGGCCTGTGTGTTTGGGCAGGCATTCGTCTGAGTTGCTGCAGACCCTCCAGAGCACCCAGCCACCTTCACTGCCCTCTGATGAGACTGGGGCTCTTAAAGAGGGCCTGTTATGAGGGCTGAAAAACACTGTCAGGGTGCAGGGCATGCTCTTGTGCTCTTCAGACTGCTCATTTTGTTTTCACTCTGAGACATCAGATATTTAATAATCTAATAGTACAAACACTGAACACTGATTTATAAATGTGAGAGCTGCTCTATGGGTCATATACGTATGGTATATGACTTCACCAAGCCACTGTTACAAGTGTGACAATATGCTGAATGCTCAAAAGCACAACAAAAAGCCACATGAATGAAAGGCACAATTTCATGTGACTGAAATAACATGAAGATAAAACAAGGTTTAGATAAAGGTCATCTTGGGCTAATTACAAACTTTTTTTTTCCCATAGGTTAAAGGAAGCTGAAGAAAGCATTAAGAAGATCACTGCAGACAAACGTGTTGAAACCAAAAAGGTCAATGCCAACAGTTTGGTAAGTGCCTCCCTGAGTCCTCACACCGGCTACTGATGTTTATGTGTGTGTGTGTGTGTGTGTGTTACATATGTCCCTGTGCCTTTTTTCAACAGAAAGAGCGGCTGCGGCAGAAGGAAGCCAGTGCATCGTCTAGCTGAGCTGAGTGTCTGGACTAAATGATCTCACATCACATACGTTTACAGTGACTATCTGCCTCAAACAACAGACTCTGAAATAGAACAACACTACTGCCCTCTCTGCCTCACCACAACATTGGACATGAACATCACTTTTGATACGAGCATTAATGTTAGATACAAGTGCTGCTAAGTGGAACAATGCATGTCTGACAGTGCTCCATTGAAGAGAGTCTTAAAGGTCAAAGATCGACCTCATTCTTCCAGCTCGATGTGACCTCAGAGTGACCAGCTTTTGAACGGTCACCAGGGGTCAGCAGGACCATAACAGGGTCAGAAAACTTATCCTATTACTACTGTACATCATATTATGAGTGCACTTGCTTGTGTGTGAAAAGATATGGCTTCTTACGCAGTTCCCAGTCTTGTAAACATGTCATGTTGTAGAATACGCTGAGACTGTTCAGGTGGGACATAGAATAGCTGTATGAAGCACTATGTTTTTGCTTCCAAATCTACTTAGTCTCATCTTTAAAAACAGGAAAGGCTTTGTCCCTGTGTTGTTGTCCAGCACAGTTGCACTTTTTTGCTTGCAGTAGCTGTGCTCACTAAAACTCCCTGTAATGCCACCTTTGTGCTTCATTTCTGTTGGCACTGTTGGCACCTCATTTCCTATGCAAGAACCTACTTTTGTTGATTCCTATTATGCCTCCAGAAACTCATAGAAAGTTTTATTTTTGTGTATTTTATTTGAACAGATATAAAATAACAATGCCTGAGTCTATTATTTGTACAGAAAGATTTTATTTTTTGCCTGAGAATGTCAGCCACAGTATGTTCATATTTTTATTGGATGGATAATGTTGATGCTGCCAATGAAGCGGTGCATACGAAAGATATATTTTTATTCACATATATGAGGCTGTTGTATTTTTTAATGGCCTGGGTTTATTTATTTTTTGAGGAAAATGTTTCTGCCAATTTACATATGGAAAAGGCGGGTTTTAGTTTGCTTTATAATAGTATACACAGCTTAAGCAAGATACTTTTACCAATCATACAGCGGAATAATCATTTTCAAACTATTCAACTATTAAAATAAATAACAGCAAATTCATTATGAAGATGCAGGGTGATGTTGTAACAGTAATGACCTGTTGTCTGGAAATCCTACAGTCACTCAAATGGGTGCTCTGTACTTTTATGGAATTGTTTTAAATTTCAATAATAAACTACTGGACATGAACAGTTATGTTTTACCCTTTATTTGCTCAATTTCAGAGTATGGTTTTGTGTGTCACACTGCTGTCCACATTGTTATTAGGCCTAAGCCTATGAACCTAATAGAGATCAGTGTTAATTTATGGACCTAAAAGGAGTAGATGGGATGATTCATATTACAGCCAGACCTTTCAATAAACTATGAGTCATTCTACAATGTTGTGTTGGAGACGGTCAAATTAGTTCTTGGAAGTTTATTTAAAGTTGACTTTGTTTTTAGGAATGTGAATTATAATAGGGCATGTGGTTTTCGTTTGATTCTGTTCTTTTATTATTAGGTAGATTGTAGTCTTATGTGTGTATAGGCACACGTGTACACATGCTCATTTAAAAAAAATGTCAAGGAGTGCATAGGTTTTTAAATACAGCCACGGAATGGTTACTGTGATACTATTATGTTAATTTATATTCATATATGGAAAATATAGTAAGGGTATTAAACTGGGCTAAGGCTACACTTATCTAAACACTGCGCAATTTATGCATTTCCAAAAAAGGCACTGTTGAATGCGCATGAAAATAGATTTGAACGCACGATCTTTGTCTTAATCTGAACGTGTAAAAATGATATGCACAATATGCAAAGTGTATTATTTAGAGGATAATTTAATCCAAGAAAGTACCCAACATTCTAGTTACATCCTAAACTCTTTAACAGTTGTAACGCGTATAAGGGCTGACTAAACCGACTGAAAAAGTCTCAAGTTTGTCTTCATGACTTACAAAAAATAACATAACATAATAGAGGAATATGCTATACTGAGGGGGAGGTTTCACTGAAATCACGTACGATTAAAATTACATTCTGCATAAAACTAGTCCGTCTTATTCCACACAGTGGAAACACCTTTAAAACAATATATATAAAAACAACACAGAAACTATTCCTGTAGTGAATGTTCTCATCACAGCATTATATAAACCGGGGACGTGCAGTTCTACTGGATTCAAAGCCGTGCGTAAAACCATTCCAATTCGCGTTCCCGTGCAGTGAAATGTCTCAGGCTGAAGTCAGAAGAGAAGAAGAGGAAACGTTTGGTTTCCAGTGAAATCAGACATTTGTCCTGTCCGCGAGCACGCATGGAGGTCGCACAACTAGTCCAAATCTATAGATATGCAGCGGCATTGCTTCACGCGCTGAATGCGTTTCTTCTTGGTTGGCGGCTGCTGGTCAGGACAGTTCAATGTGAACGTCATAGTGGTGAAGCGCTTGGGTTTGCAAAACGAGCACGACTGGAACGCGCCCTCCTCCCTGCGGATTTGTCTGGGGATGTAGAAGGAGTTGCACTGTCCATAGCAAAAGCGGTTGATGATGGTCCGACTGACGCATCCCTCCTCGTGGATGGTCTGTTTTAGGGGCTGCGTCTTGCACCAGTCGCGCTTCAAATACTGCCGCTCGGTGACGTGAAGCGCCTCTTGGCTGGACTCCAGAACTTCGTCGGCTGGAGAAGACGAGCTATGCCTTTGGCGTGTGCCTGCGCCCGCAGGAGAAGGAGGGTGAGGCTGCTGCTCCGATTCGTTTGGGTTGTTCTTGTCTGGATGAGGGATGGCGCCTTGTGATCCACGGTTTCTTTTTGAGACCGCGGGAGAGGAGATCAAGCCAATGATGAAAACCATACTGCAAAGTACACGAGTAGAGTAGGCCATCCTTTGGAAGAACAGGGAAACAAGTTAGCATTACATTTCATCATTATTATTATTTTTGACTTGCTACGCACAGGAGTGATTACGCACAGAATGAAAATATAAAAAGAAGACAACCTTTAGACAAGGTTATTCCAATTAGGAATAAAAGTAGCGTCATACAAGTTAGATTTGCGCCGGGATCCAGGGTTTAATTCGTAAAGCAAAGAGTTCAATACAAAAACCTTCCCTTGATTATAAATATCTGCTATAAATTGCTATTTGAATAGCTCCCGTTGTGATTAAATTCCTCTGAACATGCGTCCATAACGTGCACAAAATAGCAGTTAGTTGTGAACAAACTACATGTATTTCTAGTGCTCACTCACTTGTTCGTGTCCCTGTCCTCCAGTGATGGGCTGTTGTCTGTGGTACCTTCACAGATGATAGGCACCCTCTCGCGTCGACTCCTCACTGGCGGGACTGAGCTCTGCTGGGTGGGAGACCGAGCGCTCCATAGAAAAGGGGCCAGGGGGTTTAATACAAATTACTCCAGCGCCGCACTGTCTCCCTTTTAAATGTCTGCCAGCTGAGATGTGCACAACAGCTCCCTCGACATTATTGGCCAAGAGCGAAGTAAAGAAAATCAAAACTATCCGCCCCCTCAACACTTGAACTCGTGGAGGAGCAGACAGGCGGGGAGCAGCCAGAGATGGGCCAGGAGACGGTGCGCACACGGGAGTTATGTACAAGTTCAATTTATACAGAGGACAACATGCCTATGGAAGCAGTCACAGAATACATTTCTGTGTAGAGTAAAAAAGACAACCTTAATGACAATCACTAATAGATCAATCAATGGTAACGTTTAGGATAGAGATAGGACTTTGTTCAACTCAAATAAGAAACTACACCATTCTCGACATATCACGACTTTCTAGCCTGAATAGTTTTGGCTCTGTCCATTTCCGTTCCTATGGTGCCCTCTTGTGGCTTTTAAAGTTATGTCAGAGAAAAGTGACTCATAACAGATTTAGAATTTATTTGTGTGCCGCGGTTCACAAATATCACTTTGCTGGTTGGCAGTTTTACAAAATACAACTTTGCAAAAGACTTGATTTAATCAATACTGTTTGGCATCTTTTGAACAACAGAAGGTGCATTTTTACTTAAGATGGTAAAAATAATAGTTTAAAAATGTTTGAGAAATCTCCCAAAATACATCCATAAGAACAAAGTTTCCAGTCACATACATAATCTGGTCTGCACACTAATGACATAACTAACACAACTCTAGTTAAACTGACATATTTTACAAATGTAAGGCAAAGGTCTCCCACCATAAAAAAGATCGTAAACATTTAAGCAGAATAAATTAAGTACCACTTAACAAACAGTCTACATCATATTCCTCAACAAGACCTGCATAATAAGTCACATGACGAAGAAGACTAAAAATCAACAGGTTTAGTAGCTGACAGTAGTCTGGTCTGTGTTAAGGGATTTCTGGGAGAGCCTCTGTAATGATGCATCTCTTTCTCCACCACTTGTTGCACAAAAGGATTCTGGGGTCCAGGCTGGTCTTGGTGGCACTCAGAAGTGTTCAATTTGATTTTAGGCTGGACCTTGTTTGTCACATCCTCAAGGGCACACTGCTTGGCTTTACGGGCCAGGGTGCTAGGTTTTTTGGGAGGCACAGGAGGGGGCTTTTTCACAGATTTAACACTGTGGACCTGTGGTTCATCCAGATTATGCTGGGACTGTGGGTATGGAGAGAGGCCGGTCTCTAGACTCACAGCTTTTGGCACTTGCATGCTCTGTTGAACAAAGCCTCTTGTGGGTCTTCTGTTCTCTCCCATAAGTGAATTGATTCTGCGGACAGTTTGACGGACAGGTGTGCGCTGGAACCTGAGAGGAGACCTGCTGGCTTTTTCCTGAGAGCCTTCAGGATAACGCAGAGTGAGCCTGTTGAAGTGCTGAATGCGTTCTGCCACTCTGCGCTTTTGGGACTGCAGATGGTCAGGAGACACTGCCACCTTCTGGTCATCAGCTTTGGTACATTTATCAGGTTTTTCATCTACAACACTAACTTCAATATCAGCCCTTGGGGGAGTACATAGCTCAGCACTGGGTTCAAAGTCGGGTCTGTATGGAGTCGACTGCAGCCCAGACGACACTCCCAGTTTGAAGTGAGCCGGACTCTGAATGTCTAGAGCATCGATCAATCTACTGCAGTCCACCAGCTCCTCCTCCTTTTCTCCACTGTCCAGCACATCATGTGTGATGTTGAGGGCAGTACCTTTAGAGGCCTTTAACAAGAGACTACCGTTTGTATCACAATCAAACACTACACTATCAATATGCAAAGGAGACAGACAAGCAAGCTCCATTTGCCCAAATGTAACATTATTGTCATAATTGGCCAAAAAAGACTGCCGAGCTGGTATCACGGAGGAAGATGCAACAGAGTTCACTGGAGTTTCTGGATGAGACGCACTGACATCATTTGATATTGAAGTTTTTGCAGGTGAATTGCAGGCAACAGGCTGGCAGTCACTACTCCATTCTGTAAAGGCCTGGTTAATCTTTAGCAGAGTAGATCCTGTTGGAATCTGGGCTTCAGCAGCTTCTCCCTCGCTCTCTAAACTGCCTGCACTTGTAGTACAACATAGTTTCAGGGGCCGGCTGGACATTGGCGAGGGCTTGGCTATGACTATTGCAGGCTCAGAGGAGAAAGTGTTCTTCAGGCACATGCTCATGGGAGTATCTGGGAAAGACCCTCTGTTGAAGTCCTGAGATGTGACAGGAGTCTCTGTCCAAACAGCCTGACGGTCACTTGAGTGTGGGTGAGGGGTCAACAGGTTGTCTTCAGACTTACTGATGAATTTGGTGCCTTTAAAAGAAAATGAATATGATCATTTTGGGTTGGTATTTAAAAAAAAAAAAGTGATTTTCTTGTGACTTACTGTTTGCCTCACTTATCCTGGGTAGTACAGATGGACTGATGAACTCCATTTCTTTGGTGAAACAAAAGCTGGTTGTGCTTTCCTGAGAGGCAAGTCTCCAGCCAATGGATTCAGATCCCTTTTAACAACCAACATGAAATGAGAAATGAAAGACCATCCAGAGAATATTAATGGGGTTATTTTGTTAAAATGAAACCCACAGATGTAACCCAGTATGTGTGTTAATATGTTACAATAATTTGTGGTTAGTTCTTCAGAGTATGTTAAAATAACTCAGAAGCAACCAGATTTCCACACAATTCAAGGTTTTTTATTATTCATATATTCAAGTCAATAGCATGGCTGAATAAAATGTGCATCATTCAAGATACATCACATCATTTTAAAGCTCTATGTCCCCCACCAGATGTCACAGCAACAAGGATGTACCTTACAAGTAACAGACATAAAAGTGCGAAAAACAAGGCATGCATAGTTTTTAGCCTGTTACTAGAATTAAATATAGAGTTAAAAACGTGTGCAAATATGGAAATATTTGCTCATTGCACCGACAATAAAGGAAAGTGCAAAACTACTGAATTCTTTTTCAAACTACAGACTTTCTAAAACGCATGTCATGCACTTAGATTAACAGGGGGTGTTAATCTGTGGGTTCTATGAAGCAGCCACACTTACAGCGTCTTTGCTGCTTTTACCCAGGCTGAAGCGCATGCGCAGAGATTTGCGTGGTGCATCCTTTTTGTTGACTTTAGGAGAGAAGCAACCGGCTTTGCCAGATTCCACCCTGTAAAAAATAGATCAAGACAGTTGCCTTTAAGAAATGTCTCAATTTTGTCACATATTAATATTTCTGCTTTGGATGTACCTGCTGACTAAATGCCGACTGCTGAGTCTTCGGCTCTTTCTCCTGGCAGAAGTCACAGAACGCCTTTGAGATCTTCCTCCAGAAGCACAGGTGTTTGAAGAGTCCAGGACACCAGAAGCACTACGAGCTTCAATTTTGACACAGAACAAAATATTACATACAGGTGCCAACATCTTTGAACATCTGTCATTACAGAACGATTAGTACCAGATCCTGGAGTAGATGTTCCATTGAACATGGGGTCAGGAAGTAAATCTATGCCAAGGTTCTTCTTCATTGATCTGCGTTTTTTATTTGAGAACCCAAAACTGTGACCAGATTCCAGAGGTAGTTTTCGCTTGGAGTTGGGGGTTGCAATTACAGGGGTTGCAGAAGAAAAAACTGTCAAAAATCACAATAAATGTAGTATATTGGATTATGAGAACACTTTTATGTTCAAATCAAATGCAGTGTCAGGTCAAGCATATTGAAGCAAATTGCGATTTCTGCCTGAATAAGCAATGTGCAAGATGACCCATGCAAATGCTATGTGGGCAAAGAGAAAATATCAGGATAGAAGGCAAGTAATTCAGACAAAGCAGTTTTCATTTCCATGCTTGCACAAATTGATTCAGGTACCAAAAGTAACTTAATTTTTACTATGATTTATATGATATATGAAGATGAGCGCAAGCATTACTTATTCAATTTGCAACAATATTACGTACCAATACTGTCTGACTGGGAGTTATGTGTGGGTGTTCTATTAGTTTTGATCTTATTCAGAGCCCCACTGACCATATCTGTAATGTGAGACACATCGAGTCATGTAAATGTATTTCTTCACCAAAGGCCAAACCATAAATACCGATAACTGCTTTGACAAATACAAGGATGTGTATAATTACATACAAACAATTAAAAAGTTGGTAAATGTTTTTAAAAATTAACATGTCGTAGTTACCTCCAAAACTACGCCTAGGCCTCCTCTTCATTCCTGAGTTAAGATCAAGTTCACGGAGTTCCTCGTGAGTAGGAGACAGAACATCAGAATCACAACCCATCATAGCTGGCACTCTCTCTTGAAGAAATTGTGGCAGAACACCTATGATAGACAAATATTAATTTATTAATATCTAAAATATAACTATAAACTTTAAGAAAGCAAAAAAATTACCAAAGCTGTGAGCATTTTCAATGAAACAGTGGACAACTGCTGCTTGGAGTTTGAGGCGTTTTTCCGTGTTGGTATTCATCTTCTCTGCTCCATCTGCAGAGTGTAGGAGATTTGGAGCCAGGATTACAGACAGGTTACTGCTGTCCATCTTATTTTCCACACTCCTGTAATGCACCAAAATGGAACATGTGAAATCCACACAAACAGCTGTGACAGATTATATTTAAAAAGGATCAATCCAACATTATCATGACGGTACCTTGAGGATACGGTCTGAAGGAACTCAAAGAAGTGTCGGAGGGTGTTCTGGTTCCTTTCGGGGAGCACACAGGAGAGCAGCATGGTGGCCGCTGTCCTCTCCTCTTCAGAGTTGAGCTGCTGAGCCTTGAGAAAAGCATCCTGCAGCTCTGAGGCAAACACAGGCTCCGGCAGCTCTCTGAAGAACTGCTTCACCAGGCCGGCCACATCGCAGGGAAGAGCTGTGGACAGACAGTCTTCTCCTGCATCCAACTTGGCCTAAACAGACAAAACAGCATTGTCTTGAGCACATAAGGTCAAAAGTCAACAAGGGCAAGGTCAAATTGCCCCATCACTCACCCGGAGAGCTTTGAGACGAACAACGGATCCTGACTTTCTGAATAGGCCCTCTGTGTCAACATGAGCCGTTAGATTTATACAAGCGTCAACAAGGAATCTGAATGGACAAAACAAATTAACACAGACTCTCAGTGCTTGAAACCAAGTAACTGCCCCAATAAATGCAACTAAATAATAAATCATTTACCTTGGCACAATTCCATTATCCATATTATAACATGGCAGATTCTCAAGAGGCACACCAAACACCTTTTTCTGGATAAACACACACAAAAATGTTAAGACAATAAAATACTTAAAAATAAATCTGCTGCAGAACATCATTTAGTGTTAATTATGTAAAGATTTTAAAAACATAGTTTGATTGTTAAAAGATCGTACTCTGCACAAAACTGACTCTTATGAGCTTCAAAACATGTTATAATGTTGTTACCTCCTCTAAAACAGCCCTGGAGATGCATTTTGTTTCATTTACACAAGTCTGAGTAATAGTGGTTTATTAGTCTGTTTACATCTCCAAAGCTCAAAATGCGCTGTTCCACTTTGTGATGTCATGCACTGGTTATTTTCTAGTTAACAGCTACCTTTTACCTTTAGTTCAATAGATTAATAATTTCAGCTCTGGAATTGCGAAAGTCGAAAAAAAAAAACATAGTACACTTCCTGTATTACCACATGACATCACAAGATGGAACAGAGTGCTTCTGTTTGAGAGAAGAGCCCAGCCTAAATTTCCAGGGTCTGTGTGAATGAAACAGACCAAAACTCCAGGTATGTTGTTGATAAGGAAACAACATTATAACAGATCAGAAAATTGTGTAATATGGGCCCAGCAATGTATAATAACCTTAATGTGGAAAGATTAATAGGGTCTAAACTAATCTAAACATCAACAACATATCCAAAATAAACAGTGACATCTTTTACAACAGATGAATAATATGTGGGTCAGAAGGTGGGACAGGCAGCAAAGTATGTATGGAAATATTTCACAGTCCACACCTTTAGATTTCATAGCAGAAATGAAGAACAATGACACTTAGAAACTGTCTTACCGAGATACTCGCTGATGCCCGGGAAGCTTTGTTTTTATTCCAGTTTTTAGTCTTTATGCCATAAGCTGTGCGAAGGTGCTGCACTGCCACAAGACGCATCACATTTCTCTCTAACACCTTCATTTTGGCCGCAAACAACCAATGCTTCTACAAAACAGATCCTATTTCTAGAACTATGAAAATACGGTTGTAATTTCCTGTGTAAGATCGTATCACCTCCTCTGGATGAAAAAAACAAAACGCTAACACTAAGTTGTCCAAAAGGGAGACGATTTTCAACATCCAGAAAAACTCCGAGCTATGCCACTACAAAATCGGATATACCATCTAAAAAAACGTATCTAATATTATTAAATTCCTCCAACTTCCCCAATGTTCAGCTTCATTGTGTCGCAATAGTGCTAGCAAGCTAACACTAACCAGCTAACCAGAGCAAATAAAAAACACAAAACTCTCCTCTCCATACACTCCCTTCTTCTAGTAGTGGTTCATAATGCTCCTCGATCGGTTAAAGTATAAAGTACATCCGTACATCTTGTAAAGTTAACATCCGTACATCCTGTAACGTTAAACACTTAAACTTTCCCTATCAAAAGTCCATTCTTCTGGTCCTCACCATGGACAGTTTACGCTTCTCACGCAGCGCTCTGTTTCCGCAGATTCAAACATCAGCGCTCCCCACGCGCACGCTCTGATTGGCTGAGAGCGGTTACAAGAGCATTTTTCCCAGCGTGTTTACTTTACTACACTAGAGGTCCCGCCCGGGCGGGGAAGTCTAGATCCCGTTCATCTCAACATTTTTGTTTCCGCCGGGCGGCCGGGCTATCCAAATCCACAAAATAACGGAATATGTCATACTTCTGAATGCAGTGGTTATGCCCTGTTTATGTAAATGCATCTAAAATAAGATCGTATTATATTTTATACAGTAAAATACATTTACTGTAAAATATTTTGTACTGTGATTTAAATATCCCCTTATCTCAATGTAGAAAAGAAACAGGAAAAGAAATATACTCTCGCAAGGGCTTTACTTTATTACAAGAAAACATATGCACACATATATACAGCGGACATGGATGTATAAATACATGAATGTAACAAGGTTGGTATTGTTTAGAAACATTTCCTGTGGACAATAGAGGGGCCGGCCTCATCATACTCCTGCTTGCTGATCCACATCTGCTGGAAGGTGGACAGAGAAGCAAGGATGGAGCCGCCAATCCAGACGGAGTACTTCCTCTCAGGGGGAGCAATGATCTAAAGAAACAAAGGCATACACTGAGTTTATTTCTCTTCTATGCCAAGTTTAATTTGAACTTTTTTTTTACTTATGAAGATCTGCATCTCACCTTGATCTTCATGGTGCTGGGGGCCAGGGCGGTGATCTCCTTCTGCATACGGTCAGCAATACCAGGGTACATGGTGGTACCACCAGAGAGCACATTGTTGGCATACAGATCCTTACGGATATCAATGTCACACTTCATGATGCTGTTGTAGGCGGTCTCATGGATACCAGCAGACTCCATACCTGGGAGACAAAGAATGTTAAGTTTTACAACATATGCAACAGACAAACAACATATCAGGTCTAATCATTTTAGTTTGTAAATGTCTCTTACCGATGAAAGAGGGCTGGAAAAGGGTCTCGGGGCAACGGAAACGCTCATTACCAATGGTGATGACCTGACCATCGGGCAGCTCATAACTCTTCTCCAGAGAGGAGGAGGAAGCAGCAGTGGCCATCTCATTCTCAAAGTCCAGAGCAACATAGCACAGCTTCTCCTTGATGTCACGCACAATCTCACGCTCAGCTATGGAAAGTAAAGTTTGGCATTTCAGCGAAAAGATCTAACATGTGCAAATGAGTTCTATTGATATAATATGTACCAGTTGTGACGAAAGAGTAGCCACGCTCAGTCAGGATCTTCATCAGGTAGTCAGTCAGGTCGCGACCGGCCAGATCCAGACGCATGATGGCATGGGGCAGGGCATAACCCTCATAGATGGGCACATTGTGGGTCACACCATCTCCAGAGTCCAGCACAATACCTTTGGCACACAGGAAAGGCCAGCATACTTTCAGTGCTTAGAGTTCAACACATATAATCCTCCTTATTTAGCTATGTGACACATCATAAACGAAAGCTGCTGACAACTGTTGCTTGTACTATGCAGGGATAGGATTAACACTTTAACTTGACAATGTGAAAGGAATCAATGAGGCGACAGCTTCACAATGAGCTGTGTAAATTTAGGTTGTATCATAGTAGTGAGTACTGACCAGTGGTACGGCCAGAGGCGTACAGAGACAGAACAGCCTGGATAGCCACATACATGGCAGGGACGTTGAAGGTCTCAAACATGATCTGCAAAGTACATACAAAATGTGTTATTAAGAAGTATCTGTAAAACAAATATAAGTAATATTTGTGCTACCAGCCACATTCTGAACATGCTAAAAAAGTTTAATTTTTACAGCAGTTTTGTCTACAAATTCTGTTGCTGCTGCTGTTATCTTTAATAGTACTTTAGCAGTTACTATTTGCACTTCATTACTAAGATAAAAAAAAACAACTCAATTCAACTCACAATTGCTCAATTTACTTATGCAATATACACTTTCATTATGTTTTTATGCTAATAGTAATAACAACTTTAAAGATTTGCAGAAAAATTGTAACTGCAAGTAAATACTTAATTTCCTAATACATACCATTTTGATTTCAAAGTAAAGAGTAATACAAGTCGATTTATACCTGGGTCATCTTCTCTCTGTTGGCTTTGGGGTTGAGGGGGGCCTCAGTGAGCAGGGTGGGGTGCTCCTCGGGGGCCACACGCAGCTCATTGTAAAAGGTGTGGTGCCAGATCTGTCAGCAGAAGAAAAGACATGGCAGCTGATGAGGTGCCTGAAATAACACTTAAGAGCAGGATCAACCCAGATACTTTCAAAAATACAGCCCTAATACTAAAAATAAGAACATTTTACAACAACTAACAGGTTGTGAAGTGTCAGGCATGTGTCAGGTCAGCTGTTGTAATGTTGTAAATGAGCCCCCACTCATCACCCACTCACCTTCTCCATATCGTCCCAGTTGGTGATGATGCCGTGCTCAATGGGGTACTTGAGAGTCAGGATACCCCTCTTGCTCTGGGCCTCATCACCTACATAGCTGTCTTTCTGACCCATACCCACCATCACACCCTGGAGAAGTCAAGACAATCATTAATATTCATAACCACAGGAATATACAGGAAAGTACATATTATGCTGAATGTAAAAGAGAGTGTACCTGGTGGCGGGGCCTTCCAACAATGGAAGGGAAGACAGCACGGGGAGCGTCATCTCCAGCGAATCCAGCCTTGACCAGGCCAGAGCCATTGTCGCACACGAGGGCGGTAGTCTCGTCGTCGTCGCACATGGTTAGGCTTGAGTCTGGTCTAAATGGTCTGGATTCAACATAAAGAGAAGTTCACGTTACATAGAAGCCACTAAAACAAATGAGACTGACACCTCTTCAATCACCATGCTATGTAATTGAAATACTCATTCTAATCCTCAATGCTTTGAAGACCTATCTCCTATCAGACACTGTTACAGTATAATAATACCTGCCTCAATCGAGGCTATCTAGAGAGCGCTAATTGCCCATGCCTTTGGACACTATTTCTGTCCCATCTTGTTGTACACTTCCTGATAACCTATCTCCAAAGTTGATTGTTCCATGAGAGCTCAGAGCTGCTGAGGTAGCACCAAAAAGGGGCATAACATAGACCTGTCTTCTATTTTAGGCTGCTGTTTTCTACAATGAAATGTGTGCCCACAATGGTGAAATGCACACAGTTTACAAGAAGCAATCACAAAACCTGCTTCTGTTATGTTATTTGGTGTTTATTATGCAGATACCATAGACTGTATAGTACATATATACCAGATATATACTGTATATATGGTATATGGTAGACACCAGTTATTTTTCATTCATTTGAAAGCAGCAAATTGTAGATAGGCTAAAAGGTATAAAAGCACTTTCTGGTGGCTAATGGCTTTGGAGAACACACATTTTCAAATAATTTAAGGCTCTATCATATTACAAGAAAAAAAAAAAACATTAAAAACATTAAAGTGAAATAATCTTTACTTCCTGACTATTACTAAGAGTGAGTTCTAGGTTTGCTGCAAAGACCATTCAGTCATTCAGTCATTCATTCATTCATTCACAAATCCACAGGCACCAGACTAGTTGTGCATCACTAAACTAAAGATAAAGCAAAATAAACTTATAGAGCAGTAGTAATAGAACTAGGAAGTGAAACTCACCAAGGTGCACACAGGCAGATGGATGCTTCCACTGGGACAACCGCCTGGAGTTGAGCACCCGCTTAAATAAGACACCGGCTGGGCCCGGGGTCCAGGGGCGGGGCTAAGGGGGGGTTCACACAAGTCCAAATAAGAGCTGGCAGCAAAAATCACAAATGTCTTTTACATAGATGGACAAAAGGGATTTAAACTCAGATAAATCAACTGCTCGGGCTAATGTAGAGTCAGTGTAGTGAGAAGTATGTGGTTGTAGCAATGGTAATAACAGGGTCTGAAATATGAATGGATCATTGTCATACTGAATGACTGGCAAAATATTCTCTGCATGCCTTTCTTTCTGTTATAATAATTATTACCAGTGTCCAAAATAATAGTTCACAAAAGCTTCAATGCCATGTAAATGTACTACAACTTGTTTGTGCTTTATAAACGTATCTGTAACTTACTACCATTATCAAGTGCTGTCTTGTGAATTCTCACACTTATGACAGATCCAAATGGTGACCCACAGACAGGAACTAGACTTGGATCTAGTTAAGGAAGTGAAAACACTGTAGAGCAGTGTGAAGCGTGCAGCTGGTATGCCCACCTATCCTCCTTAACGCGTGGAACAGCTGATGGCTCCGGTGGTGTCAGTGCTCGGAGCTGATTGGCCCGGCTGTCTCCTTGTACGGTTATGGTGAGCGCGCACGCAGCCACCAGGGCTCCTGGGTAGTGAGTTCAAACATGAGGCCCATATTTGTCCTAACCCCCTTCCCAACCATATATTCCCCATAAACCCCAGACATTTATGAGGTAATACTCACATCTATGCAGACACAATAAGCAACTACAAAGAAGTAGATAAAGGGGGATAAAAAAAAAATCCAAACAATTACTTGAGTGATAAATGTTGTAGCTCTAATATAAATTATTTGATGATTTGAATTATCTTTGTTATATAATCTCTATTTGAGTGGCATTACTTTACTGAGGTATGATTGCATTCTTCGGTTCTGGCCTCACCAGATAACTTACCACTCTATTAATAGATGTCCCTGGATATTGAGATAGAGAGCTGGATGCAGAGACAGCATCTCATAGGGTCAAGAATCACTAGAATTACTAGTTTGAGAGAGGGAACAAATCACTATTCAAGTTGTACCTGTTTGTTTCCGAAAAGACCGTATCAGGCATATATGTGGATGTGCAGACCGTCACCTTTAGCAATATAATGTAGGGACGTTGTAATGGAGTTCCTTTGATTTGATATTGTTCATTTAAAGGTTTAAAGACATCTTGTGTTTTATGAGAGGTTATGTTTGTTTCCTGAAGTCTTAATGAAGACACATTTCTGTTTTATCTTGCAAAAAACAAATGAAGATCAGTTCTATTCTGTTCTTTGCTCTTGTTACTATACCATACCAACAGTGAAGAACGAAGTGAATTTCACATATCATTAGTATCAGTATCAATATTCCCAGCTCTTGCATAGCAAAATTGCCAGATTTTAAAAGTACATATATTACTACAGTCTGTGAAATCAATATCCTACGACATCTTGCAGTAACTTGCCTTATGCAATTAAGCGAATAACTTGTAGAAATTAATTATGAATGTGTATTGCACTCATCCCATGCCGTTTCCTCACTGTGCCTCTCCCGTGTTAAAACCATACACTGTACATACAGTTTTTATACAGTCTGTGAGTAAGGCGTGTGTTTGCTGCCCTCTAGCGTTACTTTTAGGAAAAGTGATGACGTTTCACGTGCGACTCTTGTTGCGACAGCCACGCGACAGTGGCCGTAGGTTGTTGCTGCCTTCGGAGTTGTGGGCATGGTCAAATTATGATCAAGTGGTTATCTAAGCCAGCCTGACTGAGTTTCTTTGTTTTTTACGACATACGAGAGCGGCGCATTCAGCGGCGCAGTGGAGAAGCTCACAAAGGTAAAGCTTCGGCTCTTCCTGATATTTCTTCTGCCCATGTCGTGCGTGAGAGAGCGCAGCAGCACTGCCATGTAGTGATCCCAGAATGAGCGGTCAGCACACGCACACAGATGGGACAGACGACTACACTGTGCAGCAGGAGAATGAGCTAGAGGCTCTCGCGTCTATATTTGGAGATGACTTTCAGGATCTCCGCAATAAAGACCCGTGGAAGGTAGCCCCAGAGACAGACCATAGCCAAGTCTCAGAGCTAGCTCTAGTTGTTGATGTGGCATATGTACATATGTGTTGGGTCTCTGTCCAGGTTAAAAGGCCTCCAGAGGTACACCTTTGCCTACGTCCCAACGGGTTGAATCACAAACAGGAATGCTACGTGACCGTGGACCTGCTGGTTAAATGCCCAGCAACATACCCAGATCTGTAAGCAGCAAACGCTCCCTCTGCAACTTCCTCTGTGACTTCTGTCGAGTTTATTGATGACTGAACATGAAAATTACACACCTCTATTTAACCTTATAGGCACATTGTGTAACTTTTCGTGTGGAGGGTCTGTCAAATGCTTTTCTCCATGGAGATGTTATTACTTTGTCTGGAATGTTTCACAGCATGGTATTAAACCTTTCTATCTTCATGGAGACCAAACCAGACCAAGTTACAGGTCAAATCTGCAGAGCAGAGTCTGCTCAGAGTCAGAATGCATATTTGCATTTCATTGCATTGCATTTTTGAGCTACAGAACCATCTGTAATTTAATACATGTAAGGTAGAGCTGTTTAATATCATACTGTCAAAATTCCAGGCAGAGTAATAACACACTCATAGAAACAAGCAGGTGATGGACCCCCAACCAAAAAGTTATATGCACCATTAAAGCTGCATTTAAGTGTTTTGAGCCACTTTTAAATCTTTTAGTGTTGATATCAAACTAAAGTGTGATTTTTATGGCTGCTTTTTAGAATATGCTTTAGTAAGCCAGTAATACATATTCATTTGGGAATATATAGCAGTTGTTTTTATCATTATATCTGGCGACAGGCCTCCAGAGCTGGAGCTTAAAAATGCCAAAGGTCTCTCAAATGAAATCCTCCAAAACCTTCAACGTGAAGTCACCAACTTGGCTGCTGCCCGTTGTGGTGAGGTATGACTCACCTGCAAACCAGTTATACTACATAGGTTATATATTAATAATATAATTTCTTAGTTGTTCATACAATTTTATCTAATTATAATGTTGTATATGTTTGGTCTCTATAAGGTGATGATTTATGAACTAGCAGATCACATCCAGGGCTTTCTGAGTGAACACAACAAACCTCCATCCAGCTCCTTCCATGAAGAGATGCTGAAAAACCAACGCAAACAGCAGGAGAAGAGGGCCCTGGAAGAGCAGCAGAGAATGGACCAACAGCGGAGACAAGAGGAGGAAATGGTCAGGAATTTGACATGAACAAAATTCGTTCTAGTTAACTAGTGGCATGTTCATGTAAAATATATTTCTAGGAAAAAGAAATTATGGCTGTAATTCAAAAAAGAGAGGATCAGAAACGAGAGGAAAAAAGAAGAAAAGAAATGGCCAAACTGGTACAGTCATGATCATAATATAATATTTCTCACATAAGCTTCAAAACTTGACTTTGTTGTCCTGTGTCCTTATAAAGGAGCGGTTAGAATCCATTGAGCAGACAAATGCTGCTAAAAGTGTTCTGGGTAGGAGTCCTCCGAGTCCTGTCACATCTCCAACTGATCTGTCAGAAATCAAGAAAGGCATTGCTAATCGCCGTCGGACTACCTCAAACTCACGACATAGGTAACAGCACAGTGTTGTGTTTTTTTGTTGTTTTTAAAAAAAAATTCAACATCATTTTGACAAACCATTCCAAGTTAATTGCATAAAAATGAAACCTACAACAGTACAGATACAGACAACATAACATATTTTCATTTAAATACAATAGACATTAGACAGTGTTACACAACAACTGACAAAGATCTTCACAGATATAGTTAATTAATAATCATTAATAGTCATTAATAATACTATGTTTTTACAGGCGTGATACATTTGGTGAAGATAACCATAGATCACAAGAACTCCTCCATTTCAGCAGCACAACATTTGGAGAACTTGCTGTTCATAAAGGCAAACATTTGGGTAAGTTTAGAATAAATCAACAAAGTTTACATTTGGGATGATCTTGTATTTTTGTTTGTTTCTTAGGTGTGAGTGAGAGGCTTGGCCGTAGTGTTCACTATGGGTTTGAGGGGAACTCTGGCGACTTTGTGGTCATCTATGAGTGGTCGTTGAGGTGGAGCAAGAAAATGGGCAAGTTCTTCACCAGTCAGGAGAAAGGAAAGATCGAAAACTGTAAAAAGCAGGCATGTGTTCAAGGCACACTCAAGAGAAGACAAGAGGGATTGGCATATAAAATTGTATAAATAATCTTGTTCGTGTTTTCTGTTTAGATCCATGGAGCAGAAAATGAGTTGAATTCCCTGCTGCGGCTGGAGCATCCAAACCTGGTACATTACATGGCTCTGAGCTCCACTGAAAAGGAGGACTGTATTATTATTAATCTTCTAGTGGAACATGTATCTGGGACCTGTTTGAACCAAGTTTTAAAGACACAAACACCTCTGTCTTTAGATAAACTCTGCCTTTACACCGGCCAGTTGCTGTCTGCTCTGGATTACCTCCACTGTAACTCTGTCGTTCATAAGCAGCTGGGAGCATCCAGTGTGATTTTAGACTCAGAGGGAAATGTGCGGTTGACTGATTACAGCTTGTCTAAGAGATTTGCTGACATCTGCAAAGAAGACATTTTTGAGCAATCGCATGTGCGTTTCTCTGAGGCCACTGCCATGCCCACCAAGACGGGCAAAAAGGGGGACGTGTGGAATCTGGGTCTGATGCTGCTTAGTCTGAGTCAGGGAAAAGAGGTGACAGAGTACCCTGTGACTGTGCCCACCAGTCTGCCTGCTGACTTTCAAGACTTCCTTCAAAAGTAAGTCAAGAGGCCAAGACAAAAGCTCTTATCTATCTTACAAGTGCAGAGGCTGTACTGTACTATGCGTGTAATCTATATTGTGTAGCAGTGTGTGTATTTTAACTCTTTATGTATTTGTGTAGGTGTTTGTGTCTGAATGACGGTGAAAGGTGGACACCTCAGCAGCTCTTGGAACACTCTTTTCTAAAGCCTCCATCTCCAAAATTGTCTCCACACTGTCAGGATGCAAGCCCTGAAGGTAATCTGTAATCATATGCATAATGTTTGTACTGTACCACTGTAACTGTAACTCTTTTAATTTTTACTGCCCATTTGTTTACAGATCTTGTGGACTTTGCATCCACTGTTGTACCGCAGAGCCATATTCTGAATGCTCCTTTTAGCTCAGGTGTGCAGAGGCAGTTTTCTCGCTACTTTAATGAGTTTGAGGAGCTCCAGCTTCTTGGGAAAGGGGCCTTTGGTGCTGTTATAAAGGTAATTAAGACTGACTTGTATTTTTCCATTCTTTTTCAGTTCCTCACAATGTTTTGCTTTTGTAGGTTCAAAACAAACTAGACGGCTGCTACTATGCTGTGAAGCGTATCCAGGTCAACCCAGCCAGCAAGCAGTTCAGGAGGATTAAGGGCGAGGTGACCCTGCTGTCTCGCTTAAATCATGAAAACATCGTCCGTTACTACAACGCGTGGATCGAGAAACATGAGAAACCATCTGTAGGTGCACTGAGCAACACTGACAGCTCTGAGCCTCAAACACCTGAAAAGAATCCTCAGGAAAAGAAGCTAACAAGGAATGAGTTTGGACTATTGGACAATGTGGAGGACATGGCGCCACCTCCTGCCCTGTCCAGTTCTGTCGAGTGGTCCACTTCCATTGAGAAATCTTCAAGCGCAAAGTGCAGTGGCCACCAGTCTAGTGATGAAGATGATGATGATGATGAGGATGATGAAGATGTGTTTGGTGCCTCATTTTTGTAAGCATTAACTAACTTTTTTCAGTGCGTTTTAAAGGGACAGTTCAGAATTTTGGACATAGGACCTCATTTCCTAGTGAGCCAGAATATTTGGGGACGTGTGGAGACACTTTAAAAAAATATTCCATCCAGTCCTTGTATTTGCAGAGGTCGCTGGAGCTAGGCTAATGCATGTCAATGGCCATAGTTATCCTGCCACTAAAAACAGTCTTACCCACTCCACAAAACACCCGAAGCAAATCTGTTATTACGCCAGACTCTCGATGTGAATGTCTGTGTCGATAGAATAATGTTTGAAACAAAACTAACCTTACATTGCATGTTGAGGCACTGTTTTCTCATATATCAGTCCGCCGCTGCCAAGCTTTCTATCAGGAAGTACAACTGGTTGCTGCTGCTCAGACATAAATCCTTCAAATGCAAGGTTGGTTTTAGTTCTAAAATTATTCTATCAACGCATCCATTTACATTGACAGTCTGGCAGAATAAAAGATTTTTAATGACTGTTTTTAGTGACAGGCTAACTATGGCCATTGACACGCACTAGCCTAGCACCAGCGACCTCTGCAAATACAAGGACTGGATGGAATATTTAGAAAAGTGTCTCCACACTCTAGGAAATGGGGCCCCATGTCCAAGATTCTGAACTGCCCCTTTAAAACATCGTGTTGTTTTATCAATTTTTTTTGTTTTTTTTTGTTTAGGCCATCAGACAGTAGCTCCAGAAGTGATATCATCTTTGACAATGGGGATGACAGCATGGATGAGATGTCCCAGGTATGAGAATTTCACTTTCAAAATGTTTACATTTTCATTAAGAATAAAACACTAACAGATCAAACTTTGCCAGATGGAGCAAAGCAAAAAGCCTACAGCTGACACAACAGAGAGCATTGATTCTGATCGTTCCCTCCTCATAGCACATTACTTATACATACAGGTATGCTTCTCTGTTACTTCTTGTTGTACCATCAAAGTCTTCTATTTATTATTATATGACACTTGTTTGTTGCTTGTAGATGGAGTACTGTGAGAAGAGCACCCTAAGAGACACAATAGACCATGAACTTTACTTGGACCAAACTCGGCTCTGGAGATTGTTCAGGGAAATACTGGACGGGTTGGCATATATTCATGAGCAAGTGTGTATTTGGTGTTCTGTATGAATGTTCTATTAAGGAATGTCTGCACAGTTATTTTAATACTGTCTTAAATTAACCTCTGTCTCCATCAGGGTATGATCCACAGAGACTTGAAGCCTGTCAACATTTTCCTCGACTCTCAGGACCATGTGAAAATTGGGGACTTTGGACTGGCTACGGACCATCCAGCTAATGTGGTATGCTTGTCCATCTTACAAAGTCTTAATCATTCTTCATAAACAATTTGTGCATTAAATCATTCTTCCTGCTGTATTAAGGCTATAAATATTGTAGTCATTATAAAGTGTTATGATGTGAACTATATAAATAAGCACTGCTAACATGCCAACACTGTTTCAGGCTGCTGCTAGTTTCATAGCGGATGAGAGTGGTGCAGCAACAATACCCAAACCCGATCCAACTGGTAAGATTACAAATAAACATTTTTTAATAGTCAGCTATCTCATTTGACTAATTGTTTTGATTGTTTGGGTTTAGGAAACATGACTGGCATGGTCGGTACTGCCCTATATGTGAGCCCAGAGGTGCAAGGAAACACCAAAGCCACCTACAACCAAGTAACCAAGATATTTTTAGTGTTTGAAATGATGATCTGTTACTGTGAAGTGAAATTCCTTGGAAATCAAAGTTAGATTTCTTGATAAAGTTGTTGTGTCTATGATCAATGTAGTCCCAGGAATCAAGCGTGCATGTGTACGTAGTTTGTCTTGTTTTCATCCAGTAAGTAGGTCTTTAGTCTGCGCCGTCTTGTTTACTAAGGGTTTCTTTGTTTATGTCTAGAAAGTTGATCTGTTTAGCCTGGGTATCATCCTGTTTGAGATGTCCTATCGCCCAATGACCACTGGAGCTGAACGCATCACTGTCCTGAGCCAGCTGCGAGTGGTATGCATCTCTATAGCTGTGGAATTCTGATTCTGACTTTTTTTTTATTTGTGAAACTAACTTTTTTATCTACGACAGGAGCCCATCACATTTCCAGAAGATTTCAATCCAAATAACCAAGGAACACAGGTAAACAAACCAAAACAATAAGAATGTATCCATCCATTTGAACCAGAATACATATATATATATATTATATATAATATATTTCTTTGCTGTAAAAACAGAGGAAAGTGATACAGTGGCTGCTAAACCATGACCCTGCCTTTCGCCCCACTGCCCAAGAGCTGCTGAAAAGTGAACTATTGCCCCCTTCCCAGATGGAGGAGTCTGAGCTACATGAGGTGTTGCAGCACACTATGGCCAATGTCAATGGAAAGGCCTACCGCACCATGGTGGGCCAGCTGTTTGCCCAGAACCCCACCCCCGTCATGGACTTCACCTATGATATAGATCTGCATAAGGTACATGCTAACCTTTCCCTGTAGTTTGGCAAGAGACACATTTCCCTATTGATAACTTTGTACTTTACCATGAAATATCCAAAAGGTAAATTCATAGATGTTGAACCTGGTATTTTCAATTATTAACTCAACCCGAGAACTCACTGTATTGTAGCATAATTTTGCATTTTGACATTTTAAATTTTAGTTGTCCTCCATCTGTGTTTATTAATATTGGCCTATAGCAGAGGTCTCAACCTTTTTCCTCCGGTGAGCTACCTTTACAAAACAAAAATGCTACTCATTTTAATGGGCGCAAGAAACTGAGATGATTATAAGAACACAAGCCTTGGGGTACAGTTAGATGCCTATAAAACATAAATCATTGTCTATTTATTAGTGCACAAAGTTGGGTTTCAAAATGATACATTTACAATTGTAATAGGCATGTAATTAAACAAACTTTGGTTAGGCAGCACAATGGTATAATTCCGAAATCCCTTGGCGAGCTACTTGGAAGGGAGTGGAGAGCTACTGGTATCTCCTGAGCTACAGGTTAGAGACTGCTGGCCTATAAGATGATGTGATGTCATCTGAAATCCAGCAATAGCGACTTTGGGCTTCTTGTTTGCCTTTCTTGTCAGCGGTTTCGATTCTGTTTCATGTTAAAAAACCCAGTAATGACTGAACTACAACCTGTTAACGGTTTAAATATGTTAATTACTGTTAAACTGTTATTAAAATATGTGTTTACAAACAGTGCATGCTTAGCAATGACACATAACTTATAATAATTAGTTGCTTTTTCCTGGGGCTTATTTCTGTGGGATTATTTTCATTTTTTTTTTTTTTCAAATGCTTGATTGCTTGTTGCTCTCTGAAAATGTGGCAGTCTGAACCTTGCTAGAATTTCATGTGCAACTGTAAGCCTCCCCCATATGATGCTTGGAGCTTTTTTAATTGCAGATTATATACTTGTTTCAGAGTAGAGTGGAGAGTTGCATTTCCCACCTCTAGATGTCGCCCTGCTCAAGCATATGAGTTCATAGTTGCCCTGTCTGCCTGTTGAGAGCTTAATCGATACCTTCTGATCTTTAACAGTGTGTCTGTCTGTTCTCCCTTCAGGGCAGCTTCAGCTTCACCGGTGCTAAATTGCAGCAGTATGTGTATGAAACCATCACCCGGATCTTCAAGAAACACGGTCAGTCCTCTGCTGTGTGTAACTGTGCACACCTTGACATCTGACCCACTGTAAGCCTCATTTAGAGACACATCCCCACATCTGCTCCAGTGAGGGGCATTTCAACAATAAGTGTACTGTTGGGCAGCACACAGGCCCTGCAGGTGCTGCTTCTATTTCTGTGAACTTTACTCTGATCATGTCCAGCTGTTTGCATTTGTCTAAGCTTACATTGTGTCTCCTCATGTACTGTTTGTAGTAGATTAACAGTACTGATCAGATACATTTATTTTGATATTTACAGGGGCGGTTCGTCTTCAGACTCCCATGCTCCTACCACGTAACAGGAAGCTGTACGAAGGCAGTGAGCTGGCCTGCTTCATGGACCATAGCGGAATGCTGGTTACGCTGCCCTTTGACCTCCGGGTGAGTCCAACACACGCTCACAAATAACACACAAAGGTGAGCATGGCCCTGTTTGAACACAATCTAATTACACTGGTAGTCGCATTAGCACTTCCACTCACAGTGCCAGAGAGCAATCAGCAGCGCCCTCAGATGAGGCTGCTGCAGGAAAGCCTTAGGTCTAAATGCTTGTTTCCACTCTGTGATTGATTGCAGACTAATTCAGTCTTCTGAGGCTTTGTACAGGCTGACCTATGTCTCTCCCCTCTTTTATTTCAGATGGCCTTTGCACGATTTGTGGCACGCAATAATGTCACTCAACTGAAGAGGTACATTAAAATAAATCTGTATTCATTACTTTGCTATACCTCAGACCCAGTGACTGTAGGGTTTGTATTCTTCCATAGGTACAGCATTGAACGAGTGTTTCGCCCCAGAAAGCTGGACCGTGCCCACCCCAGGGAGCTTTTGGAGTGTGCTTTTGACATAATCACCACAGTCACAAACAGCCTGCTCCCTGATGCAGAGACCATCTATACTGTTTATGAAATTATTCAAGAGTTTCCTGCTCTTCAGGTAGCATACTTTCAAAGCTTCTACTTAACAATGGCTTTATTAATCTATCTTGGCTATAACTGTAAACATGAAGGTTTTTAATTGCAAAAAGAGTTCTCAGCTTTCATACTGATGTCCAGGCAAAGAATTTCTTTTGACAAGATGAATTATTGTGCTCTTTCGGAAACATCCTGTCAACTTGTTTTTCTTCCTTTATAATTCCCGTCACATTCCATCGCCACAACTGTCCCCACTCCCTCACAGAGTTCCAGTGCGCTTGATATTTACTCTGTAAATCTGTTATTCACAGCTTTGTTCATTTCCTTCCCCTACAGCACAGTCAGATCCTGAGAGCTACAAACATGCTCCCAGTACAGTTTTTGTCTGTCTCCTGAACCTAGTTAAACAGGAGGTTGGCCTCTGGTTCATAACCTTGTCAAGCAACTTGTTTTTAAAGTGGAAAACAAGACCAAACATAAGGCTCAAGAGGGCAGTGGGACACTGATACTGTGCATAGTCCACAATGTGTGAAAAGTAAATGCCTAGTTTGCATTTAGGAGACTTAAAATGTGTTTTGTGACCACAGGAAAGAAACTATAATATCTACTTGAACCACACAAGCCTCCTGAAGGCCATCCTGCTCCACAGTGGAATCCCAGAGGACAAACTGAGCCAGGCCTCCAACATACTCTGTGATGCTATGGTCAGTATGGGGCACCAAGGGTCTACGTAAGACAAGACTGTGTGCCTGTTATTGATCTGTTTGTATTAATGTGGCTTTTACTGCAGTCTGAGAAGCTGACCAAACGGGAAGTAGAGGCCAAATTTTGTAACTTCTCCCTGTCAACCAACAGTGTGAGTGTCCAGAAGTTGTCTGAGCCTGGAATCCTCAACAGTACCTAAAGTGACATGTGCTTATGTCCCTCTTTTACCTCCAGCTGCAAACATTATACAAGTTCATAGAGCAGAAGGGCAGTCTGCAGGACCTGGCCCCGCTGTTGGCACTGCTCACCAAACAGAAGACCGCTGTCACACAGCTGGCCAAGCAGGGTCTCAAGGACCTGGAGGAGCTCACTGTACTGCTCAACCGACTAGGGATCAAATTACCGGTGAGTTTGTGTGGGCCATATACTAGCCTATGTGCACAATTTTACTTGGCAGATGTTAACATATTTGTTCTATAGGTTGTGATCAACTTGGGATTGGTGTACAAAGTTCAACATCACTCTGGGATCATTTTCCAGTTTGTTGCCTTCATTAGAAAGCGGAAAAGAACAGTCCCAGATATAGTGGCTGCTGGAGGCCGCTATGATCATTTGGTATGTTTTACTGTAAAGTATTAGTCATCCACATTCCCCATATTAAAATCAATAAATAAACTGCAGTCTTAAGAATGTGTGTGAACCACATGTTTTCCATCGCAAACCTACCATAACTCCTCTATGTTCTCTCACTTTGCAAAGCACTGTTAGCTGTGCCGTCTCCATGGTATTATACTTTCTGTTTTGTGCTTATAGATTGTGGAGTTTCAAAGTTCGGCATCCACAGCTCCAGTCACCTCTGCAGTGGGGGCCAGTGTAGCTCTGGACAAAGTGTGTGCTGCTATGGCCAGCATGGAGGAGCCAGTAAGCTTACAAACACACACACACACACAAACACACACACACACAGGATGTGATATTTTACAGTAATTATTGTAATAGAGGAGCAGCAGGCAGACATTTCATATTTAATGATGCCTTATTCAAGCAGCCAGGTGCCATAGCTACTTTTAGATCCTAATGACTATGATCACTGGGCCGCTTGACGCCATACAGATATATTTAGCGCTACTTCATTTACATGTTAGATACACAGAAACTGACTAGGTGTTATTTAGTTGTTTCATTTAGTTGTTTTTGTTGTTCTATGACAGCCCCCTATAAGCTCATGTGATGCTTTAGTGGTTCCAGTTGGTCATTCATCTTTGTCCAGAGCCATCAGTGTTGTCCAAAAACTGTGGAGCATGGGTGTGTCTGCAGACCTCACCTATGACGTCTCACAGGTGAGTGGTGTGGCTCAATGAATACGCTTACCTTTTGGAATGATTTGGTGGTGAATCTCAACTTTCTTCTCATCTGGTTCTCATTGCTATTCTGTTATGTCTTGTGGTATTCTGTTGTATGTTTCTTAATTTGTCTTCTATTTTTACAATATGTTTTTGATCGATTAAGTAAGGCATATCAAATAAGCCAAATATTAAACAAAAGTCAGTCAGTGAGGGTCTAGTTCAGTCTAAATATAGCTTACATTTAGGAAGCAGAGGCCCTTTCAGGGGACCACAGGTCACTCTGGAGTTGTTTCCGGACCAGTGGAGAAACAAATCTATCTTGGTGGATTGTTTGGCCTTTACTCCTAAAGAGGGCAATAACTGATTCTTTCCCATTTAAGAATATGATATGTTTTAGGTTTGAATCAAATACACATTACACATTTAACTAAAATAAACCCATTGTTTCTGCTTAGAGACAAAGAAGGATTTGAGTTCCTTGTTATGCAATAAGTAATAAATCCATGGTCCCTAAGTTTGTTTTTCATTTTAATCTCCAAGTGAGAGGTTGCAGACCAATCTTATTTCTATATTTATTTCAAATTCATTGTGTGTTGCCCTACCTCCAATAATGAGCCTCTTTCTTCTTTGTTGTGATTATGTGATGTAGCTGGCTAAGCGGGTTATTTATTGACATTTTGTTGGTACTGTGGCTTATGCTGTGGAGCTCAGTCAGATGAGGAGTGTTGAGGTGAAGACATCCCATTTAAAGCTATTGAATTTAACACCTCTCACATGTTGTCTTGTTAACAAATGTAATCCGATTTTAATTCAGTGTAAGGATTTTATAGAGCAAATATGGCAGTTATCTCTTTTTCTAGTAGTTATAAATCCCATCAGCCATTAGACAGTATTGGATCTGACTTGGCTCTGTCAAGTTTAGGCAGATTATTTGATGGTTTGTAAATCTCTTTTTAGACAGAAATATTTAGAAACTTAGAAATTAATGTATTCCTATTTGATGTTATTTTTGTGTTTTAGTCTCAGGAAACTTTAATGGACCAATGCAGACTGGCTGGTATCACCTGCATGGCCATGGTCTCTGACAAGGAAGGCAACTACGTGAAGGTAATCCTCCTCCATCTATAGTATCTGAAGCTGTAGTACATAAACTGTCATCTTTACTAAAACATATGTGTTCCAATTCTGACAAAGTAAATAATGGTGGCGATATATACAGCAACACCTGTAAAATGAATTTTGTCTTTGCAGGTGAAATCATTTGAGAAGGACAGACAGTCTGAGAAGAGAATTCCAGAGAATGACTTGGTGGACCACATTGTTCAGAAATGTCGGACCAAATTCTTTGAAGAGCGAAACATCAGGTAGAGACATAGTGGAGCTGCAGGGACTTGTGGGGCCTTTAAAGGGTTTATCTTCTAACAGTTGTGCTTATGCCTCTGCAGGGAAATCTCTGAAGGCATGTCTCTCCCCAATCCCAAAGGATCACTGCTCAACACTACAGGTACAGGACCGACTAAGCTGCTCTTTACAACCCACTCCAATAAAATCCTCATGCTGAATGTTATACCCATGAGGCCTCACTTCACCAGACATTAGGATTCTTGCTAAGTGGATTATAAGAGAGAGTGTACATACAAGAGTTTAAATGTTTTTGTGAGCAAATAACCACAGCTATGAATGCAGAATGTCACATCTTTGAGACAGCAAACAGTGCAAAGGGGATTTCCTTAAAATGAAAAAGTGCATTTCAGGTACGTCTTCGGGTGGATGGAATTTTCCACAGTATGGCATTAAACTTATTTCAGTGGAAACAAGCAGCACCTGTAAGCCAACAAGTTATAGGTCAGATCTGTGGTGAGGTGACCAGCTTACAGAAATAATGCATTTTTTTTTTTCAAGATGTTTCTGAGCAGTAAAATGGCTGTAATTGAATGATTGATAGATGGATAAGTTTAATGTGGAACTTCTCAGGCAAAGAAATAACATCGTAAGAAGTCAAGGTGATCGACTCTCGAACAGTACACATTAAAATCGTTTTTTGATTGTTTAGGATCGTCAGAGCAACACTGTGGCAGCACTTCCGTAAATCTAAATGTGAATGTCATCAGCCCAGAAAAGGTTTCTGCAAGTGCCAGGCGACGTTATGACACCCAGGTCAGTGTGTTTTCCATTCCTCTTTGATCCTTTTATGTAATGTAACCTTTTTATGCTAATGAGGTGTCTTGCCCAAGGACACTATAGATGGGATGTGAATAACCAGCCTGTTTATTGAGTAACTTGAGTCTGTGAGTTTGTGTGACTTTGTGGGGAATTATTGTTCTGCTCACAAGCCGTAAACTCACTCTAAAATGATCCGAGTGCTTATGAATCCATTTAGATGATAATTATCCTTCCCGCTTTATGTTTGGTCATGGGAACAGTTAGTCTCCTCGGTCATGATTTCGCTCTTATCTCTCCTCAGATCCAAACCCGATTACAGAATCTCGGCAGCAATTTACAGAACAAGAGCAATGACATTGAGGTTCTGGCGGTAAGTCATTTGTTTGTTTACCCCTTTCTCCCTCTCAAACCCACGCACCCTTTTTTTTCTCTGCATGGTCGCCTTATCGTCTCAGCTCATGTGTGAAATCGCAGGGCGAGGAAAGTGCTTCTGATAGCTAAAACAGCAAACATCACAGGAGCAGCCTCATAGTTGAACCTGTTAGTGATATCTTGGCGAGCAATTCATTTTGGTCATTACAGGTGCTCGAGGTGCTCATTTGTGTGTGTGTGGGGGGGGGGGTTCAGACAAGCAATACCACTGTGATTAGAGTTGCAATTCATTTTGAACACTTGTGTAAGCATTTGACGACTGAAATGAAATGCTAAAATAATAAAAGAATCACGCACTTCAGATTGTGTAAAGGTCTCAAATACAGAACCTGATGTTTTTATTGCCTGTTGGGGTAGTTCCAGTGTAACCTTTAGCTTAAAACAAATATATCTCAAATAAAAACATACCCCGCTACTGCATGCTCCTCTGTGTCATAGTGTACGAATGTTTGGCTTGTCAACTCATTGTATTGTGTTTTCACTGAGACAATGATCACCAGTGTTTTGCTTGTGTTATCTTCCAGGTGGACCTGCAGAAGGAAACTCTGATCTGCTTCCTGTCTCTGGAGGTCTGTTGGTACTGCCTTGATTAAGCATGTTGTTGAGTCAATAATGCGGGCTATATTTGAATGAATAGTGGGCGCTATAGTGGGAAGTGGAAAGAACTGGCAGTGAGGTCAGGCCTCGAGACAGGAAGAGGGGATCCCGCTTGTTTCCTTACAGTCCTGGCTGACGAGGAGCAGAGTGAGGGAACACCCTGGACTTTTTCCACAGCCCACTCATTTCACGAGGCTCTCACGTTTGCAGGAACATTATAGTGAACAAAAAGAGCTCTGAGAAGGTGTTAATATCACATTCCATGCTCCTGAGAAAATAACTCATAAAAAAGTGTTGGTTCCCTCTGTTAAAAGACTTAAATTATATTGTGGCAAGTAACATAAGGAGAGGTGAAAATGCCCTCCACACCGGGATAATATAAGCAACAGCCTTCACTCAATATCTGAAAAGGCCACCTACACCGGGCACACATATGTCAGAGAACATTTGTGGAGTATAAAAAGTATGACAATACACAGTGTGTAAAACCAGGCCTGCAGGAAAGGTCTGTTTTGAATATGGCAAATTGCTCCAAGTCACACAAGGAACAAGAAAATCTATAAACCCACTTGCGCTTTGTGGCTTCACAGCTCTGCTCCCTTTGACATGCACAAATATACTCCACTGCTGGACATAGAACCTCCATTCATTGGCTTGAAACGCCTTGGCTATAGAGCGGGGCAGTCATAGTTAACACTATGACAATGACAACTGTATTTTGTTATGATTTCTGACAAAGAGCCCGAGCTCACTGCTGGTGGTTTGTACATGTTTGATTTTCACACTTAAAGGGGTAATGCATTTTGTGAAAGGCTGTAATTTTTGTTTCATTACAGTTTGACAGTGAGGAGCAGTTCAACAGCAGTGTGAAGACTCTCTTGTCTCGACTCCCAAAGCAGCGCTACCTGAAGTCCATCTGTGAAGAGATCCACCATCTAAAGATTACAAAGAAGTATGTCCTTTTGTGACACTGAAAAGTTTATTCAGTTTAGAATACAGTTTTAGGCCCAGAGGAAAACCTCATTTTGCAATTTTTCAGTTGTTCTATCAGTTCAGATGTTAAGTTATTTTTGTCCCCATGCACAGATTTTTTTAAAGGTAGGTTTGTACTAATTTATAATCACTACATCTTAACAAAGCATGATTCAGACATAGTAAGTGCTTAATATCTTAAGTCTTTGGTCATGCTTTATTAAGACTAGAAGCGCCTAATTTAGGTTTTATTTGGCATTTTATCTGGTATTAATCATGATCTAGATTTGAAAAAAAAAAAAAGTGACCACAGTTTTCAGGCGTATCTTCTATGAGTCCAATGTGATCAAATGGCAGGACACTAATGCGGTACAGACATTTTCCAAGCAAACCATTGAATTGTCTCAGAAGACCCTGGACCCCCTCACTGCCCCGTCTGCTTTGCCTCATGTTTCTATCCTCCACTGTCTTGTATTCATAAAAAATACTCAAATTCATAAAAAATTATATAAAAAATCCTCACTTCCTTATATGTGTGGCTGCCACTCTTAAAGCCCCTTGTGAATGTGTACAGACCAGGTGTAGCAATGACATTCAGCCCATCAAAGAGAGCTGCTAGACTGATAACTACAGGCTTGCCCCACGCCAAATCCGCCGCTGATCCCATTTCCTGAGGTGAAATCTGGAACAATTTTCTATGTTTGGTCTTATGGCGTGTTGCTTGCAGCACTGATTGACTGGTAGCACTCAGACTGTGTTTTAAATTAGGGAGTTCGTAACGCGTCTGTGTTTGGGCCTTGTTGTCCTTAGAAACCCACCGCAGAAGAATACATGTATGAGGTAAAGAGAGATTCGTGAATTAGATGGTAATAGAAAATCAAAGCCACTCATTTAGGCTTTCTCATGAGAACACTCGGTTTTCATTTGCTGTCTCTGATATGTGCCTCATTTGCCATTTGGGAGGAAAGTCTTTGCTGATTGTGTTGTGAATTAAGGGCACAGCATGGTTCTATATAGTCTTGATTCTAATAAAACTACTCATCTGCAATGTATATTCTAAGCTTATGTTTAAGTAGCGATATTAACTCAAGATCTGTATGTGGTAAGTAGTGCTGTGATGTTTTATGTTGGAACTCATTGCTCTTCTGCTCTCTTGCAGGTTGGCTGTGGTGGTTCTATACAGCTACAAAGATGACTACTACAAGATCCTTCTTTAGAGCTGGGAGAGCTCCACTGTTCAGGAGAATATCATGTAGTCAGCACTTCTGACACTGAAAGAGAGACCTAACAAATTTCAATCATGGAGTCGAAGTCTGAGAGTTTGGTAACTGCACACGTAACTTTTTTATTAGTCCTCATCATGAAATGAAGTTAAGGACTTGCCTCAAAAGAACTGTAAAATCAAGACAAGGGCTTGTGTGTTTATGTAAGATGTTTTATATTTGTAATAATGAGGATGGTGAAACAATACATCCAAACTTTTTTGCTGTGAATTTCAGTGTTTTCTAAAAGAATGTGTGAGCCTTATGCAATGGGCTACAAAACCTCTATTCTGGCAATTATGTTTCAATCACAATAGTACATTAAGTGAAGTGACAGATGCTCAATAACATCCTCAAAGTTTCCTAAAAATAATGTCAGTTGCACAGACACACCATGGGCCATTGTTGGTCTGAAGGCCTGGGAAGCTTCCTGAGTGTTTACTGATCCTTCTGCAGATAATTCCTCACCTTCAACTTTATGAGCGAACATTGAGAAATTGTCACTTTGCCAGTGTTGCTCTGCACAACAATGTCTGTTTTTTTTAAACTGGCATAAATGAGTGAGTCATTCAAACCTCAGACAATGCCTTCTTTACCCCAGCACACATCTGCCTTTTCAGAAGGGGAGAAAACCTCTTGTACGTTTGAGATCTGACGTGAGTTTGGAGAGGACAAATTCTTACTTAGAGCTTAAGGCCCAATCCAGATGTGTTTGTGACTAGTAGAAATCACTTGCAGATACCACTACAATGACATCATGTAGTAAGAGTTTGCTGTTCCAAGTATCACCATTGTGGTCCTTTGGTTCACACATTTATTGGTCAAAATGAGTGTAAACATACAGTTCATCAAGGCAATGTATTTACATGGTTTACCGAGCAACACAAATAAATAAGGTTGAACAGAGGAAAGCGGATAGAAAAGGAAAATGGTCTAAAATGTACAACAGCTTTGGCTACCAAAGGTCATTTTCAAAGAAAACAAACTATAGTTTAGTATTAATAAATAAAGCTATGTGAAAAAATAAATAAGGTACTCTGTTGTCTACTACTTTAAACTACTTTTTACACAGAGAAGCTTTTACTGTCGCCTCCATTTAAAGCAAAATGTCATCATTCAAAAAGACACAAGTCAACTACACTTCAGTAAAAACTGGTTGTCCAGTTTTCAGAGAAAAAGAATAGAAACTGGCAAACTATTGACGTGTGGAATCCAAAGCTCTCTGTCCTTTCCGGTATGGAGCAGACTGGTCAGATCCGCTGTTCACTGGAGTGGTTTAACATGTCCATGTGCTTCATATGCTCTCAAATCCCTGATTAGGACCTTTATCCTCACAAGAATCCGCCAGTGGGCTTTCTAACAAAACACCTACAAGAAAAGTGCTATATCACTAATACGCTGCAATGTCTACCATCACATTTACCAACAAACAACCTTATTTACCAACATATGACCTTATTTCATGTACATTTTCACAACAATATTGTTTCAAAATGGAAAGAACTTTAGACAAAGGATGTTTTTTTTTTTTTAAATGGTTTGGACAGTAACTTAAAACATTTTAAGGCAATCAAATGAAGGCATAACATGGCAAACATTCACTGAATGGTAACTCCACCTTACACTTACCAAATACAAGTAGTGATGGGTGATCAATCATAGTCATATACAGTCTATGGTCATGGCACAGTTGTGAATGTACCTCATTAGGATTTTTTTCTACTATAACTATAACATCATGAAGCTTTTAAATGCAAGATGAACTGTGTGAGCCTTAAGCATTTTCAAAGAACAAATTGTATGGTGTTTGACTTTGTACACGGAATGACTTAATGAAAAATGTAAAACTATATATAGAATACGTGTCACTCCTAAAATTGGTAAGGGGAAATGTTTAGGCTGCCATTTTCTCCCTGGCCCCACTGAGGCACCCAGAATAATAAAAGAGAAGGCCAAGAACAGCACAAGTACAAATATTGTAGAAATATACAAAAACTATGATGGAAAGCACACATTCTAAAGCAGTTAAATCCAATAGGATTATCAGTTCCTTTGGCCTTACTGCTCATGAAATCTGTCCACTGCTGCACACTTATGCAGCATCCTGTACACATGTTTAAAGTCCTAAAGCTTTGATTTTGTTTTCTCAGTTTCAGACATTTCACATAATGACAGACAAATTCTGTTTTTCTGGTTGCTGTCATCTGTAGTGAGGCAGGTTTCGGAGTGGCCGTAGATTGTCCATCTTCCTCTTCACACAACCCAACTGCCAGAGTTTAGGTTGAAATCCACGTGATATGGACAAAACAGGTCTGTCTCACAGTGCATAAGTTCTAATGTCCCATGAGAACAGGGGTAAGGCTGGGTGTGGTAGGAGTCTAGCGTGTCCAGTCGTTGACCATGCTCAGCTTGGCTCTGGGGATGGTCATCTTATCCCCGCACGAGGAGCTCAGGTCAGGGGAGAAGTGGAGCAGGCCACAGTCATTCTTCACGTTTTGGAATTTGCTCTCCTTCGATGGCTCCATGTAGACAACAGAGTTTTTGTTGACGTGTTTCTTCAGTATTACAGTCTACAAAAAATAAGAGTTGAGTTTACTACTGTTTATTACAAACTTAATAAAATTGTGACTATATACTAGCACATGTAATAAAACATTTTCTAGTTTTTTGATAAATGTACTGCCTCACTCTCACATATGTCTGTGGTCTTATTGCTTAAATTTTTTACCAGATGAAAAAATGAAAAGAAATGGCTCACCTTTTTTGGTGCACTGTAACAAGACATCTGCACCCACTTCTTCTTCCTGTTGATGAGCAACGCCACAATGATGAAGATGATGATGGCCAGGAGGAGACCGGCCAGAATCCAGGCTGCAGACTGGTAGATGAGGGCCATCTCTGCTTGGCTAGGGAAGTTCTCTCCCAAACGAGGCTCATCTGTGAGACAGAGACAGAGTAGTGGTGATCTAAATGAAACAAAATCTCTTTGTTTAGATTACTGTCCCTCCCATAAGATAACTCAAACTGTTCAAAGCACCAAGAGACATTGACATTGATTAATCAACAAGGCTTGTCTCACGAGAGTTCATATTTCTGCACACGTTTGTAAATGTTCAACTATCATTTGTCATCTTATCCCCACACTTTCTGAGGTTTACAGCAGTAAAGAGTGAGTAATAGAGTGCAGTAGTGAAGATGTGTGTAATAAATGGGCCTGTCATACCTGTTTGAATGATGAGCGGAGGTACAGAGACAGTACTAGTCCAGACCTTTCTGTCCTCTATAGCTGTGACAACTTTCTTGGGAGTACTGGTCGACAGCATCACTGGAGCTGAGGTGGTCATTTCTGTCCACACAAGAAGAATACATATAAAGCATATTAAGAGAGTGTATAAGCTTCTACTGTGTGTAAACATTACATAAAATGTTAAGTCTGAACAAAGGCCTGGGACCCCCTATCAGAGCAAACAATAGGACGCTATGGAGCGGTGTTCCTCTATGGGAAAAGCTGACAGTGGGCTTTGCCTTCCTGTGCTGCCACAGAGAGTGGGGACAGGAAACACGTGTGAATGTGCGGATGCCCGGGGGAGTGCTTTCACTCACAACCAGCGGTGTGTTTGTCACATGGAATGTTGTTGGGAATGGCTGTGTTTGTGTACGCAGCGCCAGGTTGGCTAGGGCTAATGGACAAACACAAGAGTGCATGGGCTTTTTTGACATGCCCCTTCACTCTTGTTATAAAGCATCAGATACAGTGCCTCTGCAACATTTGGTATCTCATGTCATATGCACATTATAGACATGTACATAATGCATACTGTGAGTACGCCTGTCAGCTGTCTGACCCTGTCACAGCCCACGTACCCAGACAGTGTGGGCAGCACTGGCCCTTGCGCAGGACGGGCACTCTGCAGCTGGCGGCCGGACAGCGCTGGGAGAAACACTCAATAGTGCCGTTGTTGCAGGTGCAGCTGGTGCAGGCATTGGCTCTCCACGAGTCTCCAGACAGAAGCACGTCTCCATCAGAGGTGATGCAGTAGTCCTGCTGACTCCTGTTCACTGGCAGCAGTGGACTCTCTGTACACAGGGACACAGAGGGGTCAGGGCAATTATTACACCACAAATGGAGCTTTCCAATATGGTGAACATAAGCTACATGATTAGAACAGAGTGCATTATTATACAACTGATATTTTCACTTTTCTATACAGGGAACATGAATCATATAGTAAACAACTCTCCCTCTCAGTGCTTCCTTAATCTGTTTTGAGAAGAATTTAGTTTGTTGTCAACATTAAGAGGTGAACAGCTTTTAGCGGCCGTCTGCTTATATCACCGCTGTAGAACATCTCAGTCCACAAACGTTATTGGACCTTTAGGGGCGGCTTAAGATAAGGGTAGAAAAGATGGTTTACTGTATGTCCAGCATAAACAGAAGTGCCTCCATATGGCAGCTGTCAGTTCTTCCTGTCTTCTTTATCTGGTCCATCAGGCCTTGGAGCAGCAAAGACCAAAGACTGGTTATTGGCCAAATGTCCATGGTGCCTGATGCACACATAGATCATAGGGCTGTCAGGAAGATGTGTATTATTCCCACATTCCTGGTGACCAAGCTCCAGCACATATCAAAGGACCTCTGTCAATCTGTCTTTGTGGAGAGGCAGATGCATAGATAAGGTGCAGTGGCATTCTCCAGGAGCGGCCTCCAGAGCAGTCATGCGTTGCTGATTTGTGGGCCTCAAGCTCTCCAGAGCTACCAATATGATGCTTATAATTATGTGTTTACTTTGAGCACTGACTTAAGACTTAAACAAAATATCTTCCCAGAAACAAGAAAGCAGGAAGAGTTGCAAGATTGTTTTGGGGAACTTTTAACAAAACTATTTATTTTTGTGTATTTTACTCACTTCAGCAAATCCTCTGATCTTCTTATAGCCCCCATACTTTTACTATTATACTTAATGACTTTCTTTTATTAATAGTGAAATGGTAAGGGAACGTTTTTGATTAACTAAAAATGGTAAGGCAAGATGCATTGGACTGAAGGCTATATGTAAAAAGACTTTTGATGTTGAGACATAATAGATTAACATTACATTTACCTCACATGAAATAATATAATTTTAATAACAATTCCTTTTGGAATTCCCTTCTCTCTCTTTACTTTCTTGCTTCAAAGATCCCAACCGGTCTCGGCTGGTTTCTTTATGAGCCCGACATAAAACTGCCCCGTCTGAGAGCTACACGCAGGACCTTTCAAAACCACATGCTCCAAGCACTTTCCAATCAACTCCAGGCTGTTCCCACACTCCGAATGAAGCCTTTAAACAGCCCTTATTACACTATTTTCTGATCTGTGTTATAATGTTGTTTCCGCTTCACAAACAGACCTGGAATTGTGTTTTGTATCATTCACACATGTTTAACGTACAAACCCTGCAGATTTAGACTGAGCTCTTCTCTCAAACTGAAAACACTCTGTTCCACCTTGATGTCACGTGCTAATACAGGAAGTGCTCCACTGTGTTTTTAAACTCTGTACACCTTCACTAGAATAATTTTGATCATTTCAGCCCTGGAACTGCCAATTTCTACAGAATAGGTTGCAGGCAGCTCTTTGTAAACTACCACTACATGACATCACAATGTGGAACAGAGTATTTTGGGCTTTCGAGATGTAGATAGACATAATAAAGGGTTACTCAAAAGTGTGTGAATGAAACAAAACACAACTCCGGGTATGTTTCTGATTAGGGCTGGGTATCATTAAGGAGATACCAATATGATACATACCTCGATACAGTGAGCTTCAATTCGATATAATATTATTTCAAATCAATTCAATATAGTTCAGTAAAAATAATGGCTAAATCATGGCTGTGATACTAAAAGTCTTTGTTAAATCACTTCTTGTGCAAAGTTTGTATGAAACACAAACATTTAAATAATCAAAACAGTGAAAATGTAAAATGTGGTGCATACAAACGTGTTGCAAGAAAATAATTTAGTAAAATATACCAAAAAATACTCTTGGCCATATATCGATACAGCAGCCCACAATATCGATACTGTATCATCACATTAAATGATACGATAAATCAATATTTTGATATTTTTGCACAACCCTATTTTTGATGCAACATTTCTTAAAGCTCACAAAAGTCAAATTCCTCCCCTAGTTCCTCTTTAGAATCAGGTGAGATTTGGGCATTTACCTGGGCACACGTGGCAGCAGGTGTCCCTGTTCCGGATGGGCGAGTGGCACAGGGCTGGAGGACACTGTTCCGTATCACACAGGACTCTCCCCCGTCGACAGGTGCAGCGCGTGCACTCATCCAGGTCCCAGGTCTCCCCCTCCACGTAGAACTCTCCTCCAGGCGCCCTGCATACCACCATGTCCATGCCCTCGGCCTGACCACTGCCTGACTCATCTGCACGAAGACACAGCAAATAAAGTCGAAGGCAGGCATTTTGTAATAACTTGAGACATACGGATATGATGGTGAATTTTAATGCTGCATTGCTCCTCTCATGCCACCAGTCACCTGTTGCCTCCCACAACAACCAAGGATAATGTTTGACTTTAACTTTATGTTACTATAAAAAATAATATTTTTAAATGTTTTGTTCTGACTTCTGCAGTATGTTGATGAGTTTGTTTTAAATAAGAAAAAATAAGCTTAGATTGTAATGTACAAGTATGCATTTTAAAAATATCTATATTTGGGCAAGAAAAGTATTGTAAATAAAAGTCTAGTATTTTCTGTGATCACAATTATAGGCCCATAAACAACAAATTACCAAACAATGTGTACATGATTTGATATTGTGAGGTCAAAGGGCATTATAACTTAATAGATTGTTCAGCTACTATTGTATTTCACGTTATGGAGCAGTGGTTCTCAATCGGTGTATCATTCATTTTTCAAAATAAAACCAAAAATAAGAAAACAAAAAAACAACAATTTTCTTCATTATTTGTTTCCAAAACCAAAATGAAAAAAATTATAACGATTCATTTTTTTCAGTTTTCAATTTTGTGTTTAAATGAATAATGGAAAAAAAGGATAACAGCTGTTTCCCGTTTTCGTGACTTAAACTGCGATGCCACATACGGACTGAACCAGGACTGAACCAGGACTAAACCACATCTAAACCCAGTCTAAACCAGGTCAGGACTGAACCAGAACACGCCCATGTAGACTGTCAGGTGATCAGGACTGAGACCAGGACCAGACCGGGGCCAAGACCAAGAGCAGGACTGAGACGGGGACTAAGACCGGGACTAAGACCGGGACCAGACCGGGACCAGACCCGGACCAGATCGGGACCAGACCAGGACCGAGACCGGGTCATTATCAGTTTTTTCATTTTGATTTTGAAGACAAATAATTAAGAAAATTGTTGGGTTTTTTTTTTTTTGGCTTCTTATTTTTGGTTTTATTTTGAAAAACGAATGATACACGGAGTGTTCTCAAGGTTTTTACACAAAGATGTAATATCCCTCAGTTGTCCAAGTAGGATCCATAGCAAAGAAAAATTCTATTCTGTTAACTGGACAAAAGTTTTTGACTGAAGATGTTTCACAGTTCATCCAAGCTGCTTCTTCAGTTCTGGTCAGATTGCTGGTGGACACTGCCTTATATCTGTCTGATGCGAGGACCTAACTACACTGAAACTACATTGAAACTAAACACACCAACTTGATAGTTTCTGTTTGTTGGCTTTGTCTCTTGCACACTTAACGTAGCTCAATAGACCAAGCCAACAAATAGAAAGAAGAAAAGATTTGCGGTTCTGGGTAAATTAAACAGATCCTAGAATTGTAAAGGACCTTGGATACCACCAGAAGCAGCTTGCATACTACAATTTGAGAAACAATGGCTGCGGTTAAATGTGCTTGTTGTCAGAGTTCTGGATTTATAAGTCTATAAAAATGATACAATGATTTCTTTCTGACAATGGTGGCTGTGATTACTCATTTAAATAATCTTAAAGGTGCAGAAATCAGATAATAATAAAATTACGAGATGCATGTGAATGTAGTGACTGTTATAGACTTAAAATTAAGACAAAAAAAAGTAATATGATGCATAAAGGAATATGCTTTCTCTTCCACAAACATCAGAAGAAAATCACGTTGTGTCCCTTTAAGTGGACCTGGCAGCATCATAGGTTACAAGAGACAGGAGACCTTTATCAGTTAAAACAAGCTCCAGGCAGTGTAGCTTCTAATTTATTTGAAAACATCCTTGAGAGCAGCAGGACATCTGCAAAAAGTTAGCTCTTTCCCCTGACTGCAGTCAGCGTGTTACTTTACTGTGTTACTGTTGGGTTGGAGGCATTTTCTTACCTCTAAATATTTTAGCTGTCACTTCTCCAGAAATGTTAGACTTTTAAAGGTACAGTATGTAACTTTACTGGGACAGGGTCTGCTGTCTGCTTGTCTCTATTGAGATGTCACAGGTTTGTCTGGAATGTTCCACATTTATCTTGCATTTATGTCCATACAGGCCTTTTTATTGCTTAAACATGCCTTGAAAAACATTCTTACTGTCTCTCCACAGATCTGAACCATACTTTGGCCTGGTGGTGTCTCCTGCTTGTCTAATGTCATATTTCAGGTAAAGTTATGACATCTCCATGGAGACAAGCAAGTGGCAGACCCTCCACCAGAAGAGTTACACAGTGCACCTTTAACTTTCAGAATATCATGCATGTACTGAAGATGCAAAATAAGTATCAGAGACTTTTCCCTGGACTTACCCTCACAGGTGGGGCAGCACTGGTCCGGCCTGACCACTGGGTGGGGGCAGCTGGGCACAGGGCAGGAGATGAGCACACACATCTCTCGCCCCGAGTCGCAATAACAGTCTCTGCAGCCGTCGTGCCAGCTGTCACCCTCCTCATACCGATGTCCGTTTGATGTGAGGCAGAACCTGGGCAGAGGTACTGTCGCTGTGGTGACCGCAACTTGCTCGCTTTCTGAACACAAACAAAAAAAGAAGAGAGGTTGAGCTATTAATTTCTACTAGGTATCTGAAAATCACATTAAGGATTTTTCTGTCTTTTAAACGTGCAACGTTAACAAGTTAGAGGCCAAGCTGAAGCACTGGTGTGTTCACTATTTATTTGATTTTCTGTTAGCACTTTTTAATAAATTCTCCACATATAAGTATAAGAGGTTAAAGACAATGCAGACGTATGCATGCACCGAAGTATGCTAAAGAGTATGCTAAAAAAACAACAAAAAACAATTACACCCATAGACCTATATAATATATATATATATATATATATATATATATATATATATATATATATATATATATATATATATATATATATATATATATATATATATATATATATATATATATATATATATATATATATATATATATATAAACTTGTATCACTGGGTAAGGGTTAATATCAAGAATAACCACCAATACTGTAGTCCTCCCTTGTTTCTCAAACTTTATAGTGCTCTTCATTGTTCAATGAAAAAGTACTAAACACAAAATCGAATTTGTTTGTGAATGTTTGTCGGCTAGTTTGTATTTTTGGCCCCTGACTCAAATGATGTCATGTCCTACGTGTCTGAAAGTAAACAATGATAAAGTCTGGCCAGCTATTCCAGGGAAGTCTAGTCTGGCACATATTGTTGTGACTAGACCTTGAAAGTATTTTTATTTATGTTATTTTGTATTCTGTCAAATAAAACTTGCGCTGATGCGATAAAATGTCAAAGACGGCAGTGTCCAGGTCTGGGTGTAATTCCAAGGACTCACTGTCCCAGAGTTCAGACTGAGGATTCTGTTTTATTTAGACCATGAAAACGGATACACATGAAAAGTTTCCCTTCTCTTTAATGCTCCACAGACGGCCTACTCTGATATTTTCTAACTCAGGTAAACACAAAGCTATTTGCTAAAGCTGCTGATTTTGTTTGCTGGGATGAAGGAGCCAGATGCTGCAATGTGAAAACTGTAAAGCGTATTTTCGCCTGAGAATATTTATGATGCGTCCAAATTGGCATCTAAATAAACATTTCTCATAAAATGTGGCAGGGCAGGCATGCCTTTAACCTCGTGGGGTTTGGGTAAATCTAATTGCAGTAGCACACGCAGTTTGGGCCTAACAGGAACAAAAAACAAGACATAAAAGTGCACAGAGGAGCGGGGAGAGGTCAGAGTAGCCCAGTGGCACAAACCCGGCACCGCCTCTATCTGCTTCCATCATTTCCCTTCTCACCAAACACAAAGGAGCTCCTATATGGAAAAAGGTGATGATTTATGTATATTTTTATGCTTGTGTATCTTATTCCCAGGACTGACGCCATAGACACGAAGATCTCATAACAGGCTGTACATTTTGGTCAAGAACTGGAGCCATATAAAGGGATAGGAGAATGAAAACCTCCCATTTGCTGTACAATTATAGAATTAGATTACAATTTATGGTCTGCTGTGGTTAAGACCTTAGATTGACTTTTAAGTGACTAGACCATGTGTCTTCAGAGCAGTGGTTCCCAAATGGATCAAAAGAACAGAGCGGCCGAGCATCAAGAGTTTCAATCAGTGCAATTGAAGTCTGACTATTGTCTAAAATAATGTATTTTATTTAATTGAATGGTGAAGAGTGCAACATAAAAATATTTCAAAATAAAGATTCTTTTGATCATGGAGAAATTTGGCCTAATAAGAATAAGGGTTACACAATATTGGGAGAAAAAAGAAAGATGAGTATGTATTAAGGAACATTAACATTTGGAAGAGGTCTGAATTGTGGGGTCAGCAAGGCTTTGTCGGTCACTGAGGACACAATAATTGCAGCTTTTGTAATTTTAATAATTGCAACATCTGAAAAATGCAATTTCAATTTGATTACAACTAATTATGCAGTTCTTTTGGGAAAAAAGAAACCCCTCCTTGTACATTAATCAACTAGCCCCATTTCTACGACATTTAAGGCATTTACACTTGTACACATACTACAAAAACACTAGAACTGAACTGGTACTGGTCCATTTTCAAACCAGAACTAGAACAAGACTAAGTGAGAGCTTCAGAGATTTTTTCTTTGTTAAAAGTCCAAAAACAGGTGCTCCTCAAGGAGAAGACTCAAAAGCTAACAAACAGTAAAGATGACCATGCCTGTACTATAAAAACTTGCTTGTAATAAAGTAAAAAAAAGTGGAGGAAATATTATAAAAGTCCTTTACTGGTTACATGGGACAAAGTAAGACGAGGAAGACTAAAGTGGAATCTAAACCATGACCAAACCAAATTGTGACCGCTCCGCAAATGTGTAAGTACACTTCAAAAAGTAATATCTGAGTAATTTCCAGTTACTCACATTAAAAAGATTTAACTCGATTTTAGTAGTTGACAAAGAAAATTATCTACCAGTGGATTAATTTGTTTTTTTTTTTTTCCCATTTTCCAATTTAGTTTCTTATTTTAAGTACAAAGAGTTGCTGTTTCTCCAACTTATCTTCAGCATAACTACGTGTATTTTCCTATTTCAAGCACAAAAAAGACTCATTCCATTGTTAGATAATTTTACTACATGAAAGTTACTCAAATCAATATATATTTATTGATTAATTTTATATGTTTTGGCAAGATTTTTAGTTTTTTTTGTAGTGTAGAATGTAGAGATGTAACAATAATTAAAATATCGTGATATTGTATTGTCAAAAGTCTCACAATAATATCGTGGACCATCACAATATATCGAATCAAGTCTCTAAAAAAACAGAGGGAACTACATAGACCATGATCCTTTGCTGTTTCAGAGCAAATTAGATGGCGAAATAACTGGACTTTTAAATCTTAATTCTTTGTATTATAATAGTACTAAAGCCTTATCAGGGCATTTAGAAAAGGAAAAAGTAGCATGTTCACAATTTCGCTAGCCTCCACAAAATATTGCAATAAATATCATATCGTGAGAAGCATATCGTGAAAATATCGTACCTTTGCACATGCAGATGGAGCAGCCCTTCTTGTTGTGACGGTACCCCTCAGGGCAGTGCTTATCACAGGTGAACGGGGGACACTTGACGCATCGGCACATCTCACATCCGTGCTTGTTCCTCCTGCAGAGATACGCATTTAAAAACACAAATAAAAATCAGTCATGGGCCGAACAATAGGACTACTATGTACACACACAGAGGTCTAAAGGGACATTATGGTGTTGTGGTGCAGTGAAAGCCAGATCCTCAAGCCAGGAATAATCAACATCTGGAGCTGCTTTCCCCCCTCGCTATATTGGGTCCCTTTGAAGAGGGCCAAATAAAAGGGCAGCACGTGAGATCCCTGCCGTTTCATACCTAACCCATAGAGTCTGTGAGAGACGAGATCATAAGCCTACTCAGATGCTTCTAATTCACCCGTTTACTGTCCTTAATGTCCTAAAAGCCCCCTGGCAGCCACGCAAGAACATCCTCTGACCAGTTCTGAATCTGAGCTGATTAGAGCACAAAGAGAAAAGCAATTCAATAGTTCTGATGCTTTTGTACCACAAACACAAAATCCATAATTCTATAGACTGACGAAAACAAAGCAGATGAGTCAAATTATCTGGTTAATAAAACCTTCATGGGCCAAGCTTAAAGGGCCCATATTACAGTATTTTCATATATATGTTATAAAGTTGTTTCCTCATCACATAGAACACATGCTTGGAGTTGTGGTTTGTTTTATTCACACATGTTTAACACACAAGCCCTGCATATTTGGGCACTGCCTTGTGATGTCATGTGGTATTGGCGTAATTGCTCAGCTGTGTATTTAAACTCCAAACACCTTCACTACAAAATTAGAACTGGAATTGCCAATCAAACAGGTAGCCGTTTGAGCCAGTCTAATAATAAACGATTACTCAACCATGTGTGAATGAAACAAAACACAGCTCTCGGTAGGGCTGGGTATCATTAAGAAGTTGTCAGTAAAAAACATACCTCGATAAAAAGGCAACGATACGCTTTTCGATACAGTGCACTTTCGCTTCAATACGATATGATATGACATATTTCAATCCGATTTGAAACAGTTCAGTGAAAAACAAAGACTAAATCATTGTTGTGATACTAAGTCCACTAAGTCTGTGCAAAGTTTAGATGGAAAAAAAACAAAAACATTCTACTCAAAAGTAGTGGAAATGTCAACACAATTGTAGCTGTTCTTACACAAAATAATTTTGTAAAATATACCAAAAAATACTCTTGACTATATATATCGATACAGCAGCCCATTATATCCATACTGTATCATCAAATTAAACGATACTATATATCAATATTTAACTCTGGGTACGTTTTTGATGATGTACATTACAACATTATAATATGGCTTAAAGGTGCACTATGTAACTATTCTAGTGGAGGGTCTGCCATCTGCTTGTCTCCATGGTGATGTTATTGCTTTGCTACAGAGTGGCATTAAGCAAATACATCTTGCAATTTAGTAAAGTTTTTTCATTTCTCTAAGTTACCATAAAAATGTGCATTATTTCTGTGAGGGGGTCCACTTCTCCACAGATCTGAACCGTAACTTGTAGGGATATAACAATAACCAAAATATCGTGATACCGTATCTCCCAATAATGTCGTGGACCATCACAATATATCAAATCACAAGTTTCTTTGCTTAAATTCATTGTTTTGGTGCAGCAACAGCTAAAAAAACAAATCAAACAAACAAATAAAAAAAAAAGATCCTTTGCTCTGTATTGGTGCAAACTACATGAAAAAATAACAGTTTTAAGCACTTTTAAGTCTTAGTTGTTTGGATTAAGTCTTGTCAAGGCATTTTAAGAGGAAAAAGTAGCATATTCACAATTTTGTTAGCCTCGACAAAATATCGCAATAAATTCTGTACCGTGAGATGTATATTGTGAAAATATTGCACCATGAGATGTATATCGTGAAAATATCATACTGTGAGATGTATCTTGTGAAAACATCGTACCGTGAGATTTGGATACTGTGAAAATATTGTACCGCGAGATGTATATCGTGAAAAGATTGTACTGCGAGATGTATATCGTGAAAATATTGTACCGCGAGATGTATATCGTGAAAAGATTGTACTGCGAGATGTATATCGTGAAAATATTGTACCGCGAGATGTATATCGTGAAAATATTGTACCGCGAGATGTATATCGTGAAAACATTGTACTGTGAGGGGTATATGGTGAAAATATTGTACTGCTAGATTTGGATATCCTGGTGATGTGGTCTGCTTGCCTTCATGGAGATTGTTAAATTAAATGCCATACTGTAGAATAATTCAGGAAAAGACAAAATGGAATCAAACAAGTGACGGACCCAGTACCAAAAGTTACACAGTGCACCTTTAAAGCTCACAGGAGTCACTTTTGCGTAATACAGGCCCTTTAAAAGAGCACGGTATAGACTCGGAGACTGCTGTACGGGACTACTGGAAGTGGTTTGGCCATCGCATGTGAAGCTGTACAAACAGTGGCATGCTAGCAGCGGTGAGAGCCATAGAAACAACAGAGTGAGGGATTGACTGGAGCCCCACTGTACAAATACAGAGAGCGGTGACCTGAGAGCTTTAGTGTTGTTTGAAGATGCTGTGTGGAATGCCAAGCCGAATCTGAGCTCAGGGGGATCGAGGGGGTACAGGGGTCTTGGGGAGGTATAGAGGGGTACAGGGACCAAGGCTAACGTGAATGGTATAAAGCCTGGTTGAGAACAATACGCTTTATTATGAAAAGTGGATAGCAGCTGTGGTTTGACATCTGTAAAAACACTGTTATGTAAGAGTGCGTACAGGTAATAGAGAGAAGATGGGACTATTTCAGGACTTGCCATGTGCTGTGGTGCTTACATGTCTTGAGTGTGTGTTTAATCCTCACAGTGAATGCCTGTTTATTCAGGTTTTGGGCTGGCACATATTGCTGTGACAGATTTGGTAATAAAAGATAAAAAAATAATAATAATTTTTCAGATTCAGAGCTTTTCGAGTAGGTTTAGTGCCGAGATTATTTTGGTTAATCAAGATTATTTGGGTTACAATATAATCACTTTATAATCACCTACCATGTTATAACATTGTTCCCTCAAAACAGGCCTGAAGAAGTTTTAGATGCATGTTTGAGCATTTTAGCGATCTCTCCCTGGCCCTATTTGAACCCTCCTTATTGTTAGCTGTAAGATTCTGTGCAATTCTCAACCCACAAATCTAAGTCATCCATGCTCCCACACGACAATTCTCCATAAATATACAAAAACATGATACACAATTGTACACAGCAAATTGGCAAACCCGATGTGTTGTGCAGTAGTTTCATTAGCGGGATGCATGCTGATTGTGTTCGCTCTGAAGGAGGAGTGATTTAACACGGGGGGCAAAGGGAGGGGAGATATGAAAGTGAAACTCATAAAACATGTTTATAAGTTGTTTTCCGCAAATGTAGCATTTTCTAAACTCTTTCAAGATTTCAATGTACTAACTAAATCATATTGCGCAAAAGGAAAAAATGGAAGCAGTAATATGTTGTGCAATCTGGCTGCTATACAAGTCACAGTGTCACCCATTTAGTCTACCACATTTAAGAGCTATCTTTATCTCCATCTTTGTTTGGTTTTGTGCAGCTCAGTTCACACCGGATGTCATCAATACAAGCCGAGTAAACACAGGGATCTTTTGTGCCTTTGTCTGTGCAGGCAGAGTGTAGGGGTCCAGAGAGAAGAGACAGTTCTCCATTGTGAAGCTGGCAAACTCTCTGAGGATTTCAGACTTCTAACAGCTCCGACCTAAACAGCTGCTTATGGAGGATAAACCCAGGACTTCCTGCTCTTTCCCCCTCCTCAGCCTCTGTCTTCTGGCACAGTGCGCAGACACACCGGACCCATGTTGAGCCCTGGGCCTTCACGGTTGTGAAACAGGATCATTCTGAAAACTCCAGTATGTGTACTGTGTGTTTTTATGCATTAACTTGTTCCATATTTTTAGAGAGGTTGTTTTCAGTTGTGTTTGCTTGCATTTACCACTGATATCCAGCAGTAGGATTTGTGGTTCATCCGTTGCCTGTGTGGGCAGGTGTGGTGCGATGATGGCTGTGGTTATATGCACACCAAAATCTGATTATAATCTGATTTCCACCTTGAAAATGATATAAATTACATGCAAACTGCTAATATTTAATTTAATAACCAGTGGGACCATGATCAGAAAGAAATCAGATGGTTTTACGATGTTATTTTAATAATAACAATAATAATAATGATAACAAACTCCAGAAATCTCATAATAATCAAATATGGAGTGCACATGTTACCACAACGAGTGAATGACGGTAATAGCACGATGCGCCGCTGATTTGAGTGTCTAGAAAATACTAAGCAAGCCCAATATTATCTATATCGAGTCAGGACTGACGCCTTGCTGGAGGTCTATGCTGTCAGTATTTCCAGTAAGTGAACACTAAATGACACTTGCTGTGATTATAATTGGATTGGAGCACTATAAAGGAGCAAGCGAAAATCACCGGATGTCAGCAGCCTTGTTTTGTTTTATAAAGTTGTTTTAGATGAGTCACAGATTACAACTATATAACAAGAAAAAAGCATAATTTTTTTTAGCTCATTATTGCATGTTGAAACGAAATAATGACTTCAAAACAAGAGAAGTGTCAAGGGACTGCACAGAATGCTTCCAGATGTCTGATTGGTTTGTATGAGCTTATAAGAAGCAGGGATGCAGGGGCAGATGGTCAGCTTTGCAATTCTAAATGACCACCAGGGAGGAACTTTTGATGTTCTACCTCATTTACCCGAAATGAAAACAGACACAAGGCTACAGTCAATTGTACAATATTCATCCACTTAAACTATGGCCCTCTGCCTTGTGAGAATGCATTTGCAGATGTACATGCTTTGCTCTCCACATTCCTTGATCTGTTATGTAATTCACAGACAGAAATCCCTTTGAACGCTTTGCAAACACGAATGACAAATGAACTGGAAGAGATGGCTTGGATGTACTTACACATATCCATAGGGGCAGGTCTTGGTGCAGGTCAGAGGTCGGCACTTGGGCACAGGGACGTGGCACTCGCACACCTCACAGCCAAAGTCGTCCCTCTCGTATCCCATGGGGCATTGCAGTGAGCAGTACGTGGCTATGGCAGGGCAGGAGTCGTCTGAAGGTAAAAGTCAAACACAAGTCAGACTCAGAAGTGCTGGCTACTATAAAATCTGGTAAAACGAAATTAAAACTGATGGATGTGAGTTTGTTTATGCTATGGGGCTCATTATAATAAATTCAATCCATTACAGTAGTTTTCCCCTCATCCCTTTTGATCATTTTATTTATTTTACCAATATATCTACAATCAGTTGTGGTCTTCATTCATTACAAAAGCTAAATTTCCATTGACAAGAACTATTCCAAAATGACTCTACTGGTAAATCAATAACAGATTACGCATTTGGAGAGCAAATAATGTTTGTAATCATGGGTAATCATGGGTTTCGGTTTCCTGTTTTTAGGCACCATTTTGACACTTTTGGCGATTCCAAAGAAAATATATATATATTGCTATGGCAACGGTCCCACATTGTCATCACTGAAAACCATGGATAGCTCAACTTGGCTGGTTTAATACTTGTTCTGATGGTAAAACAGTAGAGGTGGTCATAAAGAACACACATTTCAAAACCATTCGCAGCATAACATAGCAAAGCATGTAGTTAGGCTCTTAGACAAATGATGGAGTTACGAGGAAATGCACATTCTTTTTATATGAAGTCACTTTTTTTTCAAACTGACACTGGTCTTGAGCAAACATAAGGTCAGTGTTCAAGTAAACCAAAATCCATCATGTGATAAATATGTTTCTGCAAGTCCAGCCCTGTAATGTAGGCTACTGCACAAGTGAACTTACTGCTGAGACACTGGCAAAGAAGACATCCATTTTCATCTGTCAGGAAGCCATAGGGACACTCAGTACCAGATAGAGTGCAGTTCTCCAGGGGCGGACACAGCAGAGGACTCACAGTCTCATAGGATGGCTCTGAAAGGAATAGAAATGACAGTTAGCTTTAAATGACCGAGAACCAGGTTTTTGTGCCTCAGGTGTACTACCTCATGTTGCTTTCTGAGCCAGGTCTAATAGCTACCTATTCACACTACTCTTATTTTGGAGTAAACAGTAATTACCGGTAAATGTGGGGCAATTACAGCAGGGTGGGTTGCACAGTGAGAGGGATTAGACCTTAGTGTCAAAATGGTTCCTATTATTAACCTATATAGGTGTGGATAACAGTGTCCGCTCCACTGGAGGCACACTTTTGCAATGTCCAGACCTGGAATTATTATGAAGTCAGATGTTTTCTGCCAAACACTTAAATTGCCCAAACATTAAATTAACCATCTCTTTCTCTTTCTCTCTCTTTCTCTCTCTCTCTCTTCTCTCTCTTCTCTCTCTCTCTCTCTCTCTCTTTCTCTCTCTTTTCTCTCTCTTCTCTCTCTCTCTCTCTCTTTCTCTCTCTCTCTCTCTCTCTCTCTCTCTCTCTCTCTCTCTCTCTCTCTCACACACACACACACACACACACACACACGTGCGCATATACTGGGCATCCATGTTTCTTGAGCACATCAACATTTATTTCCTGGAGATTGATCCTAACCACTAGCCTGATTTATCAGCCGGTTTCACTTCGTGGAAACTGTCTGACCTCGCAGCATTAGGATTCGTTCGCTTGACGGTAGGCGGGTACTTTTTTAATTTAACTGCTATCACTGCTATCTGGTTGTGACGTATGTAATGCACCAAATCCTGTAGGATAAGGGCAATAACGTCTTTTCCATTGATAAAATTCATCTAACATTCTCTTTGTTCTGGCTTTAAGTCCTTGATCTTGGGAATCGTTGCCAACAAAGAATTTATGGCTTTTTCTACATCCATCTTGACTGCTTTGTTTACTGTTGTGCTGTACCACAAAAGAGATCCAGTCAGGCGCTTGAATTTGACGTCATGGCTTGACAGCTCTTCACTGATAGGCCAGTCCACGGTCTACAACTTTTGGGGTTCTTACAAAACGTGTAGTGTATTCTTATTGAAGACCTAGTCGATGGAGAGAAATGAAATTGAGCCTCCGCTCAATTTCATGGCTACCTAACCACATTACCTCAGTGTAAACTATAAATTGTACCTATTTTAACTAATATCTTATCCTCTCGCTGTTTTTGCTAATGATTGAACATTTATTATTACCATTTATATTTTTTCTCTCTCTTTGTTATTATAATATACTGTGATGTGTGAGCTACTGTGTCCAAGTAATTTCCCTTGTGGATCAATAAAGTTTGTCTAAGTCTGTCTTAAACATGCTATTGATCTTTTAACAAAGATGTTACAGCATAAGAGTTTAGTCGCCATAAGGAACAGGTCCCCATGATTTGAGTGTGTAAACAAACTCTCGCCCCCATAATGTGACAAATACCCATCCACGTCAACCCCACCAGCCCCTAATCCTCGCCACGTTCTCAGCCCAAAAAGCTGTAGCTAATTAGGCACAAAAAAGGGATCCACGGCAATTACGTGGCCTCCTGCATCAAGAGGCAGGCCACAGACTTAAGCACACAGGTGGGTCTCATTTTGGCGGGCAAAGGTAATAAAGGAGCACAAAGAACCCTGCAGCGCCAAGAATGCTCCCTGGCCTCCCCTTTAATGAGCACTCAACCACTTCTGTTGCCCAGCACAGTCAGGAGGCAATACGCAGAATCTCCACTCCAAAAAGGTGGTCTATAATAAATATCTCATTTCAGTGCTCAATAAATGCTGATTGCGAACAATAAAACAGCAAAACACTGCAATTTTTAAATAGACACCCTACAGTTTAATTACTATTGCTAACTACCACTGCTAACACCACATTTACTGCTATTACGTCTACTGCTACTGGGTAAACCTATAATATTCCTTTTACTAAGTATTGAGGAGCTTTCTACAACACTTGCATTTTGTAAATTATCTGGTAAACTCGCCTTTGGTTGCTGGACCACCGCATAGTCTTGTGTCATTGGGCAAGACATTTCAACCACTTTTCCTGTGTATAAATGTGATACGTAAGTGAATGATTGATGGTCATTAAAGACCTATGACGCAGATTGTCAGCCTTGCTTTCATTAGTCTACCCCATGGCAGCTGAGGCAATAGCGTAATACCAAGTCTGATGAATGCACAAAAAATTCTTGCAGAGTACTGTCATAATTCAGGCTTTGAATTTTCATTCATGAGGTGTTTGTGATTTGAAGTCTACTTATAATGGAAATACTGTAGTACCTTCACAGAATGGACAGCATTCTCCAGGGATCTTGACTGGGTTCTGGCAGCTCTGTTTGCAGGCCATAGCAGTGCAGTGGGGCTCCCCATCCACACACTGGCAGAAAGTGCAGTCGTCCTCTTTCCACTTCTCCTCGTGAGTTCGCAGCTTATTATTCACCCAGCAGCTCGCCATGGTGCTATCCGTGGACAGCAATTCCACATCTGAAAGGTAAAACAGACATACACTGTGGTAAAGAGGGGATTGGAAAATACAACCAGAAGTCCATGTACAAGATTTATGTAGTAATGATATGATATGTGGCTTAGTTTAGCTAATTTTTTGAAAATGTATCTTCCCTGATTTAAATGGCATATATTATGCAATTTTTTGATCTGTTATAATGTTGTTTCCACCTCAAAAACATAAAATGGAGTTGTGTTTTGTTTCATTCACGCATGTTCTCTCAACCAAAAACACTCTGTTAAACCTTCTGATGTCAGGAGGTCTCCACTGAGGTTTTAAACCCCATACACCTTCACTAAAATCATATAATTGGATAATTTCAACACTGGAAACTATACAGAACAAAAAGACTACCACTACATGACATCAAAAGGTGGAACAAAGCAGTTTGAGCTTTTAAGGCTACGTTTACATGATGACGGTCTGAACAGAACACGCAAAAGTGGCGTCACATCTTCACTTTTTATTCCGCGTTTAGACAAGCGTTTTCAGGAGGAAATCTATGAGCATATGGTGATGTAAAAGTGTGTGGAATTCAATTGGGTATGCATGCCAGGCGGCTACGGGGTGATGCCAGGTGATGATGTATGTGACGTAAACATGTATGTGACGTAAACATGTACGTGACGTAGATCTGACCAGAGTTTTGCGTCTTGGGCAGTGTAGATGGTGGAGCATATTCAACTTTTCCACTCTGGAGGGTGGTTTCAGATTTTTGCATTTTGAAACCCCCAAAACGCCATCACCGTCTAAACGAAGGGCACTTGCGATAAAATATTTTGTTGTTTTTACCCGCAAGCGTTCTCATGTAAACAGGCCCTTAAACTTAAACATGTGGGAATGAAACAAAACACAACTCCAAGTATGTTTTTGAGGAGGTAACAGCATTATAACTTGTCTTAAATAGTCCATTTTGAGTAATACAGGACCTTTAAACTAACGAAGTAGGCAGATTAAACCATATATCACACTTCTTTTGTCTTTGTCTTCTTTTGTACATTGTTAGATAGGATTAAAATGCAAATGTCTTCTTGTCTGCATTATAAAAAGGAGAACAATAACAATATCTCTCTCCATATGCACAGTTTACAATCATGTTGCACACGTTCAAGCAAGGTCACAACAGGTAACAGCAGGTGGTGATCTTTTCCATATGATACTGGGCCGTTCTGGGAAACCACAATGTAGCATGGTTTTTCTCATAATATAGTTTTCCTTAAGTTTTCTCAGTTTGTTACCTATACCTTCATCTTATACTGTCGTGTGTTATGTTAGAGAAGAAGTCTCCACTGTGAAGAGAAGTGCTGTTTGCCCATTCTGTTTTGGCTGACGTGCTTTCCCAGCATCTGGCCATGATTAACCAAAAAAGGACCTATTCTTCTGGACGGCGAGGATTTCATAATACAGTCTAATTCTTTAATACACTTTTGAATCCTGGAAGGTTTTCAGGGTTTATTCATGTTTTACTTTGAGCGGGTGGCAAATGAAACTGAATTCATCTACTTGAAGTTTTTTCTACCAGTCTGAGGCATGCGCTACCCATACTATAGCTCAGTTATCTCCATCCATGGTGCTTTGAAAACTTGGCCGGCAAGTTGACCCAATTTTCTGTCCAAGAATAAAATGTATATTTAATGTTGCGTTAAAATGCTGCAGAGAGGATGTTTAAAACGTCCATTGATTTCAAAACAAAATTGATAACAGTGAGTGAGAAATAAGTCAGTTTAGTTGCTATAGATACTACTGCTACTACGACTCAAAAAATCTATGACAACATATTTAAACAAGCTTCTGAACAGGCAGGATAAAAGATTAATGTACTGCCATCAAATATATACATTCATAAGATTATGAGAAGTATATAAGATTTTTACGTGCATAATCACTACTCGTGTGTCATCCAGAGATTCCACTCCAGTGATTTGCTCCATAGTTAATTTTATTTGTAAAACATAAATATTATAACCAACATCTCTTGTGCTATGTCCCACGTTTAAAGCTACACATTTGAAGTGGAAAGCAACAAGTAAAAGCAGCCATATGTAAGAGATGAAAGCATTCCATAGATAATAGTGGCTACACATTCCAGGTGTACTGTACCTTCACTGACTCTGACCTGACATGATCCGCTCATGTTTTTTCCTGTGTTTTTTCTTTTCTTAAAAGCGAGCCACGCAAAATACACCATGACCCACAGGCCATTTCTACTGTAATATGCACACCACATGTACAGCTCTGCTTTTCCTAGCTTCAACAAATCACACTTAAAAGTATTTCCCAGGAAAGGATAAAATAGACAGAGATCACAGAGTAAAAAGTAAAGGTGTAAAAGGTTATGCAGAGCTTATGTTTAGTTCTTGGACAAACCAACTAAAAACTGGCTAAAAAATAGGCCATATTGAGTATACTTGATTGAGTTTACCTATGCAGACAGGGCAGCACTCGCCCTGAGGAATATAGAAGTTCTCACAGGCCAGCTCGGCGCATTCAGGTTTGGAGCAGAATGAGATGCCTCCTCGACACTGACACATCCAGCAGGGGTCCATCCGGTACACGTCCCCCTCCGTATACTCCTTCCCATTGTGAATGCACTTTGGGGTGACTGGGTAAAGAGGAAGCACAAAGAAGAAAGTGTTTATTCCAGTTGGTTGGGATTAGCACTTGAGAGCCATGTGGTTGTTTTGATCACAAACTTGAGCAGCACAAAAGGCCCAAGTGTTAAACAATCAATTACAGATTCATAAACAGCCATTTGTTTTGTTTTGCAGATTCAAATGTTTATAGGAAACAAAGGCCGCAAGACTTAAAAGGTGCTTTAAGCCCTAGGGTCAGAGTGGCATTTGTCAGACAAAGAACGCCAAGCTCATGAAGAGGAATTTCACAGAGAACTGGTCCCGTGGTGCTGAGTCAAAGAAAACAGTAGCTGGCAGAATCTGGGCTCAGCGGGCCGGTGGCAGGTAAATACTGGGCTTAAATTCAGTCAATTGAGAGAGTCAAGCTGACACTGCATGTATTATTCATAGGACAGTGCCCTGCAGTCTGGCTTGTCTTGGAACACTCACTTTCCTGATCTCAAGCTGCTGGTTCTTTTTATGCCATCTGGGCCCTTCTTAATAGAAGTTCATAGATTCTATTCCAGCAAGAAACGCCGTCTCTGTCTATCTGTCAGGAAGGACATCTCTGTGAATATTTCTGTCAAGTTCAAGTTGTCTTGTGTAAAGGAGTTTCCTTTTGTCCATAATTACGCTTATATAATCTAACACCATCTTTGCCACCAAAATCAGAACACTCTTTTAGATATAAAATATTTACTACACAGTTAAATGCTACAGGTCAATTCAGAAATTCTTTAAAAGACCCTATTGTTTCTAAATTTAGATTCAAATTTTTGTTCACTACTGTCAATCATATTATTTCATCATGTACATATTATAGTTTTTCAGTTGTTCAGTAGTCAAAGCAACAAGGAACATTATTGCATCACGTCTCAACTTTTAAAACTAGATTTTGTATTCAAATGTGCTATGGTGGTTTGGCGAGTCAGCATTGAGCGATCTTAACCCACCACAGGGTAATCTCATCAAACACAGGAGCATTAGGGAAGTGAGGCAATGTGGTTATGTAAGGCAGTCTGCAGGCTCCACGCTACTTTGGGCCCGCAGTGGATGTATTGTACAGATGCAGACAGATGTGGGGCCAGCGGTTTCTATAAATGAGAGTGGAGGTTACAGCTGTACGCCATACAGTCGGGGGGCAAGAGTGGGACTAAAAAAAAAAGGGGGAAAAATAGCTCAAACTCTTTAATATAAAGCAGGTGGGCTGAGAGGGCATGAAGCAAACAGCAGATCGAAATGTGCTTCCTGCTGCTGGAGACCTTTCTTTTTGTAGTTTTTTTTTTTTTTTTTTCCGAGTGAATGACCTGGCTGTTTAAAGCTCAAAGCAGGAGTAGGAAGTCACATGGGGCAACAATCCTTTGCGATTTCCGCCATTAGCCAATAGTAATCCCTAAGTCAACTTGTGGCACAGTCTCCACTGCTGCTCTATAGCATCACTTAAAACCACTGAAATTGTTTATAATTAATCCAGAAAGTTGTATTTGTGGTTACCAAGAAAAACAATTGTAAACAAGATGTCATCAGACCAATGCACTGTAAATCGAGATACAAAAAAGCCTCAGTTCTTTTGCAATGTTGCTCAGCTCTAACTGGACCAACGAGCATGTCCTCATGGGCTCACTAAGGGGATGAATGAAGAGTTTTGCCAGGGCAATAGTAAACAGGAGCCAGAGTTCACTGGTTGCGTAGAATGACGTCAAATTTGGATGATATGTGGGAACGCATTGCACCACCACCATCATAGTTACAAAACAAGAGCTTAGAAGACTTGTGGTGATGCTAATATTTACTATTTTAATTACAGACATAGCAGCAATTGTTACACTATTTCGCTCCATCTGTCAAACTGTAATGCGCTGTCAAAAGGATCACTAATATAATACTTAATATGCTAGCTGCAATAACAAAAAAAATGTATGTTATGACTCCAAATCATCAAAATGTAACCACACATAAATAGGGTCAAAATCTGAAGATGATTTGAAGATTAAAGTGCCCATATTACGCCACTTTCTGATCTGTTGTCAAATAGCAATCAGTGAGAGAAGATGCCGAACTTTTGCCGAACTTTTGCGCCATATAAACACTAAACCAGGACTGAACTTGGACTAAACCAGGTCTAAACCAGGACTGAACCGAGGACTGAACCAGGTCTAAACCAGGACTAAACCAGGACTAAACTAGGACTAAACTAAGACTAAACCAGGACTGAACCAGGATTAAACCAAGTCTAAACTAGGACTAGCAGATCCGGGCCCATCCTGACATTCGGAACCGTAACAATGGTTTTTCATCACTGCTGAAATTGCAGTGATTTTAGCAAATTTGTGTGAAAAATTAAAAACCCACCACTTCAATCCAGGTTAAAAATGCTTTATAATGCGCATCACTGACATTTGTAACGAGTAAAATATTAAAAATTTTTGCCCTGTAATGCCTTACATTACTGCGTTATAGCAAAAAGTAATTTGTTACTTTTATAACACATTACTCCCAACACTGCTGATTATATATGCCATTTTGAGAACTTACCATTCAAGATATACATCGATTTTTTATGGTTAATTGCTATGGTAACAGTGCAATCTGTTGAGCACTGTGACACTCATAGATAATATAGCAGTCTATATGGCAAATACTGGAAAAACTGAACTTCTCATTTGTATCAACAGAGCCAGACTTTACTCTCCTTGCACCAACTGACCCTGCCTATATATGTCAGTGTACAATCACGTGTGCCATGGAAACCCCGCCAGCCAGTTCCAACCGGACGCAAACTCTACATATGGCTATGAAATGAGTTGGGACAGAGGAGGTGACCGGAGAGGTGAACCGAAGAGGTGATCCGGAGGGGGCCCCCGGTGCGTGTCCCCTGTCTCTGTCCTAGTCTAGGGGAGCGCAGTCATGCAGCTCTAAAGGGGACAACTATAGCCCAACACAAAAGACATCAAGCCCCGCAACCAAAGAGCAGCAGACACTTGTTATCAAAACACTGATCCCAGAGCCCGCCGGCCTGTCCCCCTGTGTCACCCTCCCCGGCTGCAGGATGGGCCACATAAAAAGCATTCCCATCGATGAACTGTTGAACCTGCTCCCTATAGGACGTGTGAGCAGACGGTCAGCCCTTTTGACACTGCACTTCTGTTCAGTAAAAGTGAAGTCTAAGCACTTTTCTGGTCAGTGGCCTCGTTAAGTCCATTAATTCCAGGACACAGCACTCATTTATACATGCGGAGGGTCCAGAATGGGAATTTGTTCTGTTGGTAAAACACAGAATATTTGTCAGGAGCGCAGAGTCAACACACAGCTCGTCCCCTCCCTGCCTTCTGACGTTTTCTGGCTGCCACTCTACATGCGACTTGACTGTATACTGTAGGTGATTTTCTTTGATTTCAGAGTGTTTTTATGTTTCTTATCAGCAGCAAAAGGCCCATTCAAAGAGCCGTTATCTATGTTGTATTATGTGGATTTATATAAGTGCTGTTTATCTGCTATATGGTTCAAACTGTATATTTTTTTTACTTTACACTTTTCCCCTCATCATAATCCAGCTGACTCCAAATGAGCAGAGAATGACCTTTTGATTTGTTAGCTAAACATTATAGTTCTTATCTAGGAAATAGACATTTGGCTGAAATTGGCACTTTGTATATCAGTAAAAGCTTTGTCTCGCCTGCAGCAGTGAGCGGTAATTGCAAACTAATGTTTATGGCAATATGAATCAGGTCATTATTATTGCCGTAATCATTGTAATTAAACTTACTGACTGATTTCCTCATATTGTGTAGACTTAATATCCCTTATCTCTGTTCTACAAAATCCCCTCATTATTGTAATCACTTCCCTCCATCATCATACCTTAATGAACAAGATCTTTTGTACTGATAATTTTTTACTGTTGAAAACACACACACTTTTATCCTATGAGTAAAAGTGCATTTCTAGAAACAGCGGTAGTGATTTGTGGCATTTGTGTTCAAGTGCAGTCTCTAATCACTGTCTGTGGTTTAAAAACATTTATTTAACTTCTGTACTGTAGATTTATTGTGCTTTCCTTAAAATTAGAACAAGCCTCAGGGGTGTGACCTATGGTGGTTGACCCTGACTTTACCGGTGGAAAAAGTTGGAGCTTCTTTACCAGTCAGCTGTGCACATCTAATGTTGAGCATCCTCTGTGTGATGAGTTTAAGTTAATCCCATCAGGACTTCAGGACAGAATGACTTCAGCAACAAAGACGTGTAGAAAGCACTCATGAAATCTACTGTACATGTATGTGCACCTTTTTTAAATGTTTTAAAGTTTTAATGTTCAAACAGCCAAATAATGCCCAGCTTGGTGAAATAAGTAGAATTACCTTTCTGACACTCGTAGGCATCACAGCAGTCTCCGGGCTGTCCACTGGCCTGGCTTATTTTCTCTGCCCGTTGGCCAGTGGGACATAGTGGCTTGTGGCAGGTGCTGAAGTCACAGGTGCACTGAGGAGCGATGGAGGGACAGCAGCCAGCAGGGGGCGTGAAGCTCCGGGTGAGCACTGAGTCTGAGGGGCAGGAGGAGGCTGCCAGTGGGGGGCAGGTCACATCCGAACACCTCAGGGCATCTGGAACAACAAGGAGATTACAAAAGATTTTTATTTACTTATAATCAAGTTTGTTTGTTTTTGTCCTCATGCTGACTTACTTTTCTTCGAGGAATTAAGTATGTATTGTATAGACTTATAATTGAAAAAACATAAGCATTCCCATTAGGCACTGTTGGGATTATTACTGCAGTATTTGAGGCTTAGTACCAGCTTCATTGGCTCAGAGACAGAATACAGAATGGAAAACCGCCATATGTCATCTCGCCAAAATAATGAAAGTTTCGAACAATTTATTTACTACGCACAATGAGAACTGCAATTTCCTCCCTCACTGGCTTCCAACATTACTTAATCATTAAACTATTCCACATTAATGTTTAAAATAACCATAAATATACTTTTTGGATCACATCACAAGGATGGACTGTCGCCAGTATCTACACAATTCTGCAAAAAGAATCATAGTGTAAAGAAAATACCATTTCAATTGCTCTACTTTTCAATGTGTGCATATATCAATCATGCGTCTAAAAATACAGAATTGAATCATCCAGAACAAACTGCAAAGTCATCAGCACCACGTTTGTGCCTGTGACAGCTTTACTGCATCCTGTGAGACCCAAACTCTACACAGTAGACACCACAAGTCCCCGCGCACATCCTGTCTGAGCTCCAAGCTGACCGGCCAATCCAAAAACAGCCGCACTGCTTCTCAAACCAGCCATTAATAGCAGCCAGACTCCAACTTTCTTCTCCCTCTCCTCCTCCTGCAGTTAGCATACCAGTGGATGTTTACCCATTCATTTGACAGAGCCAGTATAATAGGCCTGATAGCTCTTGTTAGGAGCCAGAGTGGTATTGCCGTGCAGGGGATCTGGGCACAGGGCTCATTGGTGTATCTTGGCGCGTGGTCAGGAAAAGTAAAGTGGTGCGCCCCTCTATGCCCGCATTGTACGAGAACAGTAGCCACCTTACAAATATTGGATTTCCCCAAAGCAAAGGCCAGTGTTTATTTTTCTGCGAGTGCCAGTATATGTATAGATTTCGGAGTAAAACACTGCAATTTCAGGTTCTCTGCAGTAAGTCATTTTTCAGACAGCGAAAAACTGAATGTATTCTGTAAGGAGGGGGATGATGAATGGTAATGAGGGAAATCTCAATTTGTCTCATCAATGAAGCGTTTAATTATGTTGGATAAATGTGGATCTTTGCATGATTGGATTTTGAGCAGTTAATGCCGACGGGGGTTGCATAATGGTGATTTAGGTTTTGGTAGACTTTTCAGGAGCCATGCTTTTGCTAGCACTCTACCCAGACTGGACACTTCTCAGTTTGTCCAATGCAACAGTATGATTCCTTTTGATAAGATACAAAATGGTATGGCAGATGAAGTAGGGAATACAAATAAAACTGCTTGGTTTAAAATGCTCTATATACAATGGACAAATGTGGCATCTGAACTAAATGTTTTCATATCCTCTAACCATCCCCATACCTGAATATTTCTAGCTCCAGACAAACCAAACTTAGTAAGTGCATTGTACTGTTTACCTAACCAACCTGGAACAGTGTGCCACACCACAAAGCTCTCATTGATAAAGTGTAGCAGAAGGATGTCATAGAAATGAAAGGAAACGCATGAATTAAGGAAGCGACGGCCTCTTTAATGGTTTTGGCCTAATTCTTTGGTTGTAGTTAAATAAACCTTAGTCAGACACGCTGATTGGCCACTGTTTTACTTAATTGTCGTCTGCTGGGGCTGCTCAGTTGAACATGGTTTTGCATATGAAAACGTCACGGTGGTTATAGCTATACAAGTGCCCTGGGACCATCCCACACAATGTTGTGCACTGAGAAACTCTTTCTGTGCATTGTGTGTGGGGCTGATGAGGCTTTCACCACTGATAATGGCTGGGGTTAGAGTGCTCTGGGAAAAGCAGCTGCAGACACTGCATTGTCATTTAAATGTATACGATTGTATCCATCTACGCAAAGGCTCCTGCTCTAACTGGTACAATTAATACAATTTTCTACTTCTCCCCTTTAAAACAGAATGCGCAGACAAGAGGACAGAGAAAGTCAACAGCAAATGCATTATGTTCCAGTGCTTATGTGCTCATTCAAAACGCCTGTAATTAGTGAGTCAGCAACCACAAAACAATCTTACTATCACAATGGTGGCCGTCCTCCAGATCCACACAAAGGCCTGATTTGTTATGCTTGATAAATGTCTCTGTGGATTAGCACATGTGTGCTGTTGGGAGACTGTAAGATAACAGTAAACACACTGTATGACCTATGACCTCCCTCTATAACCTGCGCACATTCGCATACAAGTGAGATTGGGAAGTGGCTCCATCACCACAGAATTATGGACTCTTTTGTACATAATGCATATTTCTGGAATCTCAACGAGTTCAGAAAGAAAAACACTAAGTGGATTCTAAATGAGCGTTTTCTTCTGGTGAATTTGAGGTACAAGGAGCGTAGTCTTTCCCCCGAACCAGAGTGGTCCGTTTGGGGCAGAGGAGGCTGTGTTGACAGTCTGAGTTTACTCATGGAAAAAGTGCACAATGTGAGTTCTGTTCAGCCAGCGCCTCTGGACCAGAGTCAGGCCAGAACAAAGCTCTCTCAGTCCAGCTGCCCTGCGCAGGGTTTGGGGTTTGTCCTCAGGTTTGAAAAAGCTGCTCTCCGAAGGGACACGAGGGCCGTCTCTGCTCTGGAGCTGAGGGGGTCTGGCCGTGCGCCCGGAGGCAGTGAGCTCTGAGCAGCAGTGTGTCGTATGCATCAGAAGTGTGTGAGGACAGGATTGAGGAGCAGAGGACAGAACAGCCCGGGTCACCAGCAGGAAGTACTTAACGTAACTTCACACTGTGGTCACAATTCAGATACAGATCAGAACAAGGAATGTATTTTTTCATGACATTAAACCACAACTGTATTTGTTTATGAGGAGTCTGTATAAAGCATGTGCACATTCCACAGACACACACCCTCTTCCTCAGTGTTTGACAGCCAATCAGATTAAGCCCTGGACAATGACTCTGAAGAACCTAACGTCAGATCAGAATCACACATCTCTATGTGGCACTCAATGCATATAAATAGAATGAACAGTTTGTTCCATGGTGTTGCATATATGAGGAACGTGTTAACAGAAAGTCCACAGTCGTCACATGCACCAGTGCTCAGGCCAAACCTACAAAACAATATGTAACACTGCTGTGCTAATGGAGCGGGCTGAGTCATGCGGAGGAGAGGCAAACTGCTCTCAAGACATTAAAGAGTTTGTTGAAAGATCAAATAAATGAAGCAAGAACAGTCAGAAACAAACCTGTGTGATAAAATGATTCATTTTAAACTTAAAGGTACGCTATTTGATCATCTATGTTATGTTGTTTTGTGATCACATGAGTTGTGTTTTGTTTCATTTACACATGTTTAACACACAAACCCTGCACATTTAGGTCTTCTCCCAAGCACAAAACACTCTGTTCCACCTTGTGATGTCATATGGCAATACAAAAAGTGCTCCACTGTGTTTTTAAACTCCATACACCTTCACTAGAAACATTTGGATCATTTTAGACCTGGAAGTGCTAATCTCTACTAAACAAAAAGTAAAAGGTAGCTGTTAACTTGAAAACAGACCTTTAAAGTCTGTTGAAAGTATCTTAATAAGGACATTCAGCACTATCTGCGTGCATGTAACCCAAGAAAAAAAACAAGACACAACAACAACAACAACTACACAAATGCAAAAATAAAGCATCCAGCTCACCTTACCACCAACTTATAATGGCATAAAAGGTTAGGTCTGTCATGATAACACATTTTGAAGCATGCTAAAGAGAAATATTGCTATAAATGAATTTTGGAATTACTTCATGCCACTGATTAAGATTCAAATAAAGCAAGATAATATAAGCAAACATTTTAAAATAGACATTATCATTAAAAGGCCTGAGCTGTAACAAATAAATAGCAGAATAAAGCAATAATTAGACATAGAAGCCACTTATTCTACCCTCTCCATCTCAAAACTTATCATATTACAAAAAAAATCTCCCCACTGTTACAAGGAAACAGAACCCACGATGAATATTGAGCCCCAAAATATACTGTCCCAGGATAAGTTGATATACTGCAGTAATTATCAAGACAGGCCTATAATAGATGTCTAATGATTTTGTGTGTTGTAAAATGTAAATAAAAGTGTGCAGTCATGCCCAGGCACCACCTATGCCAGCAGGGGCCTCAGACAGCACACAGTGAGAGGGGCATGACAACTGACCCAATGCCAGTCTACCGCGGTCTGCCCAAGACCATAACTGGCCGACCACAAAGAGACAGCAGCCAAGCAGAACTAAACACTCTGTCAACAAGGCAGGTGGGCAAGTGCAAGTGTGACCAGGGCACCAGGCAGTCTAGTCTAGTGCAACAACTCGGTACAGTCAATATAAATGCACTTTGCTTGTCCTATTGATACCAAGTTGGCAAAGTACAACACACTCTTGCTGTCTGAGAGATGGGTTAGATTCCAAAAATGCCAATAGTCTAGTGACATTGCAAAGTTAGTGCCAATTTAGAAGAAGGCGACCCGTGCCAGGCAAATTATACAAATCAGTGTGATTTGCTGTGGAGAGAAATTTAGCCACATTTAAAATTTTATTTGAATGATATGAAAAAAGTCTGACATCATATATTGGGACTCGACTTGGACTTGAGGCCTGTGACTTGAGAAGACTTGATGCTTAGACTAGTTGACAAATGAACTGTTATTAAGCACTGTTAAATCTTAACTCTTTCTGTTCTGAACATATTAATTCTCACTCTTGTCAAGACATTTAAAAAGAAAAAAAAAAATGCATTTTTTTTTTTAGTAAATCTAAGCTACATTTGGTATTTTGGTTTAAAGACTTGAAATAACTTGAAGCTCAAAGCAGACGACTTGGGCTTGACTTAGACTTACCTGTCTTTGACTTGGGACTTGACTTGGACTTGAGGTCAAAGACTCGAGAATTACTTGAGACTTGCAACAACGACTTGGTCCCACCTCTGATATAAGTACCTAAAACATTAATCAGTGTTCTTCTAATTCATAGTTAGTTCTGAGCAATCTCGTGTTAAAAGGCCTATATTATGCTATTTTGGATCTACTGTATGTTATAATGTAGTTTCCTTAACACAAAAACATACCTGGAGTTTTGTTTTGCTTTATTCACACATTTAAAGACAGAAATCCTCCATATTTAGGCTGAGTTCTTCATGTGGTAATACAAGTGGTGATACAAGTGCTCCACTGTGTTTTTAAACTGAACACAACTTCACAAGAATTACTTGAATGATTTCAGCCATGGAATTGCCAATCTCTACTAAGCAAAAGGTAAAAGGTAGTCATTAACTTGAAAACAACCACTACATAACATCACAAGGGGGAACAGAGGATTTTGAGCTTTGGTGATGTGGACAGACTAATAATAAAGGGTTACACAAACATGTGTCTCCAGGTACGTTTTTGACGAGATAACAATTATTATATAACAAGGTTTAAAGTTCACAAGAATCAATTTTGTGTAATACAGGACCTTACATGCAATCTTGTTAATATCAAAACAATAATAAGCCATAAAAACAAAAACAATACTATTATCATTTAAATGGCATTACAAAGACAACTACAAAGCACATGGGAAAACAGCAAGGGGGATGTTACTAAATGTTAGATACATTACAGTATTTTTCCAAGGCTCATCTTTAGTTTAGTGAACAAAATAGACACAGGCATGATGTTGTTGTGAGACACTGGTTGTAAACATGATGAAATGACTTTTTGCAACTTTCAGATCATTACTCTCTCACCAAAATCATTCCCAGTAAACAATATCGTATATCACTTCAAAGCACACATTTGGCCCAATCAAGCTTCAGTGTCCACCTCTTACACAACACGCCTTGGCCTGAGTGCTGGGCCGAACTTTGTCTTCTTCCTGATCCTAGTAAAAGCTTTAATTGACTCCAAATGACTCATCCAAACACTTTTTCACAACAAAGCGTGCCATGAGCCATTCTGACAGTAAGCAACAGCAGGGGAATTCCTAGAGAACTTATCAAGAGTGAAATATGTAAACTATCTCTGAGTGTAAAATTGCAAAGACCCTGGGACCCGTGTGACAGAAATACTTGAACAAAAAAATGTGATATCCCATCTTCCTGTGTCTGCCCCCCGCCCCCTCTGAGCGCTTATCACTTCCTCTTGGTTTCCTGACATCTGCCTAATATGTCTGGGCCACAGTTGTTTTTCGACCAAGTTTGTTAGCAGTGCAGAGGGGCTGAAATTACAGGTGCAAGAAGAAAGGCTGTGGGGACGTGGTGAGCAAGAGGGCGTAGAGAAAGTTTGCCACAAAGAAGAGAATGCGCGCTGATTAATGGTTTGGCGGTGGTCTGGTTTCACATCCTCTTTACAAGTGAGGACAAGCAAAACCAGAGCATTCTTCTATATTTACAGCCGGTATTAGCTGGTGAACATAAGCGGGACATGCTAATACACATCCTATAACTCGAGATTTGTTTTTTGTTTGTTTTACAAAGGATCAGTGCCAAAATAAAATCATTGTATTGTTGCTTTTTGCAGTTGCTTTAATTTGCTACAGAAATATTCAATTTTTATACTCTCCATTTTAAATCCAGATGGTGGTAACACTGTACCTGCTTGATACATGTATCTTATTAGCAAGTGAGCAGCTAGTGATTTGAAAAAGTAGCCTTGCATCTATTGCAGCCTATATAGTGCTATTCCTGAATCACGTTCCTTTCACAAAATTCTGGCTTTTTTACCAATTGAAATAGAAAATAATGTTAGTTGCTCTCACAGACCCATCTGTCTAATAAATATTATATAAAAGTCTGAATAAACACTTATTCAACACAAACTGAACCTTTCTTTAAGGTGTACCAATGATCAACGTGACTGCGTTGTCTTGGTAACGCAAAAACAAACCAACAACATCACAACCTCCAAAGAGAAGGTAATGATTGCTTTTGTCTCCACGCAGGCACTACACAGAACACTAGAACAACAGCAGCAGCCCCAGTTTGGTAGCTCAGGAAGCTCCTCTTGATGACAAAGGAAAACTTGGGCCGAGACATCTAGACAAACAAGATAATTATCACACGCAGACACACGCACACTCTGACATTATCATTTCAATTATGATGAGGGAGAGGCCCTCGCATGTGGTCATCTGGTCCTTTTTCGCTCCAGGAGGGAGGGGGAGAGGGACTGTTGCAGTAACAACCTATAAGCTGTTGAAAAATGTTGTTTACGCTTTTTACTTGTGTGAGTTAAACTGTCATCTATTTAAGTGTTTGGCAATGGGAGTCACACAGGAGACATATTTCTATGCATGAATTCACTGGGAATGAGTCAAAGAAACGCTCAATTAAAACTATTACTGCAAAAACATGTTGAAAATATAAAGTAAGTCAGATGTGAAAAGTAACTAATTACAAAGTCGATACTGTATTCCAGCCATGTCAGTGTACTTAACTACCTTTAAAATTATAGGATTTACTGTGTACAATACAAGTCTCAGTTGTCACGGCTGTCTCCACTCTATCCGTGATGAGAAATGAGCATAATTGCCATAGCAAATAACAAATTAAAACAAAACATTATATCTTTTAAATCCTCAAAACGTTGCATGGAACAGGAAGCTGAAACCCATAAATATACCAGCAAACACAGCGGCGCTGCATGGCCCGGTCTGGGCCTCCGGAGCTCAGAGAATACACGGATTACTGTTTAAAACAACATAATTCAGTCTAATTAATCATGTTTTGTTTGTATGACATATGCATTTAAAATGAAACAAAAATCACACAAAAATGTTACTTTTAGTAGTTTATTCCATGCACATTCACTTACGCTAAATTTTAGGAGTACTTGTACTTTGAAGTGAGAACTTTATTGATATAATTTATTGGAGTAGTACTTTTCAGTACCCTTTCCATCGCTGTAAATATTGATGAAGTGTTTAATTATGTTTAGAAGAATCTTCCAAACAAAGTTGAAATATTTTGCAGATTATAGAGCAAGAATCCAGACAAGATTTACCCAACATGCATTGGGGCCAGAGAGTTCACACAACATCCTATTTTGTAAACGCAGCTCCGGAGGCAGACACCATTTTTGACACCTTGAAATCCAAATAAGGAAGCTGACCTGGCGCACTAGCAGTTCTTTTCATTTACAGCTGTCAATCAATGGGAAACACATTCATATTCTCACAATTTTCAACCTCAGACACGTCACGTAGGTGTATGCCTTTTCTGTCAGTCCAATTCACACTTTCTCACATTCACCGCCAATGACAATTTTAGCTCTAAAATAACATTGCCACATGCCATCCACACTTTGTACTATCATAAAGTCAACATCTTTGCCTAAAATAAAGGCTAAAAATCTTGTCGTTTTGAAAAATAAGCTGAGACTTGAGGAATGTTGTGGTTGACTAAAAGGGCAAAGCCATGGTACACTTCGTATGTTTATGTTATGCACTGACCCTTTTACTAGGTAGCAGCTCCCCTATACATGAATACGAGGCTCTCTTTAAGCTATGGAGTTCAACCAAGCCAGATGGAAAGTTGTGGTCTGCCCAACTTCTGTTTACAGAATCTATTAAATCTATTCTAAATCTGCCTTCTGATTGCTTTTTAGATTCACTTTCCAATTTACTTTACAAACTTGCCCATAAAACATATCAATCTGGGTGTCTTATATTTGCTGTCAATCTGCTCTTAATCTGCATGGCTTGTCAACATTGTGTTATTGCTGATAAGACAGTACCTATCTACACTTCAATATGCTTTAGTGACTCCTCATTTTCTAATCATTTTAACTATTGTTTAGTTGCATTTCAGACCTGATTTAGATCTGCTGATACTTGGATATACAAATATTTTCTAAGGTGGTACTACTAAGTTGTAAAGGAAGAGTTGTGTAGCATGCATGGTGATGGAAGAATACTTTGAAAATTGATTTAATTACAGAATACTGAATACTTGAATTAAAATGCATTGTATGTAAAAAAAAAACAAATTACTTGTGTAATCAAGTACTGCACTGCAAGTACTATATTATGAAGACCACCAAATGAAAAAGTAACTGTACCAGAATAGAGGTACTCAAAAATAGAATTCAGAATACGTATTTTTGGTACTACTTCCCAACACCGGGCATAGAAGATCAATATAGTTAGAATTTTACTGTGAGGCATACATATTGGTTTTACCTTTGAAATACCATTTAGTTTCCATTTTAGAACCAATTTGTCCAAATTGACCCCAGGGTAGTCTGAAATATGTGTTGACTTGACATAGTGGTGTTTTGCCCCAGTTTTCGCTCAGTTATTAGAAAGTTACCTGCAGCTTCCTGGCACTGGCTGCGGTTGATGTAGGTGAAGTGGTGATGGCAGCTCTGAGACTCGCACACACAGCCTTCCGCGGTCAGGTTACAGCCGGAGAAAAGACAGGCCGGGTTTGAAGGGCCCACGTACTTGGTGTCCCTGTGGCGCTCCCTGTGCTCGTGTCTCCTGCCATCTGTAAAGCAATGGTGCAAAGGTAAACAAGGAGAGGAGTGTGTCTGCAATGGTGTTTAGAACTGTGGTTTTGTTGGATTTATCCATTTGCTTGTCGTGCATGTTTGGGGGGTCCATGTAAAGAGCTTAAAATGGAGCTGCAAAACATCTCATAAAAATAGCATAACCCTTACTGAACTTACAAAAGACAATGAATCCGGCATGTTACAATATTGAGATATATTATAAAAGTGTTTCTAACCCTATCATTGGATCATGACTCCTTGTTGTAAGATTTCACCCCTCCTAAACTAATTTCATAAAAGTATTACTACTGACAAATTTTAATATAACTAACAACTTTGTCACCATAGGAAAAGTGTATTCTTAGCATTGGACTCAAATACTACTGCTACTAGGGGAACCTGTCAAAAGAAGTGAGCTACTATTACGAGTGCAGGGGCCTGTCTTCAGATCTTGACCTAGGGTCAAGGTCAGGAATGCCTAACTGGAATCTATGTCTTAATGTGCATTTGACAGGTTTTGGTGATTCTCAAATTTTTACTTAATTTGATGGGATATACATAAATTACAATAAGTACAATAAGTAATTTGTAGGAATGTAACAATAACCAAAGTATCATGATATCGTATCATCAAAAATCTCACAATAATATTGTGGACTGTCACAATATATCAAATTACAAGTTCCTTTGCTTAAATACATGGTTTTATTGTAGGAACAGTTTATAAAGATCGGGAACTACATATTCCACGATTCATTTCAGTGCAAACAGCATGAAGAAATATGTTTTTTACTTGAGTTCTAGGGATTATCGTGGAAATAATTCACACCAAAATGTTTAAAAGCAAAAAAAGTTTCTTATCTACAATTATATTTGCCTCTCCAAAATATCGCAATAAATATCGTGATAATATTGTACCAAGAGATTTGGATATCGTTACATCCCTAGTAATTTGTGAAGAAAAGTTGAAAACTGTTGAAAATTACAGGAAGTAGAGAGTTCTGTACTGATGACACCACAGAATTCTGTTCTGTGGTGTCAGAACATTTGTTGTAAACATTTGACATAATTTACACAAAAAACATTTTTCTCAGACTTGATTTCAACAAAATAAAGGTGTGGTGTGATCATTTCCAACAATGAAGTGCATTTTTAAACATAAAAATGGCCAAAATGGGGGAAAAATCTTAACTAAATCTTAAATGTAATGAGCTTGATAATGTCATATCATAAGTACTTTAAGATGATTACTGTGCCAACTAGGATCTGTAATTGTCTCTTACATATTCCTGTTACTATATTACACATACAGCATTGCCCCCTTGTGTAATAAATATAACCAGTATTCAGCAAGTGTGTAAGTACAGGTATATGCAAGCCATCCATCTGCACTGTCTGGGGCGTCATCACTGTGAAATGTAAGTCTCACTGTAGCCCTCTTTGAAGCCCATCTGCTGTGGATTAGCTCCTCTGAATAGACAGCATTATTCCCTCTGGTCTGAGTTCTGTTGGTGTGATGAGATGGGAGCCCACCTGACTGGCTGGCCTTCGTGCAGGTCTCCTGATCTGGGAAAGTGAAGGAGCCCAGGCAGGAGTGTCTGGCATCGCACACACACTGACCCTCCACGCGGTCACAGCCGGTGATCAGGGGGCAGCGCTCATCTTCCAGGCCGGCCTCAGGGTGATCGGGGAGCACTGTGGGGGACACAGGAAATCAGGGTTGAGGTAAGGTCCAATAAATATGGATAGTGTCACACGGTATCATGTGAAATGTGAAATGTAATGATATTGAATAGAGGAAGACATGAAAATGCAGAAGAACTACAAGAAACATACATTTGGAAGTTAACTTGAAGCACCATTAACTAGATATGTCACAATACTACAATTTCAAACTCAATTTGAATACTAAGGAATAGGTTAGATACCAAATACTAATTTTGATACCGCAATAATAAAAATGCTCTTTATTTGTAGCACAAAGTAGTGGTAGTTTCTTTAATATTACTTACATTATTTCTCATATAACTCAAGTCCATACTTAAAACTATTTGAGAAATGTCCAGTTCTGTCCTCTTCATGTATTTTTAAAGCAATAATACTTGTTCAAATGAGTATCTAGTTTCAATACTAGTATTAGTATGTGGAGTTAATATGATTCAGGAGCTGGACCAGGCCACAAACTTCTCTCTGGCCAACCACAGCTTATCTCAACCACGCCTTCAATTACCCAGAAGCCCTATTTATGCAGCCATCCCAACATCACCGCATGTGTCAACTCTCTTGACCCCCTCCATCCCACCCCGTGTCTCTCGTCCACCCTTCTGTCCGAAGACATCATCTTCAAGTGGGGGGGGAGTCGAATCAACTGGGTGACCATTTTGGATTGGAGACGGAGCCCCCACCCTGAGTCTCCCCCCAGCCATCGCATCTATCCACTGTCAATAAATATCTTATTTTATTGCTGTGGCGTGGTCCTTGCTAGAGAACTGGATGTTGATTTGAAAACTGTACTGTTAATGAGCTTGACAATTATTTCTGTTTCTTTAAAAAAACAGCCTTTATCCATATGCATATCCTCAACATGTTTTCACTTACACCAACCTGATAATCAAACCAGCTACTCAAAATCTGCACGCTAACTTTACTTTAGGATGTAGGTCAACGAACAAAGGTTTATTTTTTTAAGAAGGTGTTGTGGTGATATTGCAATATCCAAACAAAAGAAAGCAATAGTCACTAGCCCAAAGTCATGCAGTCAGTGCTTGTGGTTCCTCCTCTGTGCTCTGGTGCTTCTCTACTTTTCTCATTAAGCCCATTAGTTTGCTTTTGTTCCGCAGCGTGGGGGCCTCCCAGGGTCTTCATCCCACTGGCTGCTGGAGCGCCTCTCCTGTGCCAAAGACAGCCCTGGCACCAGACCCACCAAGAGAGAGCCGTGACCCCGGATGATATGGTACATCAGTGTCTAAGCCCTACTTGGAACGAACCTTAAACTCTGTGACTATGCGTGCATTACACTTTTATAAACACACTCTCAGTATCAACCATTCTCTCAGGCATCAGGCATAAAACTACACCAAATCTATATGTAAATCTCACACACTGGGAGCAGATGACATGCCGTTATACCACAAAAGAAATGCATAGGAAGAATTCAAACTAGTATGAAAAAGACCAATGTAGTTATATTTTCTCTGTTACTATGTTAATTTGCATCTAATTCATGTAAGGAAAATATTGCTGGTAAAAATGACAAAACTCCTGACAGCTAACAAGCTTAAGATCCCTTAAAGCCGTGAGCATACTTCACCACTGATAGACTGATCCTCTTGCCCACAGAGGGGACAGTCCTCTCTCACACACTATCATGTTCCTTGAGGAGCTCCAGTTGGACACTTCGCACAATGGCTCTTTCAGGTTTTGGGCTACTTCTTCTTCCACAGCTAATGGTACACTTCCTTTCCATAAGCTTCAATGATATGGATATTTGCACCAGAGAGGTCACTTAGGTCTTAGAGAAAATCCTAATGAAGTAAAAATGTTCCAATGAAAATATAAACGGAGCTTTTGTGGTTAGTCTACACTGAACATATAGGTGCTTCTCTTGTGCCGGTCATGTGTCTAGCTTGGGACTGCTACAGGATGCCCGGAGCCCTCTACTCTGCAGAGCTAACTGTAACATTACCTTTAACCTGAGCCAGTCGTTGCTGTTAATAGCTCTACCAGACACACACACAGCGTTGCACAGAAGGTCTTTTGAATGAAGTTCGCCCAAACCTTTACCCATGATTTCCTCCAAACTTAAAAATAATCTGATGTTTTTCCATACCAAGACTTCTATTACTGTACACATGGAGGGTGTTTTCATTTAGATCAGTGGCTGTTAGGATTGTTAAAAATACAGTAAAGCTAGTACTGAAACTATACACTAGCCCTGTGCAGTTTATGGAAAGTGAGATCCAGTTATTTCTAATCGTTAATGATCAGCTTGGGTCTTTTTAATGGTGAGGTTCACAGCCAATTCTCTGTCAGTAAAAAAATGTGGTTTGGAGCAGAGTTCAGACTTGGGAGGAAGAAATTTGGACTATTTCTTCTGGTAAATGGCAATGATTAAACGTCTGTATTGTTTGTGTTTCAGGAAGTTTATTTTGAAATCATTTGTTATTTATTTTTAGTAAGACAAATAGAATAGAATTGACAAATAATGTGAGGAAAATCGTGATTGCTTTTTTGGTATTCAGCCCAGCTCCATCAATACTGAACCAAAGTCATCTAAATAAGATAGAATTTGACCTTTCCTGATTTGTTTTAGAATAGTCTGGATCTATATGAGAATTAGTACAAGATCACATGGTAACATTACAGTAATAAACATGTTTTTATAATGACTTGTGGTTTCAAAATTTGAAATTGAGTATGACGCGTTTTCCAGACTATGGAAATTTAGTTTAAAATGTTGGTATCATAGAGACACTAGTGGCTGGTGTGTCTGTGTGGGGTGCCCAAGAGGACCAGAAGGCAGTAGTTTGAAACAGATGAAGATGTTCGTGTAACCAAAGTCTATTTGTTTAGCTTGACCCTGCTAGTCACGCCGCGTCTAGCCCAGTTATCAGTGATCTAGTCTGGCATGACTTCTTGCCAAGGGTCTATGGCTACAGCCCAGGGGGATTCCTTGGTCCTTATGCTGGACAGACTGTGCTTGTGTTGGCAACCAGCGCTAGGATGGGAAGGCTGACCTCTGGAGGCCCCCCAGCTGATAGCGAGCTAAAAAGGAAGTCTTTGAAACATTAGATAATAGTGGAGGAAAAGGGGAGAAGGCATGCAAAGGAGAGGAGTCTGCAAACATACGGTGCAATAAGACAGACATTCCGGTATGGTGGTATTTTAAGTGTTTGTGGAAGCTTGGGAAGGATCGCGTGGGTGGACAGACGCAGGGGCACGATGAGGACATGAAAACAAAGCATTTATCTGGCTGGGAATGAGAGCTTCCACCTCACTTACAAGTTGGACACTAGAGATATGATGAGAGGAAGACCAGGATTGAACTGTTCTACGTGGATGTACTCGCAGTCATTCAAACACAGAGATAAATGATGGGACCACAATTTGTTCCTTTCCTTTTTACACGAAAACTGTCATGTTTGTTTTGATACGGAGAGACCATGTGTTTCTCTCATTGAATGTCAATGACACCCAGCTGAACTTTAAGTAAATAAGAGTTTGGGCACGCAAAGGTCCTAAGACGCAATAGATCTTGCTCAGAGTATTGAAAAAAAAAAAATCTGTTTTGTGGTTCTAGAGAAGGGACACAGCATCAGTATCCTTGAAAAGTACTGGTACCACAAACCAGGTACACTGATAAAATACAGATACAGAAAAATGTATTCAAACAATTTATGTCGGACAATGTTAATATGATTGTTGACCAAATTCTCTTTTTTCAAATCAATCTCCAAAAGCCGTGAGACAGTTGTGTCCATGTGATGGGTTCATTATTATAAGTATGTCTTTATTAGGGGTGTACAAAAATATCAAAATATCGATATATTGTATCGTTTAATGATGTGATAAAGTACGCAGTATCGATATGGTGGACTGCTGTATCAATATATCACCAAGAGTATTTTTTTGTATATTTTATTAAATTATTTACAGTGCTGCAGTTTGTTGCTTGTTTGGAGGAAGGAAACTTGTTTATGTGACATATTTGACATTTTCACTGTTTTAATGAGTAAAACCAGCATTTTTTATATTCATATTGCACAAGAAGTGGTTTACCAAAGATTTTTAGTATCACAGCCATGATTTAGCCACTATTTTCATTGAACCATATGGAATCGATTTGAAATATATCGAATCGAATCGAAAGTGCACTGTGTCAAGATATGCATCATATCGTGGCATATGTATGTATCTTATCGGCAACTTCATAATGATACCCAGCCCAGCCTCTTTATGGTCAGTTGAACACATGTGCCTAATAAAGTGGCCACTGAGTAACATTGTAGGTGCTATGTCTTGTGGACACACTGTTAAACAAATATAGTTTACAAGTGAAATGGGTCTAGTTAAGTTCAAACATCCAGTCAAAATCATATTACAAAGAACTTATACCTGACTTTTAACTTGGATATCCGAGTAAATATGAGTAGGAATGAGTAGTGATGTAGAGCTTCAATAGTCTAATCATAACACTTCACAAATTTCAACATATTTCCGTCAAACTCAAAAATTAACTGTTTCTATGACGACAGCAAGATGCACTCACTTTCTTATGCATTCCAATCTCTCATTTTGATTAAAAACCTTTTCAAATATGATCGGATTAATGTTGAGTGATGCAATAATCCTGGCAATGAATCTCCCCTTATGATTTCATGTCCAGCCAACTGTTGATTAGACGCCAACATACCATTTCTGAAACTACTTCCTTGTGGGGCTTACACTGTTGCTTATTTCCCAGGACCTTACTTCTGAGTAATAATTAAACTATTATTACATTTAACAATTCACTTAAAAGCTCACATTCCCATTCCAAATCTCAGCATACATGAAAGGGACTGATAAGTTATGTTCACTAAGTAGTTGTGACAGAATTGGCAGGAAACGCGAGAATTAACACTTTTCACACAATTCACCCAAGTTCAGCAAATCCCCCAGATTAGCCTATTGAATAACATTTCCATGCTTTCCCACATACGCGCCCCAAATGCCTGCATAAGTGATGTTCCAATGCATTTCACGATCACATCTACAAACGCGCCGCTGCCATTTCACATCATACACAACGCGTCACTTGCTATATATGGCCGCTTCGCACTTCAAGGTTCCAGGCCACCCAGAAAAGCCAAACGGAAATATTTAGCCCTGTGTCTTGATTGCGAGTATAATCACTTGAAGCTTGAGGAGGGAAATCTGGGATCAGCCCGCAGCAGACCCGACTACCACACAGGCCACTGAAAATATAGGGAGGTGTTGACTTACCCCCACCTATAGACCCTGTGGGATGTGGAGGCGGCGTGCATCTGATTTAAGGGTTAACGGCGTGCATGGAGGGCCCCCAGAGCCACAGGGCCAGAGCCATGACTCAATCAGACCGGCCATTAGCTCTGTGTCTGCTGTGAGGCTGTTCATTTGCAAGGTAATTATCTTCATTGGGCAAGCATCCCACATTTGAATGGTCAATATATTGCAAATTGATTATGGCATTGCAGTGAACTCTCCTAAGCAACATCATGTCTTCTCCAATAAGAAGGGTGAAGATAATTAGCCAGGCTGGCGCCACCTAGTGCTTCCGCTAAATTTCATTTCTCTCCAGCGACTAGGACAGGAATTGGAAATCACTAGACAGCTTGTAAGAACCCCGGAAGTTGTAGACCGCGCCCGGGCAGTCAGCAAAGAGCTGAACCAACGTGAACTGCAATAGCAGACTGCATAAGCTATCCTCCTTTGGATTTCCTTTGTCAAATACAAACTTTGCATTTTTTATTGCATCTTTAATTCACAAGCTCATCTTGCAGAAACGACAATGATCGTTGACAGACATGTTCACTCTTTGCTTTGTTTGCTGTTGTTCTGGCAATTACTTGGACATCACTGAGCGTTATGAAGCATTACATACGTCACAACCAAATAACAGCGATTGGTTAAATAAAAAAAGTACCTGCCTACAGTCGAGCAAACTAATCCTTATGCTGTGAGGTCAGACGGTTTCCATGAAGTGAAACCGGCTGATGAATCAGGATAGAAGATAGTTGTGACAAAATTAAGAAATCTTTCATAGAGGTAACAAAACAGATTCAATGCAGAGTACTTCTCACAGATTAAAATACAGAAAATGGATTGTTTTTCAGCAAATTCAATACCTATATCCCTACAATCATAATCATAAAACAACAAATAAAAATTTGGTCACTGTCAAAAATATTGAAGTATATAGGTAAGACAGCAAATTCAAGCCAATGACCAAATTATGACTAGAAATATTCAGACTGTCCATGAGAAAGGATAGATGTATTGAATTACTGACCAAAACAATGCATTTTCAGTAGTCTAATCTGCACAAATCTCTACAAACAACAATCCAAACTCATGTGTTTTCCCTACATCGCATAGTCCTATTCCCTTGGGACAGAGCCCGCAGACGAAGGATGCCCTGGCAGACCTCCTGGATTCTGGACTTCCTTACTTTTGGCTCCAGCCCTGTCAGTCCCCCTCAATCATATAGACAAACTGCAGGTGATACAAGTGTGGGGTCCCCCTTGTGCTTATTTGCTCCTCTGGGGAACACTGCTGCTGCTACCGACTCCACACATAAGCAACTCGACACCCGGGTCTTTGAAGCTTGGAAAGTTAGTCAAATTGTGCGTAAAATGAGCATATTCACTTCAGAGGAAAAGAACAGTACAGCAGTGTCTCTTTAGCAAGATTCAGGAGAGAAAAAACAAAGCGTTACATGTCAGCAATGCAAGAACTGTAAAACATTGTCAGTGATTGGGCAATACGGAATTACATCCTCATTTTGGTTTGTCTGTGGTGTGTGTCTCTGCCAAGCCCCCGCTATTGTCATGCTCCAAGGAGAAGCCTGAATAAAGCTCTGAGGAGGAGAAAGAGGCTGTATATGACTGCTCCGCTCGCAGCCAAGAGCCCTCAGACTGGACCTGCACGCTGCCAGGGACAAGGTAAACACTCCCAGAGCCAGCGCAATAACTGACAACTGAGCGGTTATGTTCATGAACCACTTAAGACCAAGGGGCGGCTGCCATTCAGGGGAGGGACGCTGCTTTATGAGTGAATTAACGTCTGTGATACCCGTTTAAAATATTTGGGTGGAACAGTTTATACGGACTGAAAGGACCTGTTGTCACCCATTAGGAGAAAGAGCCACAATTCATTCAATCCATCGCCCTGCCACTTTTTATGTAGTGATTTGATGTTGGATTTTCTACTAAATGTAATCCAGATGCCCTTTCCTGAGACAATACTCCATTTATCCAGGCTTGGGACAGTCTTTGTCTGGACTCATTACAATACATATGTCATAGCTTCATAAAATATATAGGCCTATTAGGCTGGAGAAATAAATCAAACACAAATAACACAACTTTTACGCCAGAGGTCATCCAAATCAACTTTTACGCATAACTGTATTCAAGCCTAAATTATTCAAATCAGGTTTCATTCTGATTTGTACGTGGGGCTCACCTTTACAAACTCCAATCTCGGGAATGACAGCTTGTCCGGTTCCATTCACCGTGGCGCAGGTCAGCCCCAGCCCGCAGTAACCCACGCTCCAGTCCTGTCCCCCGCAGGGCTCCCACTCCAGCCTCGTGCACAGGTCACAGCATCCGCATGGGTCCCGAGCCACCGTGCGACCGCCGTCACAACCCCGGACAGAAGCGGCTCTGACCGGACAAGCACGCAGGTTACACGGCGTGCACTCGTGAGCACCAGCGGAGGAAAGCGCTCGGACCACCAACAGCAGCAGGACCACGGCGCACTGGCTCAACATGTTTCCTAACCTCGTGGTCCAATAGTCGATTCAAAATAGAAGCGGCATGAACGCACCACAGCGACTATCTCCAAACTTCCCCCGTAAAGTTTTGCTATAATTCTTAGTGTGAATGAACGTCTCTGGAAAAGTGAATGAAAGATCCAAAATGATCCACGCGTCTCATGAGGAGCTCCTTTGCACGTCCTCCGCGAGTGGCTGTCCGCTTGACAGCTACAAACGAGAGCGCATTCTGAGAGCTAAATTGACATCCAGGCACATAGAAATTGGCCATGCGACCCTCCCCTTGACTGACACACACAGCGGCCAGTCACAAGCCGCGAGAGGAGGGAGGACTTCCACATTTTTATCCCCCACTAAGAAACCACGCTCCTGTGGGTTGCGCAATGATGCAACTTTTAATGTGTTCAATGTAAGTTTTATTATTGTCTTTTATTTCGCAACTTCACAGAGTAACTTTAGGCTATGTGTTTCTTTATAGACTAAGTTTCACTTTTAAGCTCCCTTTAAACTGAATTGCTGTTCTAAAAACGTCTTCTACAAAATAAACATTTATTGCGCAGATGGCACTGCAGCGATGTAAAAATAGAGATTTCATTGAAAATGTACTTTCAAACTTCTCTTGCCTACGTCATTGTACGTTAACAACACATGTGAAACAGATTTATACATTTTACATTTGTATTGTTTTTACTGTATTATAATGTACATATACAAGGTTTTTGTCAAAACAAAACCGTGCTAAAACAGAGCTATCTTTTAAGGGACCTATATTACACAAAATGCATTCTTGTAAGCTTTGTTAGAATTTTACTTCCTCAGAAACATATCTGGAGTTGTGTTTTGTTTCATTCACACGTTTGAGCAGCCCTTTATTATTAGTCTGTCTACATCTCCCAAGCTCAAAATGCTCTGTTCAACCTTGTGATGTCATGAAGTGATCATTTTCAAGTTAATAGCTCTTTTTACCTTTAGTTCAGTAGAAATGGGCAATTCCAGGGCTGAAACCATCCAAATGATTCTAGTGATGTATGGCATGGGATGGCATGGGATCATTGGGATGGATCCAAATGATGTATGGCATTTAAAAACAGTGGAACCTGTACCATATAGCATCACAAGGTGGAACAGTGTGTTCTTAGTCTGAAAGAAAATCACAACTCTGGGTATGTTTTTGATAAGGAAACAACATAACAGAGATCAGAAAACAATGTAACATGAGCCCTTTAATAACAACAACCTTAAACATCTAGGCCACACTGACTTGCTTTTGTCTTTGTGAACAATTCTACAAGCCTGTACTTCTAGATTGGCTCTTAAATGGACCAAATCAAAATCCTCATGTTACAGTTAAGATATAAACACTTGCTGGCACTCAAGTCCAGAGAGGAACTGTGATCATGCAGACAAGTTATATTTTCCCAAATCTCTAAAACAGATAACACATCAGTACAAAGTTGGAACAGAGAGAGAACTTTCTGTCCAAAATATCAGTATGTATGTATGTCATGCATGAGCAGATATTTTTATACTTACATAACACGTATACCGGGGTTTGTGGTTAGCGTGTGGATTAGAAGTGGTCTTCCTTTCTCCCACCCACCGGTTTGCACATGTTAGGAGAATAATTTCCTCTAAAACTACCCAGAATAAGACTGCAATAACTTTGACTGCAAATATGAATAAGAAATTGTATTTAACATTAAACGTGCACTCTGTAACTTCTTTGGTAGAGGGTCGGTCACCTTAGCTGTCTCCATGAAGATGTGTCTAAAACAGGAGTCTCCGACCTGTAGCTCGGGAGTTACCGGTAGCTCTTCACTTCCTTCCTAGTAGTTCACCAAGGGATTTCTGAAGTACATGTATTGTCCTGAATAAGTGAAATTTAACTAATTAAAGTCCTGTTGCTATTGTACATGTATTATTTTGATGCCTAACTTTGTACATTAATAAATGGATAATGGTCTATATGTTTGGAGAACCCTGGTAGAATGTTCTAGCCTGATTCATCAACCAGTTTCACTTGATGGAATCCATCTGACCTTACTGCATTAGAATCGACGGTAGGCAGTTTGGTTTGTTTTTTCATCTAACCAATCGCTGCTATTTGGTCATGATGAATGCAATGCGCCACTAAAGGGGTTAACTGGTATATTAGGCTTTTCCCAAATCCCGTAGGAAGAAGGACAATAATGTCTTTCACCTTGATAAAATTCACAGAACATTCCCATTGTTCCAGATTTAAATCCTCGATCTTGTGAATCATTTCCAACACAGAATGTATGGCTCTTCGCTGATTGGCTGGTGCCTGAACTCGCACTTCTGGGGTTTTTGCGAAGCGTCTAGTGTATTCCGTTTCCTGACCTAGTCGCTGGAGAGAAATGAAATTGAGCGGAGGCACTAGGTGGCACCAGCTTGGCTAAGAATGTTCTACTGTTTGGCCATAAACTTATCAATCTCTACGGAAACTTGCAAGCCAAGTTACATTTTTACTGTGAGTGGGGACGTCTCTCCACAAATCTATGTTCATAAAGATATTTTTGTAGTTAAATAAATGCAAGATATATTAGTTCAATACCATACTCTGGACAATTTAAACCAAAGTATGAACATCTCCATTGAGACAAGTATTGAGCAGAACTCCCACCATAAAAGCTAGACTGTGTACCTTTAAAATTGACCCTGTTTCCCCTGAACCTGCTGTCATCACATAGTGTTCACAATCCCTCCCTTAACAGAGATAATCATAAAATCTGTCAGAGGTCCCTCATCGAACAGCTCACCTTCATATATCATTTCGCTGTGTTTACTTCTGTAGGTGTCTGCTTGTGTATGCAGGTGGCCTCCGCAGGTCAGAGGTCATGTTGTGTTTGTGGAATCGTGTTGTTGTTGCTTCTCCTGGGCCAGATGGATGGTGCGTGTGGGTGGGCAGCAGTGGGCACAGCTGGAGACTAACTGTGAAAGTGCCACACAGTCTGAACAACAAAAATATATTGCAAAGTTATCATAAAAGCAGAACCAGAAATATAACGACTTATTACTTATATTTTGGATTACAATAGATCCTTTTATCACTGCCACCGAGATACAGAATATGTTAGCCTGTTATAATCTATCACAATAAAAAAAAAAAGTTGCATCAACCAGTGAGTTACAGTTCAGTCCTTGCTGCCAGTACATGATAGCTTTCTGTCATTGTGTCCTTGGGCAAAACACACATTGTTTGCTCATGGAAGGAATGGTTTCAAGTATGCAATTTATTGACCCTGAACAATTAATAGGAGATAGAAAAGAGCATGTTTTGTTCACTTTATAGGTCAGGCTATAGGAGTACATTATCATAAACAGATTTTGGCTTTTCTTTACACAAACCACCCTGCCAACTCCAATCCCCATCAATTAGGTGATCAAATTCATTATCCGATCCCACACGAGAACCAGGGGGCTTATTCCAAAATGTTTACAGTTGTCTTTCAATTAGACCACTTTCACTTCCTCTATCAGATGTCGTCCTGAAGGATTTTTCCCACAGAATCTGCGCACAACAAAAACACTTCTTCATTCGCAACATCTGCCTGGACCGGGCCTCTCCAACACAAGCGCGTCCAGGAAAGCGTCGGGGGGGTTTGCATAATGAGCCCGGGTTAGACAACTCTAGCCTTGTCCAACAGCTGGCCCCCTACCATCACCGCCAGCTCCTCTACACAGCCACTATGACCCACTGACCAATGACCAGACCAAGACCAAGAGCCCTGCACAACCTCACTCGCACTGGGGGATTTGACCGTGCTTTCAAATAGGGCCAGATGTCAACGCCAAAGAAGCCACTCAACCTATCACAAGACAGGAGGGGAGGGTGAGGAGCGCTGCATCTTCTGTGGCTGTTAGCTGCCAGTTTTTCTACATCAGTCCAAGTCAAATACTGATAAATGTTTATGAATGAATCCTCGGACACCTGGTTAAATACAAATATCAAAGTCATCTGAAACTGCAGAAATAACAAATATATGTCATTTTGGGAGATTTCGGGAATTCCACACTATTCTATTGAATGTTTTCACCATGTTTTGATTCTCAGTGCTCAACTATGTCAAATCTCAGAAGCTAAGCAAGACTCATCCTAGTTAGTACCTGGAACAAGTATGAGTCTAGTAAGTTGGTGGTGGCTGGAGGGGCCCATGGCAGTGTCGCTGTTTTTCAATCCCTACAAGCTCAATTAGGTTTGATTTTTGAAAACAGATTGAATTTGGAAAAATAAAACTATTTTGAAAGCCATCTTTGCACTTCTCAAATGTATCTTCATATGGACATTTGCAAAGCAGTGGGATCGGCTCTATGTTCCCTCAGCCCTGTGTTCCCTCATTTCTAAGATTTTTCTCATTTCTAAGATTTTTCTCAAAATGAAACTCTAATTCAAGTCATTTTTATTTTTATACAGCATTCAAAGGGATGATTCAGAGTAATTTCAACCTTGGATCCTTTGCACCATGACCTCTACATTACATCTGTAGTCAGCTGCTGCTGGAGAATAGGTTGGGTGTAATTTACTACCAAAGAAATGGGGATAAAATGTTGGGGTAAAATGGGGTAAAATCTGTTGCAAATTGATGATAAAGGAAACGTGGGAACATAGTAGCCAGACTGGCGCCACATTGTGCCTACACTCAATTTCATTTCTCTCCAGCGACTATGTCAGGAATCAGAATACACTTGACTAGACAGTTTGAAAGAACTACGGAAGTGCGAGTCCAGGCACCAGCCAATCAGCGAAGGGCCATACATTCTGTGTTGGAAATGATTCCCGAGATTGAGGATTTAAAACCGGAACAAAGAGAATGTTTGGTGAATTTTATCAAGGGGAAAGACATCATTGCCCTTCTTCCTACAGGATTTGGGAAAAAACTTAATGTACCAGGTAGCGGTACATCAAATACGTGAAATAGCAGCAATTAGTTAAATTTTAAAAAGTACCCGCCTACCGTGAAGCAAAAAAATTCTAATGCTGCAAGGTTGGTTTCCATGAAGTGAAACTGGCAGATGAATCAGGCTAGGAACATAGGGCCTAATTTTGGAAAAAACAAAACAAAAAACAAAACAACAAAAAAACAAAACAACAACAAGCGGGAACATAGGCACGCTCCCGTAGCAGTAGATGTAGCACACTATTCTACCATATTCAACCCTTCTTTCTCTCCAAATTATTTCCTGTTCCCTACTG